CTGGTTCATATAATTTAGCAGAAAATAATTACCCTTTAGGTAACACACATAGGTAAACACTCAAGATTTGTTATGTAAAACTAGAGGCCCAGTGCATGAAATTTGTGCACAGAGGGGGCGGGGTTCCCTCAGCCCAGCCTGCACCCACTCCAATCAGGGACCCTTCGGGGGATGTCCGACTGCCGGTTTAGGGGTTGGGCCTAAACCGGCAGTTGGACACCCCTCTCACAATCTGGGACCGCTGGCTCCTAACCACTCACCTACCTGCCTGCCTGATTGCCCCTAACCCCTCTGCCTGCCTGCCTGATTGCCCCTAACTGCCCTCCCCTGCCAGCCTGATCGAGCCCCCAACTGCCCTCCCCTGCCAGCCTGATCGAGCCCCCAACTGCCCTCCCCTGCTGGCCTGATCTTGCCCCTAACTGCTCTCCCCAGTTGGCCTGATCTTGCTCCCAACTGCCCTCCTCTGCCAGCCTGGTTGCCCCCAATTGCCCTCCCTTGCCGGCCTCATCTCGCCCCCAATGCCCCTCCCCTGCCGGCCTGATCTCACCCCTAACTGCTCTCCCCTGCTGGCCTGATCACCCCTAACTGCCTCTGCCTGCCTGATCACCCCTAACTGCCCTCCCCTGCTGGCCTGATCTTGCTCCCAACTGCCCTCCTCTGCCAGCCAATTTGGTTCTGATTGGTCAGTTTCTATGCCAGTCAGCATCTCTGGGCCTATCAATGGGGCCTGATCAGAAAGGCGGGGCTGATCAGCAGCCCCTGTGGAGGCCTGGAGAGAAATGGAGGCATGGCTGTTGGCCAGGCCGGGAGAGAAAGAGAGGCAAGTTCTGATCAACAGCTGCTACAGAGGCTACGGATCAGACCCTACCTCTCTTTCTGCAGCCCTCTCTCCGGGCCTGATCCGTAGCCCCCTTGGCAGTCAGTGCTGGGTCAAGGCGCCCACAGTGGCCCCAGTCAGTGCTGGGTCACCATGGCAACCCAGCAGTGACTTCAGGTCTGGTCAAGCCTTAGGTGGTAATTGGTAGTTAGGACCCTGGCTCTTTATTATATAGATGATAAAAGGGTCTCCTAAATTAGAGGATACTAGGTATTCAAAATTTCTTGCCTTCCATCTTTGATTCAGATGAGTGTTAAAAGGCCTTTGTTCTTGCTCCAGAAAGGGTCATGTTCAAAAGGTTCTCATCTACACAGCTGAGGGCCTTCAGAATGATCTCCTCTGGCTTCCTCTCTGTTTTATTTATTTTTTCTGGGTGGTCTGAATGGGCCTTTGGTCAGAATTTATGCTTCTCACTGATTAAGGTGGGAAGTTTTCAGCTGACTTCACCATTTAGGAAAAATAATAAAGGTGAGAAGGAAGAATATGGGCATTAAGAAACACCATTCTATTGTATGAAACCATTAGAGAATTTGCACTGAAGAATGAATTATTCATTCATCATTCATTTTGCAATATTTTATTGAGTCCAGGCACTGGTATAGGTCCTGAGAATATAGCAGTGGATGAGACATGGACCTTATCAGTCTAACAGAGACAATTAATAAATAAACAGATAGATGAATAATATATATGCGGATAGTGATCTTTCTATGAAAAAAATAAAATACAGTGCTACAATGAGACCTCTCAGAGGAGGAAAGATTCAAGCAAAGACCTGAAAGAAATAAAGAGAGTGAAGAATGTGGATACCGGGGGGAGAGAATTCCAGGCTAAGGGAACAGAAAATGCAAAAGCTCAAAGGAGCTTGCTTGGGGTGTTTGAGGAACAGCGGGTAAACCAGTGTAGTTGGAGCAGCAGAATTAGGAATAAAGTCCAAAAGATCATTTGAGGCCAGATCATGTACATCAGCCTAGGCTATGGTGAGTATTTTGAGTCTTATTTGAACCTCGATGGGAAGCCATTAGATGGGTGTGGGCAAAATTCTCTTTGTCTCTGTCACATGATTATGATTCTAGTTCCAAAACTGACTTGCCTTTGTGAATTTGAGTGAGTTCTCGGTCTCTCAGTTTGCTGTTAGATAAAATGTGGATAATGATTCTTATTCCCTAGTGATATTAAAATAATTAGTTATTGGTTACAAAGGACTTGAGGCCTTCAGATGAAAGGTATGATATAGAATAATTACCACTGTATAGTCATTATTTTAACAGCTGTCTTCTTTTTGAAATGGAAAAAAAAAACAACAGTGTAGACCTGTACCCGAAATAGCAACATCTTGGAAATTTAAAAAATGTCAGGGAAGTCATTTTTCTGATTTTCCTTTTGGTTCCACATGAGAGATTTAGGCCTCTCCTTTTTTTCTTTGAAAGTCACCCTAAAAGCTTCCCAGATGTTGAAATGTAACATCTCATAGAATATTAGAAAGAGGAGAGCTTTTACAGATCTGTTGAGGCAGAGTCTGATTTTGACAGAAATGACTTTTCAAAACTTCCTTACTCTACAAATCGTGCTATTTACTTATTTTTATTTTATTGAATTTATTGAGGTGACATTGGTTAATAAAATTATACAGGTTTTATGCGTACAATTCTATAACATGTCATCTGTATATTGTATTGTGTGTTCACCATCCCAAGCCAAATCTCCTTTTAGACCATTTATCCACCCTCTTCTATCCCACCCCCAGTTTCCTGTAGAAAATCATTTGGGGGAGGGTTACCCCTAGCCTAGGAAGGCTGCTGTGTTATTCATTGAGTTTCAATAAAATTATTTGTAGATCATGAAAAAAATGATCGTACAGATTATGTAGTCTGATTACATCATTTTATAAGTGAGGAAACTGAGAAAAGCAGAGTCTCGAGGACAGCTTCACTGCTGACAAGCAGGAGTGCTGGTTGCAAATCAAGATCAAATGACTTGCAGGCATCTGCCCTCTCCCCAGATTCATGAGCTACCTACCTCAGTGTCACATTTAGACATAATTACAATGTTACAGGAAGTGATTTACTGTAATTTCAGATCCCTTTCCATCTCTTTTGTAATGATGTGCTTGGCTAATATTGGAAGTGGCGGCTGCCACAAAATGTCTTTGCTTGGTGAGGCAGCTGTGCATGAAAAAATTTTTATAGACTATAATTTGACTCTGTGCCACAACTGTTTGCTCTGTATTTTCCCTTCCTCTGTCTCTCTTTGTTGCTGGCTATGGACTCTGCAAGTGGATTCTACAGATTGTATCACTGAGTTCTAGATTTGATCATTGTTCAGATTCTAATCTGGTGTTAATTTTTTCATATTAATTTCTGCCTGGAAAATGTATCTTTTTTCAAAATTTTTCTCAAATAGTTATTATAATAACTTTAGAAAGTGGTGTTTTTTCATTTTAAATAAGCTCAGTGTGTAATTTTAGGTCTTCTGGTTCCATCATTTTAATAACAGATGTGAATGTACCATTGTGAAAATAAGCAAACATATATATATATTTCTCTATATATTTCTGTATGTATTTAGCATGTGTATACTTGTGTATGAATCTAGATTTATTTAACTGTAGCTCCAGTAAACTTAACTGTGGGTGAATCAAATATGAAAATATATGTATATGCTACACACACACACACACACACACACACACACACACACACACACTTTCTACCCTTGTAAACTAATGCAGCAACATTTACTTGATTGGCATTGAAAAACAAAGCAATATTTTTCTTCTTGGACTCCTTTCTGTTGATAAGACATAGCCCACATGGCCACTCCCTGAAATAGAAGCTGTAGCATTTACCAGTCTAACCTGTTAGGGTGTTCCTCCCACTGGTATATTTTTGTCATTCATTGCAAAATCAATGATGTTTAAACAAGTCCAAAATAACTGCAAGCTCATTACATCTATTTACTGCTTTTCCTAAAAAGAAATGTCCCTTAACATGTTTCTATTTTTTTGTTTACTCATGCTATGGAGAAATAAATTGTGGATATTTCAGCTACTTTGCCAGAAGTGAAGTAGTTTTCAAGAACGATGTTGCCAAATAAAACTCTTTTCATAATTATAGTTCTTAAAATAGTCAGAGATCATAACTGGATAATTAGATGGGTGATTGCAAATGGCAACCTTAAATCTAAAAACGAACTCCTGTGAGTAACATAAGATGCATTGCAATGCATTTTCCCAATAATCACCAAAAATCTATTTCCTAGTCTCTCTTCCCATTTTCTGACATTATTTTAGATCCATAATCCTGCGGAATTTTACTATAAGAAATGCTTGACACAGCTTAGAGTTTGTGGCTTATTGAAAGAAGCATAGATTCATCAGAGAGCTCAGAATCCCCTTTTCTCACTTCCTTCATCGGGTCCAAGACTCTTTTTAGGGGAGAGTAGAGAGGTAGCATGAATGTATCAGACTTTTCCTTTTCTCCAATTCCTGTGGCTTTTGCTGTGAGTTGTAGTAACAGACTACTTCTTCACTGTTGTGAATCCCTAATTGCAAACGAATGGCACAATCCCATCGGGCCTTTTGATTAAAATCTCAGCATTCAGAGCGCACAACAATGGTAAGGAACTAATGACTCAGTGAGTGCATTATAAGCTTTACTTTCACAAGTAGGGATACTGGAACAGCATAGGTGAGTGCAGGAAGATGTGCAGATGAGAGATAAATAAATGATAGAGGGGTGTGTTTGTGTATATATTTTATATTTATACTTGGATTTGTGATGATATGATGGAAATGATAAGAATCCAGTCATGGTTTGCAATTAAATGGGAAATGGATGCTATAATGAAATAGACTGTAATTCAGATACAAAATTACTTTATAAACTTTAAAGTGTTAAAACCTCTTCTCTAGATATTTGATTAACTGAGTAAATCACTTGACTTCAAATTCTCCATCTTAAAAAAATGAAGATAATTGTAATTCCTAGCACTTTTCAGAGTTGTCTGAAGGTTGTCCACATATAATGCCTGTGGCAAGTTTTTCAAAGTTTTTAGTTCAAAGAAACTATTCAAATGCAATGTATATGTGACAAATGTATCATTGCTGTTTCTTCCTCCATAGGTATTCAAGAGACGGTATTTTTACTTAACTCAACTTCCTGATGGTTCATATATTCTCAATTCCTGTAAAGATGAAAAAAATTCAAAAGAACCTAAAACTTCCATCTACTTGGACGCCTGCATTGACGTTGTTCAGGTAGGGCTGTAGAGGTAATCTTTCTTCTCTTTCTCGAAAAACGGTTATTGATCAACTCTTTTAAAAAATATATAGATTCTGCCCTAAATGGTTTGGCTCAGTGGATAGAGCGTCTGCCTGCGGACTGAAGGGTCCCAGGTTCGATTCCGGTCAAGGGCATGTACCTTGGTTGCGGGTATATCCCCAGTTAGGGGGTGTGCAGGAGGCAGCTGATCAATGTTTCTCTCTCATTGATGTTTCTAACTCTCTATCCCTCTCCCTTCCTCTCTGTAAAAAATCAATAAAATATATTTTAAAAAATAATGAAAAAAATATAGATTTTACTTGATTTCAGAGAGGAAGGAAGAGAGAGAGAGAGATAGAAACATCAATGAGAGAGAATCACTGATGGGCTGCTCCTGCACATCCCACACTGGGGATGGAGCCCACAACCTGGGCATATGCCCTGACCGGGAATCAAACTGTGACCTTCATAATGGAAGCTCAATCATTGAGCCATGCCAGCTGGGCTGATCAACTTGGCTTGGGGATAAGGACACATATGTAATAACTTAATCAATAAAGAAATTTTTAAAAAATGTCAATTTCCAAAAAAAGAATCTCGTCATTTTTCTCTGTTGGTTAATGGCATCTCATCTGCTAAAATGTTTATATAAGACAACTCAGAATCCCCTGCAATTGGCCCACTCTTGCTCTGTGCTAGTATTCAGGTGTTTACCCAGTCCTTTCAAGTCTGGCTTTCAAGGACCTATTCAATCTCTTACCACTTTCCCATTCTCACTGTGCTTCCTCTGGTTTTCCATTTTCTCTTCTCTTACCTAGAATCTTACCTTCCTGCCTTCTGAATTGTTGTCCTGCTCCAATTTATCTTCCTAAGACGTAGATGGGGTCGTTTACTTTCTACCCAAAACCTTGTGGCTCTTGATGTATTGTCTTGCATAGTGAGATCTAAAGGTCTTGCCATTGCAGGCCCGTAGTGATTGGCCCTCACCCTGCTTTCTAACTTCATCCCCCGGCATTCCCTTATACATTCTGTGCTCTAATCATAGCTTCACATGTATATGCCTTTCTTACATTTATTTCTCTGCTTGACATACACTTTCCCCTTCAGTTCCTGTTTGAACCTTATCTTTAAGACTCAGCTCAAATAGCACTTCTGCCATGAAATGTTTTCTGTTTCCTTCCTTACCCTCATGCCCACCAAGTGGAATTAAGCACCACCTCCCCTGTATGACCACTTGGCTTTTTTTTCTCTATTATACTCTAATCTGTGAATCATACTCTAACTTGTGGGTAATTCTGCACTTTCATTTTTAGACTTTAAGGGACCATGTCATATTCATCATGTCTGTGTCCTCTATAATAATTAGCGGTGTTTTGCACACAGCAGCAGTGGCTTAACAAATGTTTACTGATTTGAATTATTGAGGGGGCATGAACAAAGACTGGGTGGGAAACAGGACACAGAGATGATCTAAATAAGAAGTCAATTCACCAAGATAGGAGCCATTACTACAGAGCCAAGGTAGCATGGTCGACCAGAAGTAGCACAGGGCTGATTAGGAGGCATGAGATGTGAGTTCAATGCCCCTAACCGACCTGAATCTTAATTTTCAAAACTAAAGTGTCTATTTTCTGATCAAATGAGATTATTATAAGGATCAAATGAAAAACAACTTGTAAGAATATGAAAATCTATGTGACTAGAAGGTGATATATATAGTGTGTCCCAAAAAATATATACACACTTTAATAGCTGATAGCTCAATTTTGAAAATGAAATGTATTTTAATAAACTGCCTTCATAACTATTCAGTGTGTATACTTTTTGGGGGTCACTATATCTATCTATATATTACTGAAAAAAGAGGACACACACAAATTACAAAAATTCTTTATTAGCTTTAGTCTGGATTGACCATTTGTTCCTAGGCTCTGTTTTCCTCATCTATTTATGATCTCCCCTTCCAAATATTTTCAAATATATAAATCTTTGTGACTTGCTACAGCAGTTTGATGTCACCCTTTACTATACTTTGAAGATGAGAAAGAGGAAATTTCTTGGTTCCTTCTTGAGTAATGACTATGCAGTGGAAAATTATTGATTCATGAACCTTTCTTAAAACTAACACTGTGTTATTTGGGAGAGGGAGTGTGTCATTTCTTTGGTCGTGACAGAGAAGGTGGTAATATAAATGAATGTGTCATCATGTTTGAGGAAAGGAGGTAGATTTTATTTGCCTTGTGTGCTAGTATTCAGCATTGGCCATTTCCATATTGTCCTTTGCAATAAATCTAGAGAGCCACAATTTAATGTGAATCAAGTAAAGTTTTCTTTTGTGCATATTATATGTGGTAAAATGAATTAGGTATTGATATTGCATTTTATGTTATGATATAAAGCAAGTGCCAGATTTATTTCAGGTCACATTTAAGGGCCGATTGTTTTTAAGAGCCAGGAAAATCTATAAATATGCAAGGAAAACTTTGAGCAGGGGGGAAATTATAAAATATTTGGTTACTTTCATGTGGCAGTGTAATTATCTAAATGTGATGGATGTCAAAAGGCCTTAAACGATAATACTCACTCAACAAGTAGTATTTTATATCCACTTTGTGCATATAACACTGAGCTCAGTACTGAGGGAACAAAAAAAAAAGATGTTCGATGTGGTCATTCATTTATTGTCTAGTTGAAAGAAGCAATTCTTTCATAAAAGTATTGGTATATCTATGTGCTGTTCTGAGGTAGAAATAAACTAATGAAATCTAATAGGAAAAGAGCAACTAAACTAACTTATCAATGTGGTGTTTTTTTTTTTCTTCTAGTGCCCTAAAATGCGCCGTCATGCTTTTGAACTCAAGATGTTAGATAAGTACAGCCATTATCTGGCTGCTGAAACTGAACAGGAGATGGAAGAATGGTTGATAACTTTGAGAAAGATTATCCAGATCAATACCGACAGTTTGGTGCAAGAGAAAAAGGAGACAGTAGAAGCAGCACAAGGTCAGAATTTTTAAATGATTCGTTATTGAGGTAAAGCCCTTGTCTTTAATCTATGGAAATGTCTGTTGTGTGGGATGAATATAGAACTCTTAATCTTAAAGGTTGACCTGCTTCTTCATTAAAAGTGACTCTGAAGGTTGATATATTTGTTTTTCAGAGTTGATAGTGTATAGACTCAGACACATGAAATATAACCAGACTAAAATGGATAGGGAATTCATGGCAGGTTTTCAAAAGCCCATTAAAGTTTCCTCTATGCTTTCATAATCAAAATTCTTTGCAATAAATCTAGTAGGTGAGGATGGGGTGGGAGAAGAGATAGTTAGGATATTCCTCTTAGGTGATTAGTAATGGTTTGTATGATTTGGAACATCTGCTTTTAATGAATTTACAGATGATGAAACTAGCAGCCAAGGCAAAGCCGAGAGCATCATGGCCAGTTTGGAAAGGAGCATGCATCCGGAACTGATGAAGGTACATCTTTCTTATGGCAACTTGCCTTCAGCTGAGGCAATGCAGGGTTAGCTGTTAAAATTTTAATGCTGGATTCCATTTGGCAATGCCATTTCTAAGTTAAAAACCACAGTAAATTAGTACAACAGGTAGAGATTTTAAAAGGAAAGTTATACTCCTAAAGTTGGACTTATGAAGTGCCAACTAACAGTTTGGAAAATCTTATTTTTTTTCTAGCCAAGAAGTTCTTTAAGATTGTTATGACTTTATTAATTTTATTTGCTACTTCATATTCTGTTCAATTACAGCCATCCCTCAGTATCCTCAGAGAACTGGTTATAGGATCCTGGGGGATACCAAAATTTGAAGATGCTCAAGTCCTTTATATAACATGGCATAATACTTGCATATAGTTTTTACAAATCCTCTTGTGTACTTTAAGTTATCTATAGATTATTATAATACCTATTATAATGTAAATACTATGTAAATAGCTGTTAAAACCATCTTAGGACTCATTACATACTACGCCTCAGCAACAGTGTAACATTTAAAATATTTTTGATCTGTGGTTGGTTGAATCCGTGAGTGTAGTGGCTTTTTTCAAGTGGCTGTTGATGCAGATTGAACATGATATTCAATCTAATGATTTATGTATGTTAATTTCATAATTTTATATATGTTAGTTTCTATATGTAAATACATATGTATATAAATAATTTCATCAGATAAAAATTTTGGTGAGCATATATCATTTGTGTTAATTACTCTGCTTCTTGGAGTTTGAAATGAGCTAATTTTCAAAGCGTAGAGGTGATTATCACACCTATTTTAGTAGGGTGAGATATTTTACTCTGTAGAGTCTATACTACAATAGATTAAAAGGTTTAATAACCCATTTATTTATTTAAATCCTTGTCAAACCTATTTATTTTCACTTTAGTCCGCTTCCTGGAATAAGTTACACAATTTTATAAGTAACTTTTTTATATTTTACAATTATCCTTCTCTTAAGCTTCAAAGCTATTTTCCAAAAATTAGGAACATACTCATGATCCCCTGATCTAGGCTTTCTATGATTTTATAGATTTTAATGTATCCCCTCTGACTCTTTGTAATTTCAAACTGTACAGCCCATTATGTTTCTCCTAAGGTGACAGAATCAGAATCTATATATATAAAAGCCTAAGCAGCCCTTATGACTGAATGACTGGAATGACCAGTCGACCAGTCGCTATGATGTGCACTGACCACCAGGGGGCAGGCACTCAACACAGGAGCTGCCCCCTGGTGGTCAGTGTGCTCCCACAGCCAACATCCCACGGTCCCTCCCCCCGGCTGGCCAACCTCTTATGGCCCCTCCCCCTGGCTGGCCAGCCAGCCAACCTCCCATAGTCCTTCTCCCCAGCTGGCCGGCCAACCTCATGTGACCCTTCCCTCACCCCGCCAGCCAGCCAAACTCCTGCAGTCCCTCCCCCTGGGCCCTGATGGAGAGGCTGGCTGGCCAACCTCCTGGGGTTCCTCACCCCAGCCGGCTGGCCCCCTGATAGGCCTTGATCGCTGACCAGGCCGAGGGACCCCACCTGTGCACGAATTCGTGCACCGGGCCTCTAGTGGTATATATTAGTCTATGGCTAACACCATGGATATGTAAAGTGTTTTCTGTCTTATTTACTTCTCTTCTGCATTCAAAGTCTCTTGGACTCCTTTTTGTAGTACTATGGGTTGAATAATATTTTTTAAAATATATTTTTTTATTTCAGAGAGGAATGGAGAGGGAGAGAGAGAGAGAGAGAAACATCAATGATGAGAGAGAATCATTGATCGGCTGCTTCCTGCACACCCCTACTGCGGATTGAACCCGCAACCCGGGCATGTGTTCTTGACCGGAATTGAACCCAGGACCTTTCAATATGCAGGCTGACGCTTTATCCACTGAGCCAAACTTCCTAGGGCTGAATATTATGCTTGATGTTATGAGAGGAACATAGAGTCTAAAAACCTGATCTATAGCTTATTGTGGGTCATAGTTACAGCGACTCTCCTCCAAGCAAGTATTCTTTATCCATCCTAAGTACATGGAAATGGAGAATGGTATATTTTTGAAGCTGTGCCAGATTGCTAGTTTCACAGAAGCTATATATTTAAATGGTATTTAATACTGTTTTGAAGGAATTAAAGGAATGTTTGGTATGTGTACATATATGTAAATATATGTTTTAAATTTTTTAGTATGGAAGAGAAACTGAGCAGCTAAACAAACTCAGTAGAGGGGATGGAAGACAGAACCTCTTTTCTTTTGATTCAGAAGTTCAGGTATTAATATATTTCTTTAAATAATCCTACAATTGTTGCTTATTTGGAAAAAAAACGCATTTAAAATGTTGAAATCGCTGATTTTTGCACCCCTGCGTAATGTTGATTGCTTTATATTTGTCTTGTTATCTTTGAACAGGTAGCTTAACAACTAACTTCACTCAAGAGGACTGTCACATACGCAAATAGTTTGGGACTGAATATACGTGGTTTTCTTTTCCAGTTCTCTATTTTCTTTTCAATTCATCTTATGCCTCAAAATGGATAAGTTAAAGAATTCTTAAAAATGGTATTAGTGCTCTTGTAACCTATTAGATACAATTGTGGTCTAGTAATAGTGAGTATCTGCAGCATGAAGAACACCAGATCATATGAGACAGGTGATTTATTTTCCAGTTTTGACGTAGGCCTGGAAAACTGGGGTAATTTTTACATCTGGCTTACTCTAAATGGATAGTGGTGCAAGGAAGTGCAAGTTTATGTGCATGTGGATTTTCACCTTTTCCATGGGAGTTAGGTACTTTTTGAACTAAGAGATATGCAGTTAATATTTAATTTCATGATATTTTCTTTTTTAAGTATATCTTTATTAAATTCAGAGAGGAAGGAAGATGGGGGGAGAGATAGAAACATCAATGATGAGAGAGAATCAGTGATTCTCTGCCTCCTGCACGCCCCACACTGGGGATTGAGCCAGCTACCAGGGCTTGTGCCCTAACTGGTATTCGAACCATGACCTCCTGGTTCATAGGTTGACACTCAATCACTGAGCCACGCTGTCTGAGCTAATTTCATGATATTTTCTAATTAAATTGCTGATTTGTTTAAATACAAAATTTCTACAGCATTTATGTATTATATGTATTTTTCCTAATGAAAACACATTTCATGAGAAAATGAAATTATTTGAGGGGAGACTAATTTTTTTCTTTTTAATTTTCCACATATGATTTATTATTCAAATCTTTGGGGTGTTCTGAAAATAGAAATATATGCAGTATGTAAGCATTACAGTTTTATTTAGTGAAAATATAAAATAATTTTGTGAAGACTGATTTGGTGTTTTCTTTTTGCTTCGTACAGTTTCCTAATTACAATATTTTTTTAGTTTGAAATGGGAAAAGTATATAGTCTGTAAATAATGCGGAATTTTTTTCCAAGTAATTTTATTTTCTTATGTGGTATTTTTATTATTTGGGGAAAATTTGTTTTAAATGTTTCATCTCTCCCACCCCCGTCATTATTACATTGTGTAAGTTATATGATTTTTTAAAAGTATATCAGACCTCAGGATTTTTAGTTCTAAGATATTCATTCATAAATTTTCTTGTTCCAAACATATCTGAGGCTTTGATCCCCCTCTCCCCTCTGCAAGCACCATGATTGGGCTTTAATTGGATATGTCAGCCCCTTTCATTGTATACAAAGAAACCAATTGACTGTGGTTGAAACTCAATTCAGCATCTGTAAAAAAGGAATGTGGTGTAGTGTTTTTGTGGTCATGGAACTAAACTGATTTTATGTTTGAATTGCTTATCAGTGAGCTACAAGTGAGAGGAAAATACACAGTTGTGATGAAACTTTAAGGACAAAAGATTGCATTTAGTGTTCATTATGGAAGGCAGGCTCACTACAGAGAAATCCACGTTGTCTGTGTTGAGTACCTTTACTAGGCGAAGTGCCATCCTATAACATCAGCCTTCTCTTTTGGCCACAGTTTCAGTGTTTACAGATATGCTTTCTATCATGGATTTATAGAATAAAGCAACACTGACCTACTGAAGTGAATGGCTCCAACTTTGAATGACTGGGGAAGGCCATATGTCCCACTATTTGCACTCACAGACCTGAGAAAGGAAAGGATTTGGGGGCTGGGGTTTAGTGATTTAGTCCAGTTTCTCCTCACATTCCACTGTCTGAGATAGAAAGGAGAGCAGATAAATTGGTGGAAATTAGAATTGATCTCCATGGCAATGACTTGCTTCTTCTGGCTCCACAGATAGATAAGTGTTCAAGGGGGAGCTGTCTAGGCCCACGCATTTGTATTCCTTTTGTAGATAAATAGACTCGGGGGTGGGGTGCGCAGAGATTGTGCTTTCAGGTATGCATATTATATTTTAGGCTCTTTTAAGGAGGATTTTATCACTGATGCAAGCTGGGTCAGAATGGCTACATTTATCCAAGATTCTTCAGGCACAATACCTGTTTTGGCTTGAAGTACTTAAGCAATTGAGAAAAATTCTTGTGTTTCTTGGCTTGAGTTTTCCATATTGGCAGCATTTTCTGCCTAGATTCACCCAATCATTTCCCGCCTACCATGTCTCTCGTCTTAATTGAAAGTATAGTAAGTTGTCCCACAATCTATACTTTTCCTCCCACTTGTGAACAGAATGTAAGTCTGGTTAGACATTCATAATGAACAGACGGACTTAGATTGCCTGAGCTCTGTGAGCTGAGAAGGAGGATTCTATGAGTATGTTTGGGGAGGGACAGATTCCTCCCCTGCTCAGAGAAATTCCTTGACTCTCAATATCTTTGTTTGAAACTTAAAAAAAATTGTAATATCAAAAATTAAATATATGTATATCTCTGTGGCAGCCAGGGTACACCCCCCCAGCTCTGTTAGAAGCTAAGCTCAGTGTTTATCAGTTTCCTGAGCAGATGCCTCTCTCTCTGTTCATCATTTAAACCAGGGGTGGGGAACCCTTTTCCTGCCAAGGACCATTTGGATATTTATAACATCATTGTAGGGTCATACAAAATTATTGATTTAAAAATTAACCTGCTATGTTTGATCAAACATTTAATTAAATCACCTCTAATGCTTTGGCAGGCCAGACCAAATGGTTTCATGGGCCTTACATGGCCCTGCGGGATGTTCACCACCCCTGATTTAAAGAGAGGTGGTCACCAGGGTTCCTCTTCAACCTGGTTGCCACTGACTCCCAAATCCAGATCTCCAACCCAGACCTCTCCTGTTTTTCCAACCACTTACATCACCTCAAACTCAACACATTCCAAACTGAACTCATCTATACTCATTCTCCCCCCATCTTTATTTCACAGTTAAGTGCATAACATCACAATCTATTAAATCTTCCAAGGTAGAGACCATTGTGTAATTCTTGATTCCTCCCATGTCCATTCATGTCAGTTTTGCTTCCTGTACAGCTCATAAAAGAACCCAAACTCCTACCATTCTCAAACATATATTTTGTGGTGAAGAGAAACAATGAACACCTGAGTAAATATTTAAAAAACATTGTTGGAAAACTAAATCAAGGAAAGGGAGAGTAGACTCTCAGAGTATGTGCAGTTTTTATAGAGAGTTAAGGGAAACTCTGGAAATGTCAGTTGAATGAAATAAAGGGAGTAAGCCATGTGTCCGTCTGGGGAAAGAGGGGTCCTGACAGAACAGCAAGTGCAAAGGTCCTGAGGTAGGAGTATACTTGTGCTAGAGAAACAACTAAGGATGCCAGTGTGACTGGAAAAGAGAGGGTAGGGGGAAAGGCGAGAGTGGTAGGGTATCAGGTCAGAGGAGTGGGGGGAAGGTAGGCAGTCATAATATATAGGGCTTTTTAGGTTAGGGTACACTTGTGACTTTTTCTTTGCCTTAGATCAGAGTCTATAGTCTCATCTCCCTCCAAAATTCCTTTAATGGTGTTTAAACCTTAGTCAAAGAGCTCTACAGGGGCTGTTAAATGAAAAAATAAAAAGGGTTCAAATGAAGAATGGACAGAGAACTGTTGGATACTGCAATTTTTACTCATACATCTATATTAATATGAATCCGATTTTCTTTTGGAAATAATTCATATTATCTGTTTTGTAGAGATTGGACTTTTCAGGAATTGAACCTGATATAAAGCCATTTGAAGAAAAGTGTAATAAACGTTTCCTGGTAAATTGCCATGATTTAACTTTTAATATCTTGGGTCAAGTTGGAGACAATGTAAAAGGACCACCCACAAATGTATGTATGACTTTTCCTTCTACTTCCCCTAAACCAGTGCATTAAGAAAACATCTTAATTTTTTATAACTGAGAACTAACTTACTGGGTGAAAATTCTATTGCTACATGTTTTGATACATTTGACATGGAAGAATTTCATATATGTCTTTCTTTTGCCAAAATGTGAATATGTCTTCATCTTGAAAGATTTGTGAAAGTTTTACCTATTCAAAAGGCAGATAGAATAGGCTCCTGACATTCAAGAGAGACATATCCCCAGAACCTGGTAAACCTTCAAATTTGTGAATTCTACTAGAAAATATGACTTCTGTGAAATTGGCTCATAGCCATGAGTAATGAACATGAAAGCCATGCAGGGGTCCAGATGCTATGCAGTCATCCTCATTCACTGTTCTCAGAGTGAATTAATTTTGTTCTGCACAGAAAATTCTAATTATTAGCTATTAAGGATCATTTGATTTGCTCAGAAATTCTTGAAACTATAAATGTAAAATTGCCAGAGAGTCTGAATTTTATGTTCATCTTGATTTTTTTTTTGGTTCTAGTTTTGTCTTTGAAAAATATCCACAATGATTTATTCTCTCTTACAATGTAGCTGAAACTCACTAGCAGACTTTCTGTGTGTAAAGGGTTAATCTTTATGCCATCTGGCATGAAATTTCTCTTTGTGACCAGCTCTCAAATGCCATCTGTAGAGAGGAATCATGTTTTCCAAAACTGCTGATGGGGCAACAAAGCTTTTGTCAAGTAATGTGATGTTGACTGTTATTAGCTTTTATGAAATGTAAATCCAGTAAGCTGTAACATAACAAAAGGGAAGATTTATTTCGATTCTATAATATTGGCATTATTTTGGGGCAACTTCAATAAACCTATAGAAAATTAAATTTTATTTGTTAGACAATTGGTGTGCTTTAAATTTGGCTTCCAATTTCTACTCATCAATTAAAAAAATTATAACTTGTGAAATTATTTATACCTGACAAAAGTTAAAATTTGTAGGCCTGTTAGAATGTTCTTTCTTATGTGCAAATGAGCTTTAATGCAATTTTAGCTAAATGCTGAACTCAGAAAAAAAGTGTAATCACAGAAACTTGAATAAAAAAAATATTTTGTAATTTGTGTCCCTTCACACACTCCACCTAAAAAAGCCATTTTAGTTTAAAAATGGAATTGTCTTCATTCCCAGGTTGAACCCTTTTTTATCAATCTTGCCTTATTTGATGTGAAGAACAATTGTAAGATTTCAGCTGACTTCCATATAGACCTGAATCCCCCTTCTGTTCGTGAAATGCTGTGGGGCACTTCAACTCAACTAACCAGTGATGGAAATGCAAAAAGCTCTTCACCGGAGTCTTTCATTCATGGAATTGCTGAGTCTCAGTTACGCTATGTAAAGCAGGTAAACCATGATCTTTTAGAATAAGAAACAGATACACCCTCGGGTTATTTCATTGTTTCAGGCCAATGTTATTACGGGCTTTCATCTCTTGTAAGGTCTGTGTATTGGTGTTTTTCTAGTGACTGTAATTGGAGAGAAAAAAACCCAGAAACCAGAAAAATAAATATGCTGGTAATACACTTGCGAAGTAACATTTTAATTGGGATCATGATGTGAGTCTCAAAAGTGTTTTGTGACATGGACTGCAGATCACATAGATACACACACACACACAGACATACATGCATGCATGCACACATGAATACCCATGTGCATACTTCTGAGCAAGGCAATAGGTGCCTGCGAGGCTTGTTTCTTTGAAGAAACAGTGACCTTACATTGACCTCCCATCTCTAATTCCTATTTCCATTATGAATAGATAGTTTTAATGGAGCATAAAGGCTCTTTATACAAGGAGTTCTGGTTGAAAAGCAATGGGAGGGAACTGCTGTGTCACAACTGTAATGCTACTCTCTTCTGTCCTATGTGGTGCAAAGCATCTCCTTTAGAAAGAGCCTAACGATTCCCTGGCATTTTGACCTCTGACCAGAGTGGCAGCTATAAGAGGTTAGGCAGAGCAGAACTGATTGCCTTCTAGACTTTTGCAACTGAAAGGAAACTATAGAGTGAGGCAAATAATTAGAGTAGGAAGAACAAAGCAGCTGTCATTGTAAGGAGATTTATTTTTCCCAAAATAAAACTGATCTTATTTTCTGATTATAAAGATATACATATTATCATATAGAAAATTCAAACAATACAAAAAGTATAAAGAAGAAAGTAAAAATCACCAGCCATAGATGGTAGTTATTAACATTTTGGCAAACATTTTTCTAGATAGCTCTGTTGTATGTATGTGTAAACACATACAGTTTGTATAAGACTATACATGTGTATCATATTCATGCTGTTTTATACCTACTGTATTCATTTAACATGGTTGTCATTATCAACATTTTTAGATAGTCACATTCTTAAAGGCTAATATGATATTCCATTGATTTAACTAATTAGAATATAATTTTTGGATATAATAAATAGCACTGCATTGAACATCCTTGTGTGTACATGCTAGCTCATTTTTTGAATTATCTCCTTAGAATAAATTTCCAGCTTTGGAGTTTTGAGGGTCAACGATTATGCTCATTGGTACAGACTGCTAAATGGCAGGGGAAGACTTTACATGTGATGTCACTACCCTCTTTAGGCTACAGATCTTTGGTAGCTTTTCCCTGCATTGTCCATTACCCCTTGTTCCCTCATGGCCCCTTTGTTTGTTACTCAGACTATAGTTGTCTCATATGTGTACATTCCACAAAACGGCCTATGCTTCTAAAAGAGAGATTGAGCAGGTTCAGTGGGATACATATTTGAGAACTTGCTATTGAATTGTATGTTTAAAATTTCCCACATGATATCAAATAAGTCCTTTTAAGCCAACGATGTGTTTACTGTATTACTTCAATGTACTTAGTTGTATGTTCAATGCAAGAAGTTTAAATTGTGCTTCCAGGTGTCATCCCACTTGTAATCTAAGTCAGGAATAAAACCAGCATGCTTTGAATATCTCCTGTGTGCCAGAATTTTCCACTGGTGTCTCATGGAATCATCATACTCTCCTGAAATAGTATAATTATTGCTGTTTTGCAGATGAGAGAACTGCAATTCAGGGAGGTTAAGTAAGCTGTCCACCATTACAGAGTCAGTAGTGTTACCAGCAGGATTTGAACCTAGGCCTGTTTGAAAGACCTCAATCAGCAATGTTAGGCAGGATGCAATTAAGTGCTGAGGCATACAGAATAATGGTAGTAGAAGAGTTTAGAATGTGAGGAGGGGTCAGTCTTCAGGAGTTCACTTAGAATAGTCCACAGAAGATGTGGGGCTTGAGAGAGACCTCAAAGGAATAGATGAGAGCTGGGCAGGTGAGAATAATGGGCAGTGGCCTCAAAGGGCTTTATCATTTTGAACCCTCTCTCAGATCAGCTGAAGACACCAGGAAATGGTCATTTACTTCAAAGAGTTGAACCTTTTATTTGGAAGAAGTCTTTTTCTTAACTTCTTCCCATTTAGGACGAGGAAACAGTTACTATGTAAGAGAGACTTAGTGTTAGCCGATCTCAGCTCAACCACTTTCCAGCAATAACAACGATTCAAGCACTTACTATTGCTGATCTATTTCTCTAGGTATTTATCTGTATGAAGCCATTTAATTCTCACAACACCCCAGTAAAGTAGCTAGGTACTGTTACTATCCCCATTTTGTAGATGAGGAAACTGAGCACGGAATAGTCAAGTGGCTTGCCCAAGGTCACAGAGCTAATAAGATGAGGAAATAGGACATGAACCTAGGTCTAGCAGGCTCCCTAAGAAGCCCATAGTTTTATCCCTATACTGTACTGCTTTCATGTCACCCTAGAGAGAAGAAAGCAGTCCAGTTCTCCAGCACTCCCAGGAAGGGCTGATGGTAGACTATTCCCTTCCAGCAAGGCTATTCAAGTAGCAGCATTATCTATGGGGACAGGCGACTTCCAGGGTTTGGTGGATGTTGGGTGTTTTGGGACCATTCTAGGCTCTCCCCACCTGCTCCTTAGAATCTTTCTCCCCAGTGGCTTCCTGAGGAGCCATGGGGTGATCATAGGAAATGGAGGAAGTTGGCTCCATCCAGTAGTTTTGCTTCCCTGACACCAAACAGCTACTGTGAGCAGTCACTTTACTCTCAGCCTCCTGGCAGTTTTTTCCCAGATACCCTGGTAGAGCTTAATGCTCCATGTCCCCCAAGGTTGAGTTGGGGTTGTGGGGGAGCTGCTGACTCTTGGGGGTTGCCTACCTGTGGCTCTAGGCTCCCTGCTGGAGGGTAGCAGTTGTTGGATTGGTGAAAGGGTACAGAGCTACCCCCCCACTACTGCATGTCTTGCCATGCCTTAGGGGGCTGTGTAAGTGATGGGGATTGGGGGACCTGCCTTATTCTTTTGAGGGAGAGATCATTGAAATGAGTAACAGTTACCCTGTGCTGGGGGCGGCGGGGGGGAGGGGGCGCAGTTTATACCTCCTTAGTGGGAAAGGAGGGCTGGACCAGAGGCCTTGTCCTAAAGGGCAGACTCCTAGCCTATGTGGGCTTCCTGGACTCTCTCTGGCTATCCTTCTGTGTTTGGGGAATGGCAAGGCTAGAAGCTAATTGGACCAAAGGCAGAACAGCTCCAGAGAGTATCCCCCTGTACTGGAATCCCTGGTCAGTTAAAAAGTGAGCATCTTTGTGCCTCAGCATCCTCATCTGTCAACTGGAGGTAACATTAGTACCTGCGTCCCAGGGCTGCTGAGAGGGTCAGGCAAGGCATGCCATCTTGGAGAGCACTCAGCACTGGACCAGGCCCACTGTGTTTGCTCAGTACCATGTGGCTGCTAGTAAGGGCAGCAGTAATAGTGATCACAGATAAACGAGTAAAAGCAGCTTGCTCTTCTTATCAACTGTCAAATCATTTCAGATCATAATACTCCTAACTGGCATCGTCAGTGTGGGGAAATGCTGAGAGTACAGGGAATGGGGAACTAAAGGTACTCAGTGGATGTTAGCTACAGCAGTAATCATTATTACTGTTCTCATCCAGCCTCACTGCATGATACATTGGCTGCAGGGGCCCCGAGGTTGAGAGGCAGTATAGCATGGACTGTATAGTCTGGAAACTCTGGCCACAGTCTTTTTTGCCCATTTACTTGCTGCATAAACCTCAATTTCTTAATCTTTAAAATATGTATTATCGCCCAGCCAGCATGGCTCAGTGGTTGAGTGTCGACCTATGAACCAGGAAGTCACAGTTGGATTCCAGGTCAGGGCACATGCCCAGGTTGCAAGCTCTAGCCCCAGTAGGAGATGTGCAGGAGGCAGCCAATCAGTGACTCTCATCATTGATGTTTCTCTCTCCCTTCCTCTCTTAAGTCAATAAAATATATTTTAAAAACTATGTACATCATAGTGCCTGCTTTAAAGGTTTTTATGAAGACTGAGATAATGCACGAAAACCATCTAGCACAGTTACATGACAATTGGTATGCATGAAATTACATTTGAGGCAGTCTGCCAGCCGCATCCCACAGTTCGAGCAGCGTGTTCCTGGCAGTAGTAGAAATCCAATTCTGTGACCTTGAGTGGCTTTGGGCCACTCTAGTAATAACCAGGTACCAATGTGCATGACTTCATTTAATCCATATGAGTCGTTGATTCAGTAGCTAGTACTATCATCATCCCTATTTCATAGATGAGAAACCTGAGACGTAGAGAGGATCTGACTTGCCTAAACCCCGTAAATGGTGGAGCCAGAATTTGAGCCCAGGAAATTGTGTTTCCGAGCAGTTTTTAACCACTTCATTCCATGCTTGCTGCTTGGGAATTCAAAACTGTATCAGCCATTAACCTGGGATCCTTACAAGCTTTTGGAGTATGGAAGGAATTACTTAGTGCCTTGCACTCATTTTTCTTTTCTGCTTTGTCTACCTCAGAGGGTTCTATCTGGAACAAATGAGATAATGTGTCTGAAATGCTTTGAAAACTGGAAAGCACTCTCTTAACACAGTTGGTAATACACCAAGTAGAAAAACAAAACTTGGTAGAGTCCCAATGATGGATTTTTCCACTTGAATTCCTTTGTGTGATGCTCCTTTAAACAACAGACATAATCAACTAACAAGCTGTTTGGAAGGCATTATATTTGGAAAGAGCTGAGCTGGACAGGGTATATGGTTGTTCCACATGCATTCAGAGAAAACTTCTGTATATTTGGTTGCATCTACCTTAGTACCCTTAAGTAAAGCGCACAGGAACAAGATGAGGTTTGGATCCTGTGTCCCCTACCTTTACAGCGAAAGCCCCAGAGCTCTTTACCTGTCACAAAGGAATACTTTCTATAAGATGATTTAGTTTTTATGTTATGCAGTTTGAAAACTGTTACACAGACCAATACCGTATTTTCTTCCTCTTAGCTGCAGTCAGTATTACTTGTGACTGAATTACTCTGGAGTCACATGCAGCCACATTTAAAAATGCTTATCCAGCCCTAGCCGGTTTGGCTCAGTGAATAGAGCATTGGCCCAAGGGCTGAAGGGCCGCAGATTTGATTGCTGTCATGAGCAGGTACCTTGGTTGTAAGTTGGATCCCTGGCCCTGGTCGGGGCACGTGCCCTGATCGGGGCATGTGTGGGAGGCAACCAATTGATGTGTCTCTCTCACATTGATGTTTCTTTCTTTCTGTCTCTCCCCCTCCCTTCCACTCTCTCTAAAAATCAATGGAAAAAATATCCTTGGGTGAAGATTAACAAAAACTAAAAATACTTATCCAGTTTTATTTGAGAAATGCACAGTAGTTTAGCATATGCCGATTAAGCCAAACAATATACATTGTATTAATGAGATCCAACAGTGCACCTTGCAAACACAGCTAAACACAAGAAGCTAAGCAGCAAGTGTGACCATCTGCACTTTCAAGACTACTAGATATGAAATTGGTGACAAAATAGAAAATCCATTTGGAAGGAACATTGGGATCTTGGGAAATGGTTTGAAAGGAACTGTTATCTATTTCCATCATGCCAGACATGAGTCTATGTTGACTACCAACATTCTATGCTAAATGCACTACATGGAATCCTTAATCAACAACTGTATGTATGAGATTACATAAAAACTAATGGATGTCATTTTTTTCCGTAGGGAATTTTCTCAGTGACGATTCCACATCCTGAAATTCTTCTAGTTGCGCGAATTGAAAAGGTGCTCCAGGGCAACATTGCGCACTGTGCAGAACCCTACATCAAAAATTCAGACCCAGCAAAGGTATTTATAAAGATCATCTGTGAACATTTCAGCTTAATGTAGAACTTGCCTTTTACTGATATTCTAAATGGGATTGTCAATGACACCCCAAAAACTTACACTCAGCATGCAGTATACTGTGAAATATTGTATACTAGGCTAGGTGACTATGCATGTTAAAGCTTGAACGTGACGTTTTTCCCCTTTCCATTTATGTTCTGTTTACATGACAATCTGATTTCTGCTGGCTTATCAAAATAAGAGCTAAAGGTTTTTCAGCAACATCTGTTCAATGACACTGTATCCTTGGCAATAGCCACTTTTTTTAAAGCCCAGCCCTAGAATATCAGAGGTGGGATGGTAAAGATGATCCGGTTCTGTAGTTCCCAAAAGCCAGTCTGTACTCAAATTTACTCCTGTATGAAGATGACGTGAGAAAAGAAAAACGAGATAGTGAGTGGTTCATGAAGCTAAATGTATTCAATTCAAAGGGCTGTTCTTTATTCTGAGATTTTTGCCCTTGCCATTTTGTAATCATTCCTCCTATCCTTCATGAAATGTTGGCGTATTAAATGGTAGGGATTTTTACTGTTTCTTGTATTTAAATGGCAACATTGAAAGTCAGCAACCCATATAATTATCCAAATTTTTGGACTCTGACATCTAAACTTAGGGAAATTATTGATTGAATCCTCTGTTCTCATTTTGTAAATGAGAAAACTGAGGCCCAGAGAGAGAATGTATTTGTGGCACAGTTCATTAGCAGCTCTCCAGCTACTGAGTATTTATGAAGAGTCCATCTGTTCTACGTGGCATTTACTTGTGTATTCGAGCAGTGTTTATGAAGTGGAAGATGCTGAGGACACATGTGACTAATTTGTGAAGAAAAAAAGGTCTCGATATAGATAACAGCTTCTAGCATCTCTATCCCTGACGATAAGTGTGTAGCCAGCATTTCACAGCCCGTTGATATTCTATAGGCAGATAATATCCTTTGTTATCTCCCGGTGCCTCTGCATATAGTGGCTCCTGCCCATGCAAAACTAATTGTATTGACTCTTGGTCACTTGCCTTTTAGCTTGGGAGTAAAAAGGTCAACTATATCCACTTCTTCCAAGAATGTCCAGTGTCTGTCTGCTCTTGTGTGAAAAGAAATACACGTTTAAACTGCTTAAAAATTTCCCAGTGGGAGTCCGGTCCAAAATGTGCCCTACATCTTATTTGTCTGTCTTCAGATATCTTGATGAAGATCTGTCAATGGAAAAACACAAAACCTTTAAGAAATACTGCTTTGGTCTTGGAAAGTGTGTAGCCGATGCATGTTGTCTTTTATTTGTGGCTATTTGAATATATTTTTTTCTAAATTTTGGTATTTTATATTAGATAAATTGGGGACATTATTTTGGGGGGAATCCCTGGTAGTTTGAACAAATATGAGCCTATCTTCTTATTTCTGACCTTAGACGGCCCAGAAGGTGCACAGAACAGCCAAGCAAGTGTGCAGCCGCCTTGGACAATACAGAATGCCCTTTGCCTGGGCTGCCAGGTGTGTACATATGTAATCCGGACCCTTCTCATCACACTCATATGTGAACTTGGGGGATGTTGTTTTTGCTAGCAGCAGTCAGCAGTTTGTTTCTGACAAACCAGTTATAGTTTGCCAGTTATGCTTTGGGGCACCTGGGATGTGTCCTAGTCCCTTTGGGTCCTATAACAAATTACCTGCTTAAACAACAAATGTTTAAGGCAAAGGTTTATGCCTTAAACAACAAACATTTATTTCTCACAATTCTGGAGGCTGGATGTCGTAAGATCAGAATGTCAGCATGGTCAGGTTCTGGTGAGATTCTCTTCCAGGTTAGAGACAGCTGACTGTTTTGTGTCCTCACAGTGCAGAAAGGGAGCAGGCAATCTCTCTGGTCTGTTCTTACAGGGGCACTAATCCCATTCATGAGGGTTCCACCCTCATGACCTAATCACCCCAAAGATACCACCTCCTAATATAATCATCTTGGGGATTAGATTTCAACATATGAACTTGGGGTGTGTGTGATACAAACATTCAGTCCATAACAGGATATAAGAATTCTTTGTCTTAGAATTTGCTGTACATCAAAGACCCTTTAATTTCTTCATATGTCTCATAAGTTTTGGGAAATTTTCTTTGGCTTGGATTACTGATCTCACTGACACCACTTAATTATATTGTGCTTTAAAGCAGAGCTAATTTTCTTAAGTGATGGAATTTTTTTCCAGAAAACCAGAAATTATTGTAAATGAAGTACAGTATGCGCACTATTTCAGAGTTGACTGGATTTATGCTTTGAAAAACTAGCATAGAATAATTCTGGAAAACATACCAAAAATGAGAAGGCAAAAAATCCAGTTGTTAAGTGCAAGTCTGTAATTAATAGGTTTTGTTTGTTTGTTTGTTTTGCTTTCTAATGACTAATTCAGTAAACTCTTTAGAGGTAGTGTGTGTATTTATTTGGAAATGTGTTATCTATATCAGCAGTCGCCAGTCAGTGGTCCATGAGGTCCGAAAGGTTGGCGACTGCTGATCTATACCACGTCCTATGGTAGATTTACATGCCCCCCCCCCCCAATATTGGAAGTCTGCATACATTGATGACTTAAAATGTGTTTCTTGCTTATGCCACTTTTGAAGTACAGGTTCATTGGCTTGTTTGTGGTACAGCCTGTACAACAACTCACTAGAACTGGGGAAAGGGCACCATGTTCTGAATAATTCAATCAATTATGTTCCATGTGTGCTGGGAGTAGCAAAAGAGTAGGAGACTCTAAGTTAATGAACTCTTCTGTCACTATTTATAATCATTTAGATTTTTGGGAAGGTCCCAAAATGCATTGTATGTTGGTAGATGAAAAGGCACATTGTCCTTGTTTTACAGAATGATTAAAAAATGATAGCCAAGGATAGATGAATGGCAAAGAGTAGGGGAGGATAGTATAGTTAGGCATTATATAAGGTGAAATATGACTTTGTAAACATAAGCATCCTTAGTGATGCCCCAGCCTGAAAAGTCAATTGCTGTTGCTGCTGTTATTATTAATACTTATTGAGTGCTAACTCTGTATAAGGCAGTGGTCTAAGTGATTAGTTTACATTTTCTTAAGAGGTGGATACTGTTATCCCCTTAGAGATGAGGAAGTTGAGGCACAAAAGTAAAACAAAGTTTCTGCTCAAGTTTACACAGAATGTGTGTTAGCAGGGATCGGAACCCATGGCTCCTGACTTCAAAGCCTACTCTAGACCACTGTTGCACACTGCGCCCCCTTCAGGCCATAGCAGTAGCTGCTTCATGCTGTTTTGCCAATAGAAAAATTAATTTTAAACTCTTCAAAGTTAGAAGCTTTGATCCCCAGTTCTGATGAGGAATTATGCTATTTATTCTTCCTAAATTATTTTGGTTGTTAGTAGTAGCAGGAACTCACTCTACAGGCTTGGCTGGGGTATTTAAAAGATGTATGATAAGCCTTTGTTTACTGAAAATAAAGGATGTATGCTTAGAAGTAGGAACAGTGGTTAATGCCTATGACCACATCTTCAGAGGCTCTGCCTGGGAAACTGTGTTTCTGGCTATAGCTACTCCAGTGTGTTGGATACTTGTACATCAGTTCCCATTTTTTTTCCAGTAAAATATCTGCTTAAACATGGGATAGGGGTAGGAGGGGAAATAATCAAATTCATATTGGAAATTCTACATATATATTATAAACTCTATATAAATTGATCTTAAAGATCTAGTTTATGTTCTGTCAACTTTGAGATATCCTTTACCTTTGGTGAAAATGTACACATTTTATATGTCCAACTTGATGAATTTTCACAAATGTATATAGGCATGTGACTACCACCCCAACTAAAATAGAGAACTTGTCAGTCACTCCAGAAAGTTTCCACACCTTTCTGTCTAATTAGCCATCCCACCCCTACCCAGGCAACCACCAATCTGATTATCACTATAGATGACTTTGATCTATTCTAGAACTTCATGTAAGTGGAATCATGCAATATGTACCCTTTTATTTTGTTGTTTCTGTTCAGTCTGTTTCTGAAATTCACCCATATTATTGTATGTTTCAATTGTTCATTTTGAGTAATAGTTCATTGTATGAATATACCACAATTTGCTTATCCAGTCACGTTTTTTTCTCTCTTTATTGATTAAGGTATTACATATGTGTCCTTATACCCCCATTGCCCCTCTCTACTCATGCCCTCACCCCCTGGTGTCCGTGTCCATTGGTTAGGCCTATATGCATGCATACAAGCCTTTAGTTGATCTCTCCTCCTTACCCCCACCCCCTCTACCTTCCCTCTGAGGTTTGACGGTCTGATCGATGCTTCTCTGATTAATATCTAGATTGTTTCCAGTTTGGGGCTATAACAAATAAATCTGCTGTGAACATTCATGTACTGTGTGGAAATAAATATGCTTATATGCTTAGGGGTGGAATTGTAGAATCATAGGGAGGGTGCATGCTTAACTTCCTGAGAAACTGCCAAACTATTTTCCAAACCAGTTTCACAATTTTATACTACTAGCTCTAATTTTGTTATTTATCAATCCTGTAAAAAAAATTAAAAACCCTTTTTGTTGCTATTTAGACCTATTTTCAAAGATGCTCAAGGCTCTCTGGACCTGGATGGGAGATTTTCTCCTTTGTATAAACAAGACAGTAGTAAGCTTTCAAATGAAGACATTCTCAAGTTGCTCTCAGAGTACAAGAAGTAAGTGTGTGGAATTACTGCAGTAAATCAATATAATAGAATTTTAATTTCTTAAAATGATGAATGTGAGTCACATACAGGATGGGGCAAAAGTAGGTTTATAGTTGTTTGCATGGAAAATAATACAATAATAAATAGTAAAAGAATAATCTGTTTTGTGTACTCAGCAATTATAAACCTACTTTTGCCCCACCCTTTATGGGAGAAACTTAATGCTTCAAAATTTTAAGTTTGGATGCATGGTAAACCAGTCCATTTAGTAATCATAATTTTTAAGTATAAAATATTCTTATTTTACACCTAGGCCAGAGAAGACCAAATTGCAGATTATTCCTGGGCAGCTAAACATCACAGTAGAATGTGTTCCTGTGGATTTATCAAGTAAGAACTCATGTATTGCAAATAAACCTTAATGAATATGTTTGAATCTTAGATTTTTACCTTTTCTATATTTTTCTTGAGGTTTACATGGTTTATTTGTTTCCTGGGGCTGCTGTAAGAAAGTATTACAAACTGGGTGGCTTAAGATGACAGAAATTTTTTTCTCATGGTTCTGGAGGCTAGAAGTCAAAATCAAGGTGTCAGCAGGTCTATGCTCCTACTGAATGCTCTCACTGATGCTCTAAGGAAGAATCATTCCTTGCCTCTTCCTAGCTTCTACTGGCTCCGGGCAATCCTTGGCAGCCTCCGCTTGTAGCTGCATCACTTCTTTCTCTACCTCTACAATCATATGGCCATCTTCCCTCTTTTAAGCACACCAGTCGTTAGATTTAGGGCCCACCCTAATCTAGTATGACCTCATCTTAATTAATTACATCTTGCAAAGACCTTATTTACAAAGAAGGTTGCATTCTGAGGTTCTGGTGGACATGATTTTGGGGGGAGGGTGGGACACTAATTCAACCCCGTACACATGGTGAATAGTTACAGAAAGTTGATTGTATAAGATGCTATTTCATATATAATATATGCTGTTGTGAGTGTGCCCCAGTCACTTTCTGCTGCCTTTTGCCAAGGATAACTTTCATCAACTAAGGGATCAAAAGGAGATGTTATTTTCTTCTCTACAGATAGGAGTCTAAAATCTCAGGAGAAAATGAACAGAAGACACAAAAGACACTTTGCAGGAAATAAAATTAAGTGGCTAGTAAATATTTGAAAATGTTCAATCTTAATAATAATGCCGCTAATGCAAATTAAAACAGCTTTTGCTCATCTATCAAACTTACAAAAAAATGTTTAAAGTGCAGCCGTCTGATGCTGGCTTAGTTTTGGCCAAACACCATCACCTATCATGAGTAGGAGCACAATTTGGCAATAGATACCCATAGAAGTCCATAACTAAGGAATTCTAACTGAGATTCTATCTATCCATTTACTCACGGAATAAGGATTTATTCAGTAAACATTTATTGAATGCCTACTAGGTGCTTTAAAATTATGGAGGTTAAAGTCTAGAAGGAGTGACAAACAATTCATAGGAAAACAAATAAGTGACTAATTTCAGTCTGTGATTGGGATGGGCTGCTTTAAAAAGGATGGCCAAAGAAGGCCTATCATGTGGCCCAACCAGCATGCAGTGGTGGGGACTCTACAGTCCCCCTGTGGGCATTGCATATGAAAAGACCTTGCAGTGGGAAAAAGCGTGGTTTATATGAACAGAAAGGAAGCCAGTGTGGTTCTAGTGTGGCGTGTAATGGGAACAAGGGGGACATAAGATGAAGTAGGAGGAGTGAAAAGCGTCACATCATGCAGGGAATTGTATAGACCATGATAACTTCTTAAAAGATTGGATTTTAGCCCTAGCCATTTTGGCTCAGTGGATAGAGTGTCAGCCTACGAACTGAACGGTCCCAGGTTGGATTCTGGTCAAGGGCATGTGCCTCCATTGCAGGCTGATCCCAGTGCCCCGACCAAGGCCACATGTGGGAAGCAACCAATTGATGTGTCTCTCTCACATCGGTGTTTCTCTCTCCCTGTCTCTCCCCCTCCCTTCCACTCTATAAAAATCAATGGAAAAGTGTCCTCGGGTAAGGATTAACAAACACACAAAAAAAGATTGTATTTTATTCCAAGTGCAATGAAAAGCCATGAAAGGATTGTAAGTAGGGGAGTAGCAATTTACATTTTAAAACATCTAAGAGTACAGTGGTTTATTTTTCCTATAGAAGTAATATAAAATGCAGGTAGTTTCTGCATAAAGATTTTCTTTGCAGCATTGTTTATATTGGGAGAAAATTGGAAACAACCAGAGTCCAACACTGTCAGATAGGGTAAGGCAATTATTGGTACTACGATGTCATGAAACTTTATGCAACCATGAAAAATGATGTTTATAAAGAGTTTGTGAAGTAAGACATAGATAAAATGCCCCCAAAAGAGGATAAAGTTCTTCATATATAGTAAAATTTCTGTATTATTATTATTATTATTATTATTATATAAAACATGCATAGAAAGAAGACTAGAAGAAAATAAACCAAAATATTAGCAGTAGTTATCTCTGGGTAGTGGAATGATCACTTGTGTCTGTGTACCTTTACTCCAGATATTTCATTATAAGTATTGCTATAATAATCAGAGAAAACCAACACCCCCCCCCCCCAAAATACTGTGTCCCCAGGTCTGACTCTCGCTGGATCTTCTTTCTCCATCAATATGAGTTTGCAGTAAGGACAAGCAGTCATAGAGCCCTTAAATATATCAATAACCTTTAGTACAGTGGCTACTTCAATACTAGTAAACTCTGCTGCTACACTTTTCATGCTCAGGAGTATTGCATTTATTTTTGGTAACACATCATAAAATCTGTAGTTTCAAAAGGCTTCCATTATTTCTTAGGTGAAAATTTGCACCTGCACCAAGTTAACTTTTTAAAAGTGCCTGGCCATGAGCTAATTGGAGGCATAAATTTACTGTTATTTCCCTGATACCAATAAAAATTTGCAGTGAAAGCGAAATTGAAGCCCCAGGAGGAAAAGTGTAATGGATTTCTTTGTAGAGATTAAATTTGTCAAAATTATGATGTGTTATATTTGGCAAATCAGTCTACTGTACATTGAGAATGAAATAGCAATCCATGTCTAGCTTGAAGGGTTCCACTGAAACCATCATCAGGCTACTCCAGCTTTTATTTTGGGATTCTTAAAGTGGTTGTATGACTTTTTGTCACTCACTGAGAAATCTGTTTTTGAAATCACTCTTTGAGCCCTGGCCAGTGTGGCTCAGCTGGTTGAGCGTTATCCCATGTACTGAAGGTCACTGGTTTGATTCCCGGTCAGGACACATACCCAGGTTTCGGGATTGATCCCTGAAGTGCATAGAGGAGGCAACCAATTGATGTTTCTCTCTCACATCCATGTTTCTTTCTCTTTCTCCCCCCCTCCCTCCTTCTCTCTCTAAAATAAATTAAAAAATTTTTTGTAATGCTTTAAGCAATAAAACAAAATTTTTAAAAAATGAAAAAAAATAATATTACAAAGTTAAAAAAATCACTTTGTGAACACAGTCAATGTATATTTTTATAAATGGAGGAATGTGTCAATGATTTTTAAATTGTATTGTCTTTACCTGTTTATTTCTTTTTGGCTATAGATTGTATTACTTCTTCATATGTGCCCCTGAAGCCTTTCGAAAAAAATTGTCAAAATATTACTGTGGAGGTTGAAGAGTTTGTTCCAGAAATGACAAAATATTGTTATCCATTTACCATTTACAAAAACCATCTGTATGTATATCCCTTGCAATTAAAATACGATAGCCAGAAAACATTTGCCAAGGTAAACAGTGCAAACTATACATTTTGGGGTATAAAATGTTATTTATAATCTTCTCATTCTGTGACTCATTTGGAGTGATTAATCATTTTAGGCAAGGAACATTGCGGTCTGTGTGGAATTCCGGGATTCAGATGAAAGTGATGCCAAAGCTCTAAAGGTTTGTTTATGATACTGACAAGCACTTTCGGTAGAGATAGAGATTTTGATGCTTGGTAGTTCCATACGCTAAGTTTAATTTGTTTCAATGTCAAAAAGAAAGTGTACTGAATTGATAAATATAATACTGTCTTTTCTACTGTTACATATGAACCATAAGCATTAGTTAAACATTAAGAAATAACAAAATGAGGTAGGAGCTTTAAAAATGGGTAAGCTTCATATACCAGATTTTTGCCTTTGCTCTACTTTGATTTTCGCGTTCTCTGATGCCCAAGAACAAGGTCATTTTCTCCTTTGACCAGACAGTTATAATGGTACTATCAGGGGAATATAAACTCCTTTGGTTTTGAAACTTGACCGGGCTTTGAGCTGACAGAAGCACAGCATGACTGCTTTGATCTGAGATAGACATCCACTCTGTGACTGGCCAAATGGTGCCTCCAAACTTGGATTAGTGATCTATGAAAAGCAGCATCTCAGTATTATCTGATACGGCAATCCTTAAGGACCTGTGACTTCACAGTGCTCTTAGATTTTCACTCTTTATAGCTGGTTTTCACTTTTTGCTCTTTAGCCCATTAATCAGAGGCCTGAAAGAAAAGGTGGAACATTTACTCATCGCAAAGTGTTTATCTAGCTCTCCATTTCTCTCGCTTGAGCCTCAATCAGACAGATGGATGGCTAGTCGTCCACTCAAACCACCTAGGGAAACAGGCTGGAATGCCCCCTAACTAAATCGTTGACTGTTTTATAGCCCCCACCTTTGAAAACAGATTTATTTTTCATAGAAAAGCCTAAGTTAAATTAAGGCTGGCTTAAATTAAGCCTGTTTATTCTGGTTCTTCCTTCAATGGAGATGAGAAAAACTGTTCCTCCCCCCCCCCCCATGCAATCTCTTTTTGTGTACTTAAAGATTCTTAGGTTACCTCTCAGCAGTTCCTGCAAATTGCCTTCATAACCATATTTAAGGAGAGCTGGCTCTGTACTCACATAGAGTCTCAATTTCATTTCTTAGCCGGCCTAAAGGCTGGCTCTGAAGTAACAGAGGCAATTAATACCTTGGCATGCTGACTCCATATTCATCCTTGAGCTTATTAGGCCTATGGAAGTGAAAAACTCACACTAGAAATGAAATCGGATCTTTCCATGGAACCATAGAAAGCCTTACATGTATTTTATTGGTATAACACCGTGGTCGGCAAACTGCAGCTCGCGAGCCACATGCGGTTCTTTGGCCCCTTGAGTGTGGCTCTTCCTAAGCCTTAGGAGTACCCTAATTAAGTTAATAACAATGTACCTACCTATATAGTTTAAGTTTAAAAAATTTGGCTCTCAAAAGAAATTTCAGTCCTTGTACTGTCAATATTTGGCTCTGTTGGCTAATGAGTTTGCCGACCACTGGTATAACAGAAAGCCAGTGACTTTTAAAATGTGGCTCGTAAAGTTATAGAACAGTAAGTTGTCTGTAGCTTAATTTTTAATTCCTTTAGGTTAGGAATGTGTCTGCTGGTGTTTTTTTAAAATATATTTTTGATGATTTTAGAGAGAGGAAAGGAGAAAAATATATAGAGAGAAACCTCAGCGAGAGAGAATCATTTATCGGCTGCCTCCTGCACGCTCCCCATTGGGGATCGAGCCCACAACCTGGGCATGTGCCCTGACCGGGAATCGAACCATGACTTCCTGGTTCATGGTCCAAGGCTCAACCACTGAGTCACACGGGCCAGGCTGTTTGTTTGTTTGTTTGTTTTTAACTCTTCACGTTGCCCACTGCACAACAAGCATTCAACAAATGTTAGTGACTGGCTGAGTGGGAACTTCTCATGTTAAGAAATGCAAAAAGCATGAGAGAAGTTTTCCAGGATAGGATTGAGAGTGTTTTCCTCCCAGATGAGTAGCTGTGTTCAACTTCTTACTGGCAACAAGTTCGGAATTGCATTTCTTTGATGGCCAGAAATTCAGAAGCATTTATGTAGCCAAGTTAGGAGAAGTCCTGGGTGAAGTCTGGAGTGACTGTAAATGACTTGGAATTTATAAGCCCATGGTGAGAGCCCAGTGGGCTTGGCCGTGGCCTTGTGCTCACAGATGCTTCTAACTGTATGTGGTTCCATAGCATCACGTTTGAAGACCTGAATTGAGAGTGGTGACTCTGTTTCTTCTTTTGCAGTGTATTTATGGAAAACCTGCAGGATCTGTTTTTACCACAAATGCTTACGCTGTTGTTTCACATCACAACCAAAATCCAGAGTTCTATGATGAGGTAAAATTTCATTATTTTGATGTTTATAAAACACAGTGGTTACTCTTCTTTTTCTCTTTCAGTTGTTTTCATCATGTTATCTGTACTTTTAATCCCTTGAATGTTTCATCCCTTGAAAATGAAAAATGTTACATCAAAACAAAGGACCACTGTGTGCTTGGTGCCCTTTGATAACAGGGGAAGATTTGCCCACAAATTGAAGGGCTCTGGCGTGACGTAACAATGTAGGAAACAAACACCAGACTGGGACTAGGTTTCTAGCCCTAGCTTTGACATCAACTGGCTCTGTGACTTGAGCAAGTCACTTCCCATTTCTGAGTCTCCATTTCCCCTTAGCTTTAAAATAAGAAATTCAGAAGAGGTTCTTTTGAGGCCGTTCTAGCTTTCTCTTCCTGTTCTGCATAGGAGGGTGCAGCCTCTCTGTAAATGAAATGCTTTGAGAGACAGAAGTATGGCTGGGCCACCAGAATCCCACTGGTTGTACCACATGCTTCTGCAGTGCTGAGTGGCATGGTCTCCCTGTCACTGCACTCCCTTCTGCAGACCCTGTCTCTGCCTCTCTTTCTTCCCGTGTCTCTGTCTCTATGACTGTGTATTCCCCACTGGCTCTCTTCGTGTCTCTGTCACAGCCTCGTCTAGTCCGTATGTATCTGGCTTATCCAAATCTACAGACTGCTTTTTTTCTTCTTCTTTAAAAGTCTGTATTGTTGAAAGTATTACATAGGTCCTTCTTTTTCTCCCATTAACCTCTTCAGCCCACTCTTGTCTCCCCCTCACCCTATTGTCTGTGTCCATATGCTGCCCCTGACCTTCACCAACCCCTACCCCGCTCCGGCTCTCACCACCACCACCCACCCTGTTTTGCCCCCAGCCCTCAACGCCCCCTCTCACCCCCAGCCCTCACCACCCCATTGTCTGTGTCCACAGGTTATTTGTATATGCATACAAGTTCATTGGTTGATCTCTTTCCACCCACCCTCCCCTGCCTTCCTACATGTCTGTCTCCATGGCACCTGGATGTAAATCCCAGGCCAGAAGCTCTGCTGTTTCTGCTTCTCAGGCCTCATATCTCCATTCCTGGATTTGTGTGAAACCATCCCCCCTGCTGTCACGATGTCCCCAGGTCTGCTTGTTGTCACATGGAGGCCTTGTGCCCCAGTCTTGGACCCCACTCATCCCTTTCTCCATCCAGTGCCCCTAGTCTCATGGGGGATGGGGAGAAGGATAGTGGCCTTTCATTCTTCAATTCAGGGAAGGAGTATGGCCATATTTATGTACAGCAGAGCATGAGGTAACCAGATGGTTGGGATGATGCAAATAGGCACATTCTGTGGAGAAATATACCTACAACAGAAATTAGTTATAACACCGGAACCATGCCTTGTGTGAATGATAATTAGGCCAGATGTCCCTCACCGAGCTGTTGAACATGCCCCCTCTATAGTCAACGCCAGTCACTACAGAAAACTTGATAATGTAGAAAGCAATCCATATTATCTTTAGCCAGAACTAAAAGGCTTTATAATTATTCACTATAGATTTACCAAGAGAAAAAGAGAGAGAGATCGGGGGAGAGGGAGAGAGAAGCGGGAAGAGGGAGAGAGTGAGAGGAAGAGTGTTTGCATGCATTTCTGTGTAGGTACATGCATGTGTGTTAAGTCAATGAAATTTATAGTTTGTCTCACATACTTTCAAGAGCATTACCAACATGGGATTAAATTTATGTCAGCCATGACAAATTTTATTTCTTTATTCATGGATCAAGTTGTATTTTTCTTCTATAGAAATTTATACGAACTATAATTTGTATATACATAATACCAAAGTGACTTTTTATACATTTAATAGCAAAGCTTAATTTTTTTGTGTGCAACAACTTAGAATAAGGTAGCCTTTCAAATGTAGTGCCATTTATGTATTTACTTATGCATGTATTTATTTATTTATTTATTTATTTATTTATTTATTTTTAAGTCCTCATCCAAGGATATTTTTCCTATTAATTTTCAGAGAGAATGGAAAGGAGGGTGGAGCGAGTTGGTGGAGGGAGAGAGAGACATCGATGTGAGAAGAAATACATCTATTGGTTGCCTCTTGCACATGCTCTGACTGGGGAGGGGGATAGAACCTGCATGTATGTGCAATTGACAGGGAATCAAACCTGTGACCCTTTGGTGAGCAGGCTGATGCTCTAACCACTGAGGAACATGGGTCAGGGCATCAAATTCAGTGCCTATTTTAGATTGATTGTATTTGCTGACTTAGGTTGAGTAACATAGCATCCCTGGGCTATGAAGATGTGGTTTTGATCCATTGTTTTAGAAAATCCTGCTGCAAAGTGGAATCCAGGAGAATCCACTGGACTTCCCTCAAAATGTCAGCCCTCACAACCCAGGAGAATATTGTCTTCAAACTGAAACTGACCAGAAAATCATTTGGAATACACTTAAATGATATCTATTTGACCACTTGGCCTGTCATTTAGAAAAGTTTGACATTTGAAAAGTATGATGGAACAACTGAAGTACTGACAGTCCAGCTTGACAATTAAAACAAAATTCTACATGTAATTTTGTCATTTCAGATTAAAATCGAGCTTCCTATTCACCTGCATCAAAAACATCATTTGCTTTTCACTTTTTATCATGTAAGTTGTGAAATTAACACGAAGGGAACAACCAAAAAGCAAGACACAGTTGAAACTCCAGGTATGTGTGTACTTTCAATGTGTCTCTTAGGCTGTTTGAGGTGGAATTGTCCAGATTACAACCTCCTTTCATAAAGCTACAGACCACTTCTTTTCCTCACCCAAAAGTCCCATTTCTGAGTTAAAATTTTAATTGGTAGAAGATGAATTATATGTTCACTTTATCATGATTTCTACCAAATGTCCAAATGCTTGCCAGTGTGCTTGGACTACCATAAGCAATGTAAGTAATATTGCCCTTCTCAGAGAGAAACACATATTGCTATGCAGTATTTGTAGTATCTCTTTTATGTAGAATAGCCGAGTAACCAAAATTTTCCAGTTCTGCTCACTGAGGAAAAGGGAAGTAGAGTTAGGGGCATTTTGGGGCCTGAGGGAGATTGGGGGCTAATTGATAGAACAGATTTGGTGAATTTGAGTAAGTTTGAGTAGTAAAGCCCCCAGTTCTGGTTCCATTCAGCAAGGCTTTAGATAAACCAATGGGAAGCATCCTTGGGAGAACATAGAAGTCTCTACTATATAAATGTCAGCATGCCTCGTGATTTGGGTTCAAACTAGCCTGGATTAATCTTAAATTCATTCATTTAGTCATTCATTCAGCAAATATGTCTGTGTATTTTTTATGTGTAAGATGTTGTAGTAGGCACTGTGGGTAATACAGTGGAGAGTCAAAGGTAGATCTCATCTAAAGTGAGCATATAATCTTTTTAAAATATATTTTTATTGATTTCAAAGAGGAAGGGAGAGGGAGAGAGAGATAGAAACATCAGTGATGAGAGAGAATCACTGATTGGCTGCCTCCTGCAAGTCCACACTGGGGATTGAGCCCGCAACCTGGGCATGTGCCCTGACCAGGAATCGAACCCTGACCTCCTGGCTCATAGGTTGACACTCAACCACTGAGCCGTGCTGGCTGGGAAAGCATATGATCTTGTAGGGGACATTAGACCTATGTAGACAACTGTGATATAAGATAGAAAGTAGTAGTTACCAGTGGTGCTGTGTGATCTCAGAGAAGAGTGAGTTATTACTTCAGCTAGTGGAGGGACACATGGCTGGGAGTTAGGGAGGGCTTCCAGGAGGCAATGGTGTTTGGGTGAAGCCTTAGGGGCAGGGTAGACTTTGATAATGCAGTGATGACATGAAGGTGGAGGATTCCAGAATAAAGCACCAGCTTATACAGAGGCAGAGTATTGAGGAAAATGGACAGAGAACCACAAGGAGTTCAATACAAACAAAGCACAGGGTACTGGGAGAGGAATCATTGGATGTCAGTTGAAAAGGGGGCGTCAGATTGTGGAAAGCCCTGAATGCCAGGCTGTGGATTTGATTTTATTCTGTCACCAATATGAAATATTAAAGCATTATAGATATCAGTGAGGGCTGCTTTGCAAGAAATCCAACAGGTAGCAATATAATGGGCAAGGTGAGAAGGAACACCAGCTAGAGGGTATTTCAAGAGCCCAGGAAAGAGGGATGGAGAAAATGAGAATTACAGAATAAGAATATATTGGACCTAGCAAATGAGTGGCTATTGGAGAGGTGACTCAGAGTTAGCACTGTAGTTTCTGGAAAGAAGATACAGTTGACAACATAGGTTTGCATTACACGGGTCCACTTGTACATACTGGATTTTTTTTTTTCACTTGACCCGCACAGTTCAAAACTGCGTTGTTCAAAGGAAGGCAATTGGGAATTATGTGCGTGGAGGATTGATTTAAGCTGTATGCAGATTTCGACTGTGTGGGGGTTGGTGCCAACTGAATTGCCAAGTAACAGAATTGTAGATGGGAATGATGGTTTGGACCAATGTTGAGTTTGACATCTGAGTGATGTCTGGCAGGTGGCAGGACTGAATATTAGGAAGTTTCCTTTGTGGATGGTGTGGTCTTGTTCTGTATCCCCATGGAAATTGCAATTTGTTCAGGGCAGGAACCTTGAGGTTTGAGAAGAAATCTGGCAGAACAATGCGAACCCATCCATGACGGTATACCTCCTGCAAGACAAATTATTATTTCCTTCTCCAAATCCTAGACAGAAGTGGGTAAGAGGCTCAGTGGAGCATGTGACAGATATTTTATGTGCCACTCAACGCTTTTAACTGTCCATCCTTTAAGTGGCTTCACACCTTAGAGCCAGATGGCGTGTGCTTAACATTGAACCGTTACAGCTTCCAGGTGCTCTGTATGAGTTTTAACTGAGAGACACACCTGGCTGTGCTGTGAAGAAATCACAGTGGGAAAATGTTGCCTAAGCAATTCCATAGAGACAGAAAGTAAATTAATGGTTGTCAGGGGCTGGGGGAAGGGGAAATGGGGAGTGACTTCTAAGGGATGTGGAGTCTCTTTTGGGGTGATGAATAAATTCTGGAATTAGATAGTGACAATGGATGCACAGCTTTGTGAATATAAAAACCATGGAGTTGTATTTTGAACAGATGAATTGTGTGGTATCTAAATTATATCTCAATAAAAATTTCTGTAAGTATGAAATATTGCCTAAGAACAAGAAATATAGTTTCCTATTTTCTGAGCTGGAAACCTTTTGTCATTTGTCTAATTTCAGTTTAATTACTTTGACAGAGTCCTTATGAATGGTTTTTCTGTTCATGTTACTTTCCGGTGCCTGTTATAAAAGAAGAGTTCTGGGTAAACCATTTCTGAAATTGTACTAGTAAAGATGCCCTTCAGATGTGTTTCAGAGTCTGAGAAAACCATTTAGTCTACTTAGAGAAAACAACATATTTGTCTTCTTTTAAGAATTAAAGCATTTGCCAAATTAAACACGTGAATGAAAATATTCTAACCATATTTGTGTTGACTTCTGTGTTCACAGTATAAAAACACGCATACACACACACTCACGCAAAGAATTTTAAAGAATCAGAAAGCAACGGCTTTAAAAAGTACTCTCCAGCCAACACCCCCTTTCAAATGCCAAAACTGTCCAGAGAAAGCTTTTTACGGCTGAGTTATAAACACTTGAAACCCAGAGTAATCTCTATAATTGAAATACTGACACAGATGGTTCTGGCTTTTTTAGCTAGAACATGATGAGTTTTCTAATACAAAGCCAAGAGGCTCTTCTGGATAGAACTGTTAAGAAACCTAGAGACTGGGTGAAATCTCTCAGTGGATTCAAGTTGTAAACACTATGCCCTAACTATATTCTCCTACTATACCTCTTTCTTCTGTAATCAGGGAAGCTGCCCAACCAATTACTGCCTTGTGAAAATATGGAATGCAACCTGGACTTGCAACCTTAATTTTTCATAGTCCCTTGCCCTAGGGTTGCTATAAGAAATTTTGGACCCTGGTGATGGCTGTCCGAGATAGACTCAAATAGGGGACTGCACTCTTAGTAAAAATAGATGAGAGATATCTGGATCTTTAGAAAGTAAGTCTACCCAAAATGATCCCCAAGTGTAGATAATGATATCGATATACTTTTCACGTTTTAAAGTATTTTCATACTTTCAAGTATTTTATCTCACTTTGGTCTCTCTATAACTCTGTTAGATGGAAAGATTGCAGTTGTTATTTCCATTTTTATAGTCAAGGGAATAAAGTAAGTAACTTGTTAGTGGCCATGCTGGGGTTAGGAAGAGACCCAAACTCATTGTTCCTTCCCCAGTACTCAGATGCCCAACACCTGGACTCCGTCGTGCAGACCTCCGGAAACATCACCACCCTGTCCTGCTCCCCAGCAGCCAGACATTTGTGTAGCTAATTGCATTTGTGTTTTCATTTCTCATGGTTGATCATTGTCTTGGCAGTTGGCTTTGCCTGGGTACCTTTGCTGAAGGATGGTAGAATCATTACATTTGAGCAGCAGCTGCCAGTTTCCGCCAATCTTCCCCCAGGCTACTTGAACCTGAACGATGCAGAATCAAGAAGGGTAGGAAAACATCTGCATTTGTTGAAGTAATCATGATGAAATGTTGAAAAAGCAGAATTCTGTTGGCCTAGTTAATAGTTTTGTCTAGTGTAGTTTTAGGACTGCTGCTGGTTCGCAACAAAGATATGTATGGAAAATGAATAATTAGAAACTTTTAGAATAGTCTGAAAAAGTAACCTCATGTCTGTTTGTTCTAATAATCTTAAAAATGGTTTCGGGTTTTGTGCATCATTTAAAAAAATTCATTTATTTCGTAATTCATTTTTATTGTAATTTATAAAAGTATCCTGCAAAGGATTGGAAATTTGAAATGATCTAGGATACATTTATACCAAAGGCAGGTTATTTTCTCCAATAATTTCCTTTGTGTGAAACTCACACATTCATTTCTGAAAAAATAAAAGTTGAAATAAATAAAGGTGTGATATGTTGCTCATTTAGCCATTGCTATGTACAGAAACTCATGTGCGTATTTTCTGTTCCCAGCAATCTAATGTGGATATTAAGTGGGTAGATGGTGCAAAGCCTTTGTTGAAGATTAAAAGCCACTTAGAGTCTACCATTTACAGTCAAGTAAGTGTCATTATCTGAATTTTGTCCATTTTGATACTTGAATATATTTCATAATTAAAATAGACTACATTTGATTGCTGCATCCTTAGAAAAGTTGTGGCCTGAAAGACTCTCTCATTAGTAATAATATCATTCTTAATAATAATAATATTACTAATAGCTCAAATTTTGTAATTCTTCTCAAATTACAAAATCCTTTTATTCCCATTAATAAATTTGAGCCTCATAAAACTCTGAAAGGAATATGGAGGCTATTACCACCATTTAAAAAATTTATTTTTTGAACAGTTTTAGATTTCCAGAAAATTTGTGAGGATAGTATAATTGACTCCTAGCCTCAGTATCCATGAAATTACAATCAAATGTCTATGGGAAGCCTCAGGCACAGTTTGAAAAATCATGGCCGGAGAAGAAGACGTTCATGTTCTTTGATGTGGCCTCCAAGGTCCTTCTCACTTCCCGCTGCCCACGCCACCATTTATACATGAAGAAACAGGCTTAGTCAGGTTAGGTGATTTACCCAACATTACACAAGTAATAAAATTAGAGGAAGCAGATCAAAATCTAAATGTCATTATTCCAATTCCTGATGTACTCTGTGCTGTCCACAGAATCAGTGTATGTAAATTCCATAGGGGACAGCTGGACTCACTGGCCATTGAAGTGCCATGGTAACTTGGGCACTGAATGCCTGGGACTATTGTTCTGGGAACCCCTGCTGCTATCTTTGCGTCACCTGTCAGTTCAGACCTCTGTTTCTGCTCATTTCATTCAAATGTAGAAGTGGCCCAACTTCAGAGACTACACCAGTCAAAAAAGGAATTAAATGAATGTTGGCTAGTTGGGAATAAACTGTGGCCTACATGATGTGCTCAGGTACATGCTGAATTGACCTGGTCTTGCTGCTTTGTGGGATGGATGGTCAATAAGCCTTTGGGACATGGACACGTGTTGGTGGCTGCAGCTGCCAAGTCTGGGCATGAGAATACCCGGATAAATAGGTTTGCAAGATGCAGGAGGAGGGAGAAGGCAGAGCCTGCATTTGAGGGTAATGAATCAAATTTCATACGGCTGTGTCCATCTGTTTTCCAGGATCTACATGTGCACAAATTCTTCCATCATTGCCAGCTGATTCAGTCAGGCTCGAAAGAAGTTCCAGGGGAGCTCATTAAATATTTAAAGGTAAATGAACAGCAGCTTTCTGTGAAAGGTTTGTTTTTGATTGATGTCTTTCTGTTGCCACATTTTGATGGGGAGGGAGGTCAAAGTAGCACTTTAAAATACTTTTGGAGGTGTATCCTCAAGAGGACACTTTCTGTTAAGTATTTTTCCATCAAATGACTGTTTAGAAGCAGGGTTGCTACATCAGGAAGAAACTGTTATAGCCAGAATCTGACGACATCTTTTGGAAAATCTCATGACAATGTCTATTTCAGTTCCAGAAATTGATTTTTTAGATCTTTTCCTGCTGACTGCCCAGGAAAGGTGGAGAATGCTATGGGGAAAAGGGCCAGGATATCTATTTATCAAATGTATTGAGAACCCAAGATGTCGTTTCACATGCTAGGACTGAAATTCATGTCATAAGACCTAGCTGACAGCCCTGACCGGTTTGGCTCAGTGGCTAGAGCGTCGGCCTGCGGACTGAAAGGTCCCAGGTTCGATTCCAGTCAAGGGCATGGACCTTGGTTGCGGGCACATCCCCAGGAGGCAGCTGATGGATGTTTCTCTCTCATGGATGTTTCTGACTCCCTATCCCTCTCCCTTCCTCTCTGTAAAAAATCAATAAAATATATTTTAAAAAAATAAGACCTAGCTGACAACAACACTTTCTCTACTTGTTCCTTTACTAGGTCAGCCATGGCTAGTCTGAGGAATTTTGATTTTTAAATGAAGCCTCCATAGGATTTCCCTTTGGACCCATGTTGTTGCTTAGTGATAGTCTCAGGAAACAAAAATGTTCATTTCTTTTAGACAGATAGTATGACATGAGATGACCTGGATGGGTTCTGGAATCACAGACTGACTTTGTGTCCCATACTTGTGACTTACTAGCTTAGTGATTGACCCTGACCAACTTACTTCACTTCCCCATACCTTTGTTTCTTCCTCTGTCACAGGGATAACAATAACGCCAACTTGTAGGGTGCATGTGAGGCTGAAGCGAGATAGGGTATCTGCTATAGAGTAATCATTTATTCCACACTTACTTCTTAAGTACTTCCTATGGGCCAGGCATGTTCTAAGCATGGGGAATGTAAGTGAAGAAAGCAGTGTCCCTATTGTCAAGGAGCTTGCTTTCTTGTGGAAGCAGATGGCCAATAAACAAATAAATAATTAAATACATATATATGTCATGTCTGGTAGTAATAAGTGCTGTAAAGAAAACTAAAGCATAGTGAAGGGGAATAAAGGGTGATAAGAAGTCCCTCTTAAAGACAAAGTGTCAGAGAAGATCTCTATGGTAAAGTGACATTTGACAGAGACCTAAAGGAAATGAGGGCACCAGCTCAATAGATTTCTGGGGGAGAGCTGGGAACAGCACGTACAAAGGCCCTGAGGAGCTTGCTTGGTGCATTCACGGGACAGCAGGAATGCCACTGTGACTGCCCACAGAGTGATAGGAGACCACACTAGAAAGGTAGCTGGGGAGCTGGTTGGGTTAAGGGCTCATAAGCCACGATGAAGAGTTTGAATTTTACCCCGAATGAGATGGAAAGCCTTACAGGGCTTTGAACAGAGGAGTGGCATCCTGTGACTTCCATTTTTAAAGTATCATTCTGCCTGCCATATAGAAATATACTGTCGGAAGGGTAGAAGCAGGGAGATAGTCGACAAATAGCAGTCATTATTCCTTTTTAAAAAAATCTTTATTGTTGAAAGTTTACAGATGTCCCCTTCCCGGCCCCCTGCCCCAGGCCTTCACCACCCTATAGTCTTCGTCCATGGGTTATGCATATATGCACACAATATCTTTGGTTGATCTCTTAATTACCATTAAGAAGTATAGTAGTAAAAAAAAAGTAGTAGTCATCTAACTTTTAAATCCTTTCCTCAGTTAATATGTAGAACTCTAACTTTATGGATGAATGGATGTTTAGTCTGTTAAGATCTTTGAGTTCTTTTCTAGTGGGGAAGCTTTGTAAAGGTTTTTACAGAACGAAATGGAACAGGACATCATTTTCATATAGTGGTATTCTTAAAACGGAAGGAAGAAAGTAGTCTTATTTGTATTTTTAAGGGTGTGAAATTTCTGACATTTGTGACCTGTGCTCTCCCCCTAGTGGCAGTGAGTGAAATGCTATGTGATTACAGAAATAGTCCACCACCTCTAAGGAATGTTAGTGCTGAAGAAGATTTTAGAGATTTTTTTTAACAGATGAGGAAACTGAAGTCCAAGTAGAGGTGACTTTCTGTGGCCATTCAGCTGGTTAGTAACGGAGCTGAGCTGAGCTTGTGACATGTCTCTTGACTCCTGGTTTCATGTTCTTTCTACAAAACCTTGCTATTTGTTGTCCCTGTAAATGTCATTGTTTCATCAATTCAATTAAAAACTACTTGTTGAGCTCTTAGTATGTATTTAACATTTCCCTAGATGCTGTGGGGCTTGTGAAGAAGAACATGTTAAGGTCATTGTCCATAGGGATCTTACTCCCTATTTGGAGAGACCGTACACACAAGTTAAATGACAATATAAGTCAGTACTACAAATGATAGTCCCAAGCAATATGTGATGAAATGTCAAACACGGAATACTGGGTGTAAGTGCAGAGGGTTCAGTGAACTGAAGAACTACTGAAACTAGAGGCTCCTATTTTTATTTTACCCTTTGGTTCCTGATTTTATTAATTGCTTTAGTCATTCACCAAATATTGAGCACCTACTATGGACCAGATAGTGTACTAGATGCTGAGAATATAATGGGGAGCAGTTCTGACAACATACCTGCAGGAGTTAGGGTAGAGAGGTTTTAACTGAATAAGTAATTTTACATAGAGTTGATGGCTGTGAAGAAAACAGACCAGGTTAAGGGGATCTCACATGACCAGGAGTGCATTCTAGATAGAACTGTCAGGGAAGGCCTTTCTGAGGAGACGACATGTTAAGCTAAAAAGAGACTGATGAGAGGAAGACAAACATAGGTGATAACGCTGTGTAAAAGGTTAACAGAATATTGCAGCAGGTGTAGAACCTGGTGTGATGGCATGTGTGAAGGACAGGAAAGAAAAGACAAGACAGTGTAGCTAGGCAGCCGTGGGCAAACTACGGCCCGCAGGCAAGATCCAGCCCGTTTGAAATGAATAAAACCAAAAAAAAAAAAAAAAAAAGAGACCGTACCCTTTTATGTAATGATGTTTACTTTGAATTTATATTAGTTCACCCAAACACTCCATCCATGCTTTTGTTCTGGCCCTCCGGTCCAGTTTAAGAACCCATTGTGGCCCTCGAGTCAAAAAGTTTGCCCACCCCTGAGCTAGAGCATAGTGAGCAGCGATGGGAGAAGATGGCATGAGATAAATTTGGAGAGAGAGGCAGGGTCACCTAGGCATGGGAAGCCCTTGACAGCTTTTTGTTCATGGTGTTTTGTTTTGTTTTCCACAAGGGGAAATGACATCGAGTGTGCCTTTCATAAAGAACACTCTGGCTGCTGTCCTGAGAATAAATGAGAGAGGAGCTACACTGGTGCAGGGAGATCCAATTCTGCGTTCAATGCCCATCTCTTGTTCCTCCTGTACAGTGTCCCGCTTATCCTTTAAACTTCCTCCTCTCGGACATTCCCTACCCACCTGCAGTCAGTTGCTTCTTCCTTCTTGCATTTTGTATATATAGTGGGGCCTTGACTTACAAGTTTAATTCGTTTCGAGACTGAGCTCGTTAAGGAGCTCGTTAACTCAAATTACTCTTTCAACTCAATGCAAAAAATCAGCCAAGAGACAGCTGGTATCTCCAAAAACTCGTTAGTCGGGACACTCATAAGCCAAGGCCCCACTGCACCACTCTTGTACTGTTTATTATTTGTATCACAGTGATTTCATTTCTTGTCTTTTTCCCCCATAGACTGGGGATGGCTTGATGGTAGGTTTTTTATGTGATTGGTAATTAGAAGCTTATTCAGTGTGTCTTTGTTGAATGAGTGAACAAATGGCTTCATTGAAGTGGAGGTTTGAGCTTGACTGGGAAAGGTAGCCAGAATTTGGCTAAAAACTGTGGACAAATGTACAAAAGTAAGAATGCATATGATACATGTATTCATGGAGGAGTAAAGATACTAGTTTGGTCTTGTGACTAATGATGAGTGTTAATGCTAAAAATGTAGGTTGGGTCTTAAGGAACTTGGACTTAATATCCTAGGTCATAATTTCTCAACCTTGGTACTATTGACATTTTGGGCAGGATAATTGTTGTAATGGGCTGCCCTGTGCATTGTAGGATGTTTAGCAGCATCCCTGGCTTCTACTCACTAGATGTCAGTAGCATCCCCCAGTTGTAACAATACAAAATGTCTTCAGACATTATCGGATGTCCTCTGGGGGGGAAAGTGGCCACTGATTGAGATCCACTGCCCTTGGTAATGGGGAAACTTCAAAAAAATCTTGGCAGAAGGTGGTCAGTATTTGAGGAAGATTAATTTGGAAATGAGAGTTAGATGTATTAAAGAGAAATTGTACAGAGAACTACCAGGAAATTACTAGACTATTTTAGTTATAGGTAAGAAGGTCATGAAAAGGGACGATGGTAGTAGTAAGGGTAGAAAGGTGGGGCAAGGAAGGAAAAACTTGAAGGATAGACCATGGGTTCCTTGAGCTCAATATCTTGTCTTATGCATCTGATTGAACAGAAGTTGAACAGAGATCTAAGAGGTCACTGTTGATGTGACTCAGATATAGATGATAGTGTCCTGAAAAAGGATGATGAGAGTAAGGATGGGAAGATGGAGCAAAAGTCAGGGATATTGGAAGCTAAATATTGAGTTCCTTAGGCACAGAGGCTTGTCTCCATCTATCTCAGTATTTCCCATAGCACTAAACATTGAGTTGATGTAGTAGGAGGTGCTCAGTGAGATTTGTTTTCATTTTTTTGGTTGGCTGGTTGCTTAAATGAGTGAATGTGGAGAGAAAGGGAGGAAGAAGAAAGAAATTTTTATAAATTTTGCTTCTTGTATCATTTTTGGGTGTATTTGAACATATTCCTTTTTTTTTTTTAGTTAACACACCTTTCACTAGAGACAGAGTGCTAGGAAGTGTATTATGAGGGTGTTAGAAGGCAGAACTGGCTCAGTTTTGTAGAGGGTGCCAGTGGAAAGCCAACTATATACACAAACATACTTTATTGAATCGCACAACTGATGGCCCACATTCCCTTGTAAAACACACTGAGTGCTGGTGGCTAGTAGGCATCTCCAGTACCTCCAAACACATCTGCTCTCTCCTCAATTGAGTGTTAGTTTACCAAAGGTCAGTTGTCTTTATTCCAAAACCTGTTGATCTCAGTTATACTTGTTAACTTCAGTAAAGCATTTACTATTAAATATACTAATGAGTTCTGAGTGCCAAAATAGAGATGCAGGTAAAATAATTAACAAAGTCCCCTGTTGCATGAAGTTCCCATTTAAATGAGCTTATGTTCTAGTGAATATATTTCTCATTACTTAATTTTTTTGTTGTTTCACATTTGCAAGTTATATCATATTTCTGTTTGTTTTCATAACTAATAATGACTTATTTTAGTGTTTGCATGTCATGGAGATCCCAGTCATGATACAGTTTCTACCTGTAATTCTTATGCAACTCTTCCGAGTTCTCACAAACATGACCCATGAAGATGACGTTCCTATCAACTGTACCATGTGAGTTTTGGTGTTGTAATACAAAGAAGCAAGTTTTGTTTCCTTTTTCGTTTCTTCATTTTAAATATAAATTGATCTTCCAAATGAGAACCCCAAAATCAGAAATTTAATATTGGTTTTCTTTAGTTTCATGCTTCTCAGATGGGGGGACTTGTGTCCCCAGGAATCGATGGTACCATAAGCCATAGGGTAAACTTAATGTGCTTTCGTGGACCAGGGGTGTTCTAACACTTTGCTGCACAGGAGAATCATCTGGGGAGCTTTTAAAAATTCCCCTGCCAGACCACACTTCATAACAATGAAACCAGAATCTCTGGCAGTAAAACTCTATTAGTATTTTAAAAAAATTTTTTCAGGTTATTCCATAATGCAACAGAGTTTGAGAACCATTGCCCTTGATCAGTGTTGTCCAATAGAACTTTCTCCAATTATGGAAACGTACTGATGCATGTGTGCTGTCCAATATGGTAGCCATTAGCCACATTTTGCTATTGAGCACTTGAAATGTGACTAGTGTAACTGACAAGCTGAATTTTAATTGTATTCCATTTAAATTTATATAGTCACTTGTGGCTAATGGCTCTCATATATTAGACAGAATGGCCCTAAGCCATCAATTTTTACTTAAAAGATAAGGGAGTGTTATTTTTATATGAAACAGATATGGTTATATTGTAGAGTAGAGCATAAAATGTACCTGGATTTTGAAATTAAAACAGAAGACAAAAAAAAATGTGAGCTTAGTGCTGGATGTTTCTGGCCTTGCTGCTTCTGCTGTTGCACCATCAGGACTCAGATTACACACACCTGCACACTGTTTGCTCTTCTCTGCTTGCTGTTGGGGATGGTCTGGTTGGAAATTTAAGAAGCATTACTCTAGTCCAGGGCTTCTCAAAATGTGGTTCTCAGACCAGCAGCATCAGTATCACCTGGGAGCTTATTTAAACTGCTAATCATTGAACTTCACTTCAGTCCTTAAAAAAATCAGAAACTCTGGGAGAGGGAGCTGAGGAGTCTCCCCTCTGGGTGATTCTGATTCATGCTAAATTTTGAGAACCACTACTAATCTCTTAACTTTAAAACTTTCTATGACTTTCATGTTTACTTCCAATTTTAGTTCATGTCCTTATACCTGTTCTATCTCTTCCCTTCCTTTTTATCCCATCTGTTGACATGCTGTTCATTTTATTTTTCTAGTTCTTCTCACTAGAGAGAATTTCAGAATTTACCTTTTTTCTATATAGTGTCTTTTACTATATAGTGGCTATGACCGTACTTCAAATGTAGACAGAGATTTAAAAAGGAGATGAAACATCTGGAATGCCAAAATGAAATATCTTTCTTTTGAATCAGTTAGACCCAAATTATCATTATATCTTATGCAATCATCTCACCTTTAATTATTCCGACAGTGATAGGAATTTTTAGGTCTTATCTAACAATCAAACTGTGGTAATTAATTTTAGCCTGACATGCTGGCTTCTGTGAATGTTGTTTCAGGGTTCTTTTACATATCGTCTCACAGTGTCATGAAGAAGGCTTGGATAATTATTTAAGATCCTTCATAAAGGTTTGTGGAAAAAACTTACTTTCTGAGCAGTTGATTTTGTGGAAGAATTTTGCCTTACGGTTCATTTTCTTTATTTGTAGTATAGCTTCCGACCTGAAAAACCGAGTGCTTCTCAGGCCCAGCTAACACATGAAATTCTGGCTACTACGATGATAGCAATTTTGAAACAGTCTGCAGACTTTTTAGCAATAAACAAACTGTTAAAGGTAAGGGGTCAGGATGCAACAGGGAAAAAGCAGCCAGAAAAATATTTGTTTGATACCCTCCCATTTCAGTTCTAGTCTTTCATCATTTTTTTCACGTGACCCTCACTTTCCTTGTCACTTTGCCCATGTATCCTTTTCCCTCAAGTTCTCCAGAATTTCATTCTCTTCACCCTCCCCACCCACCTCACACTCCCCCCTCAGTCAAATGTATAATAGAAAAAATTTTGGATCATGTAGACATAGGTTAGAATCATATATCCACCACTTAATAGTTCTATGACCTGGGGATGTTATTTAGCATCTCTGAGCCTTAATCCCTCATTTCTGAAATATAAGGAAAGCATTTAAGACATCATTTCTGGCACATAGTAGGCACTCAAATGGTGGCTCTTATTACTGTCATTATTTTCCATTAGGCAAAAGTTCTTACCAACAGCCCATTTGTACATCACAGTTGGCTCTGTGGTACTTTATCTTTCTGCCAATTGAAGTTATTCTATGGAACTTTGTGAGTTTAGATCCCTTTAAAATGTTATTAATGTTAGAGATAAGATCCATATGTATTGGTTAAACTTTGCTAAGGCTCAAAAATTTGGGTAACTCTTGAAGATTGATTTTATTTCTTTGTTTATTTTAGTACTCATGGTTTTTCTTTGAAATCATTGCAAAGTCTATGGCCATATATTTGTTGGAAGAAAATAAAATTAAGGTAAGTAGGCTCAAGGGTAATACTTAACATAGACGAAGAAGGCTAACTGTATAACATGCAAAGCCTCTTTTATATTTAAGGGCTCTTAACCCTTCACTTTCTTTTTCTTTATTGATTAAGGTATTACATATGTGTCCTTATCCCCACATTACCCCCACCCTCCCACTCATGCCCTCACCCCCCCTGTTGTCTGTGTCCATTGGTTAGGCTTATATGCATGCATACAAATCCTTTGGTTGATCTCTTCCCCTTTCCCCCACCCTCCCCTACCTCCCCTCTGAGGTTTGATGGTCTGATCGATGCTTCTCTGTCTCTGGCTCTGTTTTTGTTCATCAGTTTATGTTGTTCATTATATTCCACAAATGAGTGAGATCATGTGATATTTACCTTTCTCTGACTGGCTTATTTCGCTTAGCATAATGCTCTCCAGTTCCATCCATGCTGTTCACTTTTAAAATTTTTCTTTAAAAATGTATTGCATTGCCACTAAGGAAAATAGTATTGTGGTTTCTAAAAGAGTTAAAAATGGGACTGCCTTATTATCCACTGATTACTCTTCTGGGCATATCTGCAGAATCCTGAAACACTAATTCAAAAGAATATATGCACCCCTATGTTCAATGCAACATTATTTACAATAGCCATGCTATGGAAGCAAACCTAGTGCCCATAATTAGACGAGTGGGTAAAAAAGTAATACAATGGAGTATTACTCAGCCATAAAAAAGAATGAAATCTTACATTTGCAACAGTATGGATAGACTTAGAGGGCATTATGCTGATTGAAATAAGTCAGTCAGAGGAAGAAAATACCATATGACTTCAGTATTATGTCTAATCTAATGAATATTATAAATGAACAAACAAAAGAGAAACAAACTCATAGACACAGGACATATCGTTGCTTGTCAGAGGGGCGGGGTGTTGGAGGACTGGGTGACAAAAGGTGAAGGGATTAAGAAGTACAAGTTGGGCCCTGGCCACTTTTGCTATGTGGTTGGAGCATTGGCCTGCAGACCCAAGGGTTGCGGGTTTGATTCCCGGTCAAGGGCACATGTCTTGGTTGCAGGCTCCCCAGTCCTGGTATGGGTGTGTGTGGGAGGCAACCAACTGATGTGTCTCTCTCATGTCGATGTTTCTCTATCTCTGTCAGCCCCCCCCCCCCCCAGTCTGTCTGGAAATCAATGGAAAAAGTATCTTCTGGTGAGGATTAAAAACAAACAAAGAAGTACAAGTTGGTAGTTACAAAATAGTCATGGGGATATAAATAGAGCATAGGGAATATAGTTATAACTATGTATGTTGCCAGGTAGGTACTAGTAATATCGGGGGAACACTTTGGAAAGGATATGATTGTCTAAGCCAGTGATGGCAAACCTATGACACGCGTGTCAGAGGTGACACGCGAACTCATTTTTTTGGTTGATTTTTCTTTGTGAAATGGCATTTAAATATATAAAATAAATATCAAAAGTATAAGTCTTTGTTTTACTATGGTTTCAAATATCAAAAAATTTCTCTATGTGACACGGCACCAGAGTTAAGTTAGGGTTTTTCAAAATGCTGATACACCGAGCTCAAAAGGTTTGCCATCACTGGTCTAAGCACTATGCTATATACCCGAAACTGATACAAAATAATATTGAATGTAAGCTGTAATTGAAAAATAAAAAAATTATTTAATGTATTGCGTAAATCTGAGGTCTGACATGTTTTTTAAATATATTTTTATTGATATCAGAGAGGAAGGGAGAGAGAGAAAGAAACATCAATGATGAGAGAGAATCATTGATTGGCTGCCTCCTGCATTCCCTGCACTGGGGATCAAGCCTGCAACCCAGGCATGTGCCCTGACCGGGAATCGAACCGTGACCTCCTGGTTCATAAGTTTATGCTCAACCACTGACCAACACTGGCCGGGTAACAGTTCATATTTTTTAAAAAATATATTTTATTGATTTTTTATAGAGAGGAAGGGAGAGGGCTAGAGAGCTGGAAACATTGATGAGAGAGAAACACTGATCAGCTGCCTCCTGCACACCCCCAACTGGGGATGTGCCCACAACCAAGGCACATGCCCGTGACCAGAATTGAACCTGGGACCTTTCAGTCCGCAGGCCAACGCTCTATCCACTGAGCCAAACCGACAGTTCATATTTTTTAAACTCTAATTTTGAGAGGCTCTTTTACCTAGATTCTTTCATATTAGTTGTTTGCCATGTAAAATTTATTATCTTTGAATCTTTCCATTTGTCTTATGGTTTTAAAATGTCCATGTTGAAAACATTCATTTGGAATAACAAGTACCAAATTAGAAATAACCTTTCTTTTAGAAAGGTCAAAGGCATAGACAAGGTTAAAAACACTTTATGCAATAGATGTGTTCCTGAAATATGGTGTATACATTTAGTTGTGTCTTCAAACTGTTTTAAGGTACAAAGACATTTTCTTAGTTATAGAAATTATAAAGCCAAGACTTGTAAGCAAATAAATATTTACCTCATATGTATCATTTTTAATTATTCTTTTCAGAGAAAGAGTTTACTGAAATTGAGGTGCAGGAAAAAATTGGGATGAAAAACTGGGATGCGGCTGCATCTGAGGGACATGATTCTAAAGTTAGGTCATGATTAGACCTATTCTTGTTGATTATTTCAGCCAGTTAAATTGTTAGTGGTCCAGATAGTTCCTATAATGATGTAAAACATGTCATTTTTTAGTTGGAAGAAAAATTATACTCTAGTAAAAAATACACATTTATGCCCTGACCAGTTTGGCTCGGTGGATGGAGCATCGGCCTGCGGACTCGGGGGTCCTGGGTTCGATTCCGGTCAAGGGCATGTGCCTTGGTTGCGGGCACATGCCCAGTGGGGATTGTGCAGGGGGCAGCTGATCGATGTTTCTCTCTCATCGATGTTTCTGACTCTCTGTCCCTCTCCCTTCCTCTCTGTAGAAAATCAATAAATATATTTTAAAAAGATATACATTTACTAGTATATGTAGAATGTATGTGAAAATAAACAATGGCATTTGATTTAGACCTTTTGCAACTGACATTTATTTTTCTATGCCTGTTTAATTTAAGCTTCCCAGAGGCCAGAGGTTTCCTGAGGCATATCATCATGTCTTACATTCTTTGCTTCTTGCAATAATTCCCCATGTGACTATTCGCTATGCAGAGATTCCTGATGAGTCCAGAAATGTCAATTATAGTTTGGCTAGCTTCCTGAAGGTGAGTTAAAGGCAGCCAGAACATGGTAAGAAATTCTTCTTCACCAATATCTTCTTTAAAGCCAAAAGGAAAAAAAATTAGCTAATTTCTAGAGATTCAGCGATGTCTTTATAAGCCTGCTGGAGAAACTTGTAAGCGAATTAATTTATCAGTTTTATTAAACAGCCAAAATGATTTTTTCTTCCCACTGAAATAGCTAATTAATTAAATTAGCAGTCCCACACTGGTGGCTTAGCTAGAGGCATGTTTTACATAATGTTTTTTTCAAATATATTAAATTGAGTGTCTTCGGTTAGGTTCCCAAATCCCCATACTCCTTAGAGTACCCCTGACCCTCTATGCCATTTACATCACTTCTCTGACCCCTAATTGGCCCTTTGAACTTGAAGCCTTTGAATTATATTGTTATGTTTTGTTAGCAGCATGTAAGGGCAATGCTAGAATGCAGTGCTATAAAGTGGGTAACAACACTATTTGATATGCTGTAGAGAAGGGGCATGGTTTTGTAATGCACTTGGTTTTGACTTGCTCCTTTCCACTCCCCCTCTTGTCATAGCTCTTTATCATGTATCAACCTTACATTAAGAACCTGATGGTCAGTAATCCATTCAAGCAGTTAGATGGCTAACATTTTCTTATTAAAAATTCACAGCTAGGTTTCAGATCTCCAGAGTATGATTTTCTGATATAAGACCATTCTTTGCCAAAATTAAAATAGTCTTAACACTACTACATAAGACTGTTTGTGTATAAAAACCAAACAGCCATATATCTTTTTAAAGTGAACTAAGGATGAGACTACCTGAAATGTAAAATCTCACTTTCTTCCATGGAGTTTAAACATTTGTCCACCTTCTTTGTGAGGGCTCAAAGATGCAAGAGGCTGTCTTTGTAATCACATGCAAATACATATACAAGATAAAGTGTGATGAGAGTACAAAAAAATACAATAGGAAAACGAGAAAGAGAGGGATTATAACCAGGGAGTGTGAACAGAGACTAGAAGCATAGTTCACCATAACAAGAGTTGAAGGTGTTGTAGGTAGAGGATCCCATGAACAAAGATGTGATGTGCATATTCAGAAATTGTTAAGGGGTTAGCAAGAACGTCACTGTGCAGACAGGTTAGGGTATGTGGAGCTGGAAGGGCCATCTGGTGTCAAAAGATGGAAAGCCTTAAATATCCAGCTAAGGAATTTAGATTTTGGTTCCTACACAATGGAGAAATACCAAAGATTTTTTTGAGGATAATTTTATTGCTGGTATGATGGAAGAAGTGAGGAAAAGATCAGTCAAGACAACCAATTAGAAGATAAATCCCTCCCCCTTGTCTGCCTGTCAGAGTCCATTCATCTTTTAGAAGCTCAGCTCTTCCCTAGCCTCCCCACTCAGTGTCAATCACCTTTTGGTTTTACCCATTCTTCATATATTTCTTATTGTGTTGTATTATAATTATTTATTTGTCTCTATCATTGGACAAGAATAAAGACCATGTCTTGTTAATCACATTTGTATTTGTCTAGAATGTAATACATTGTCTCAAACACAGTAGATCCTCAAAATCTTTGTTGGTTGAATGAATAAATAGAAGCCTACCTCATTAATCTAAGAAGTGAGAGGTGATGAGGATCTGACCTAGGGTAATGGCAGAGAAAGTTGAAAAGAGAGGTGAGAAGTGAGATGCAAATGGCTGATTAATCAAATATTGAGTTCCTTCTATTTCACAGGAATATTCTAGGCACTGTGGAGAACATAAAGAAAAAGAAATAGTTACTGTTGTCCTATCTAGATGAAAACACAGGGAAATAATAAGTAAAACAAAAACTAGTAAGAAAGTAATTTAAAGAACCTGTGGATCAAAGTGGTAAAGAAGATGGAACTTTATCAGATTATTGAAGAATGGGCAGGATTAGGTACAAGTTAGAAAAGAATTTCTAGCTAGGCCTGGCATGAGCAAAGACCCAAAGGTAGGACTGTACAGTACATCTTGAGGGGATAATAAGTAGATGAACTGTATTGGGAAATAAAACTGGAAAGTAGGTTGGGACAAGACTGTGGGTGTCCTTGAATGCTAAGCTAAGCAGTTTGAAAGCTTTTAGGAAGGAAGGTGACATGATTAGGGCTTGGAGTTAGAGATTAATCTGGAAGCACTTGGATGGAAAGAGAGGCATGGAAACTGGTTAGGAGGCTCACTGCAGTTGTTCAGTTGGCAAGGTAATGAGAGCCTTAACTAGGATAATGACAGCAGGCAAATGTAACAACTAGGAGGGCAGTCACAGAGGAAGAATATTTTAATAGCCAAGACTTCACAAGACACCAAGAAAAACTTGTGGTCTGAAATATTTACATAGGCAAGCCTCACTTTCAATAGCTAAATGACCACTTTACACCTCACTTTTCACTTTGAGAGTTGAATAAAATGAGGCAGTACAGCTGAATAGATTACATAAATGTGTATGAATATGTATTTGTATGGATATATAGATATATGTATATATTTGTATATGTGCATACATAAAATTTTATTTATAAAATTGTACAGTTGCATTCCAATTCCAACGATAACTGTCTCTTTTTTAGGGTCACCTAAAGCTCTGAAAGCTGTTACTCTATTTCCTGTAAAAGAGAGAGTATCATCCTGTAGATGTGAAACAAATTAAAAAAATTAAAAAACTTATACTTGACAGACTTACTCAACTAACTGTTCATTTTGATTTGGTTTCTATAGCGCTGTCTGACACTAATGGATAGAGGATTTATTTTCAATTTGATAAATGACTATATATCTGGATTCAGCCCCAAAGATCCTAAGGTAAGGTATAAGAACATAACTGTAGTAAATGTCAGACATTACAGTGTGAGGCTAAGGGTGACATTTATCGTCCTCTGAAGGATTTGGGACTGCTGTTTCCATTTAGGTACTTTGAGTATAGCTGTACTTCAAAGAAGGGAATATTGCATAGTGTTTTGGGGGAGGGTCCCCTAAGACCATCCACATGTTTGGTGGTTTAGTAGAAAAGACACACAGGACTCAACATGTAGTCGTACTTACAGCTAAGATTCATTACAGTGACACAGCAAGGATGCTCAGCTGGATCATAAGGGAAAAGACATCAAATGGAGTCCTTGGCAGTGTGTGTGCAGGCTTCCTGGGCACGCCCATCCTCCTGTGAAGGCTCACCCAGCACACCTTCTCTCCAGCAGCGCAAATGCAGTCACACGCTCAATGTTTCTGTTCAGGGATGCCCATTTGAGACTCAGGGTTTAAGGTTATTACTGGGGGCAATTCATATATTGGAGGCTGGTCAAAATTCCAGAGTCTTGGAACAGAAAGGAAAGCAGGTGTTCACCATAAATCACATTGTTTGTACAGACAGCCTGAGCACACTGGCACAGAACGTACATCCTTATCATAAAGGAAACGTTTCAAAATCCAATTTTTCAAATGCCAGCCAAAAACCAGCCAGTCTTTTTAAGGAGAGCAGTCTTAGGCCTGTTGTGTTAACTCTTTCCTGCACAGGTCACTTCTCCAGGTATGCTTAAAATACTAAACACTTCTCTTTTGAAAATTAATACTCTGTATTTAGTTATTAAAATAGTAAATATGTATTCGTGTATGATTTCTTTCCATTTAGGTTCTGGCTGAATACAAGTTTGAATTCCTGCAAACAATTTGCAATCACGAACATTACATTCCTCTGAATTTGCCCATGGCATTTGCAAAACCTAAACTTCAGCGAGTTCAAGGTGGGTATTTGCGTTTTCCATCATTTAGAATTGTGTTTTCCTTTTTTTTTTTCTTCTTTCTTTCTTTCTTTCTTTGTTTTTTTTTTTTTTTTTTTTGTGTTTTTTTTGCTAGCACTAGTGTAGTATAATGTTTTCTAGTTAAAACAGGCAATTTACAGGTAACCTCAGAATTGTTACTATCTGAAGATAGATTTGTTAATAGTATTCTGCATTTCCTTCAGAGTGTCAGTATGCTAGTATTTGTAGTATGAAGAAATCTGGTGTGTTAAGTAGATTGTTGCTTAAACAGATGTTAGATATTAGAAAAATTGCTCTCTGTAGTAGTGTTTGAACTCTTGCATGAGACTGAATTAAGAAAACCATATCAATACATTTCTGCTGAAAGGAGCATCAAAAGAAATGTATAAAGGCAGAATAAAATAATAATATGTATGTATTAAATTTGTGAAATGCCTTCAGTTATCTCCATTGCTAGTTTTATTGAATGCTTTGTTGTGTAGCACTATTCTTATGTTACTGTGTTTTTTATTTGTCCCTTTTCTTTTCATATATTAATTAGATTTTTTTTCATTTGCGGTGGACCGTTTGACTTCAGTAGGTAGGTTTAACTCGGTTCACTCTAAAGTAGTTTGCTTTCTTTAAAAACAATTGATTTGATGAATGGCTAACATGGACGGGGGCTTTGTTTGCTTTTCAAATCCTCCCTAGCCAAAATGAGGCTTTAGTTAATGTACCCATAAAATGTAGGAGGCAATGTATTTGTTTGCTTTTAAGACAAGCTTTGAGTGTTGATTGCTAGAGGAATCAACTTGAAAACATTATTGTCAGAAAACAAGTTTTCGCTCAAGCCAGCATGGGGGCTAGAGGGTAGCTGTCCTTTAAGTGTGCGTCATTTTCCATGCTTGCTTTGCTTCTTTGACCTGTGCCATGACTGCTTGGGCACAATTTTAAAGGTGTGGATAAACCCATCTGAATAGATTTCTTTAAATCACTGAAGTGAAAAACTACCATTGCAAAATCTACCCAGATAAGGCCACCCAGGTTAGTCAGTACTGGCCCTTTTGCATAGAAAGTGATAGGGATTCACAAAAGAGTATGGCCAGTGGCAGGAAGAAAGTCAGCTGGCTTGGTTTCTAGGGAGTAGCTGAGCAGTGGTTTTATTGATTGAATTACAGCCAGTGAAAATGGAGGAAGAATATTCAACCACTCCCTTATTAGATTTTGAGCATGTATAGTCCACATACTTCTCCCAGTATTTATCACTGTGAGGAGGAAGTCAGAAAAAAAGGGTGGACAGATCATCAGGACTTAGGATTAAATCTGACTACTCATAACACTTATTCACTCCTAATTGAATGCATAGCATTATATCAAGTGCTAAAGAGACCGAAAAACAAAATAGAAGATGTATCCTTCGGCTTTATGGCCTAACTAAATTAAAGCATACAGGAAATATGGTAGAAATCCACTCTAAAAATTACTAAACTGGATCACAATCCCTGCTGAGTAGTTATAAGGCAAGTCCCAACCAGGATATTCGCAGCTGGGATTGAAAATGGATAGAAGATCCAAAAGGGAGTGAAAGACATAGTTTGAAGTATTGATTTTATGAGATAAAAGATTGGTATTTGCGTGATGATGAATTGGAGTGGGATGAGGCTGCTTTTCTTATTGTTCTTGTGTCCCATTGTATTCAGGTCAATATGTAACATTTACTAGAACAGCCAATAGTACTGTTAGAATGATTCAGTTGTCTAGTTTCTCTTCCTTTTCCTAACTTGCATGTATAAACAGATAAGTAAATCAAGTATTATTATATAGAATTACTCCAATTTGTAGTTACAACTAAATCTCTTCAGATACTCAAGAAATATGTTAAGACATTGCCAAATATGGTATTCTTTCATTCTAGGTTCTATCCTAAGATTTCCAGAGTTAAAAAGAAGTATGGGGAAAAGAATCTAGGGACTATCCTACCCACTAAAATTATTATTAAGGCTATCATCTAGCCCTAATTATGAGTGCTCATGTCTTGTAAAAGTTTGCATGCTCATTTAAATGATAAAATAATTGTTCAGATTCATTAATAAAATAAAACCTCCTGCTAGCATGATCACATATTACTAAGTAATAAATTATAGTCTGTTATTTTAATATTAAAATAATTTTGAATATTTTTGTAAATGGGCTTTAAATTTCATTGTACTGCAGATTCAAATCTTGAATACAGTTTATCAGATGAGTATTGCAAGCATCACTTCTTGGTTGGTCTGCTTCTGAGGGAAACCTCCATTGCTCTTCAAGACAATTATGAGATCAGATATACAGCTATCTCTGTCATAAAGAATCTTTTGATAAAACATGCATTTGATACTAGATACCAGCACAAGGTAAGGATGTCTATATAACTCATCAGTATCATGTTAGTAAATTTCTGCTAAGATTTTGCACTAAAGATGAAGTTTTCTGTGAGAAAAATACTATGAGCATTGATGAACTTATTTTTATAAATAAGTTTTATTTCTGTTTCAAATGATTAGTTTTTAAAATATTGTTTCCATAACTCTTGAAGAAAACACTGGTTTCTCCCTTTGGCCATATTTTGCCCTGCTTTCCTGAGGAGTAAGGATTTTGGGAGAATACTAAGAATGAAATTGCAATTGAAAATAGCCACTTAGAATCCTACTGAGATAACGAAATTTAAGCTGATTTGTGTTTTATCAGAAGTAGGATATTCTATTTCATGATATAAATTTATTTCATTCTTCCTTTTAATGGTTTCTTCAGGCCTGATAAATTTCTTCACTACATTTAATAGATGTCCTATTTATACCGCCCCACCCCAAAATCATTTTTCTTTTGTCACTGGGGCTGAGGAAATAAACATTTTCGGTCACAAATAGCAGCACTACTGTGGATTGATTTGCTCTCCAGGACATCAACACATTGCCCCGACTGCCACTATCATGTCCAAATATAAATCACCCCCAAAACACTTATTATTTATGAGTTAGTGATAAGGGATTTTGCATAAAGTACTATTCACTGGTATACATGCCTCAAAAGTTATATAAGCCAAACTTTATGAAACACATCTAGAAATATGTCGAAGTTCCTCTGTTTATTACCATAGAGTTGTAAGACAAAAAAAAATTAAACTTGCTATTCCAACACTGGAACCTGCCAATAGAAAATGCTATAGACTATCAGGTGGGATTCTGGGCATGCTTATCTGATATGTTGGAATGGTCCATGAAATAAGTCAGTCCTTGGACCTGGCATTGGTTTTACCATGATGAAGGACATGACATTTATAAATCCTCATTTGTTAAAATATTTATCAGGGCTACTGGGTCAGCCATTTTGACTGAACAGACTGGTGGATTTAGGCACTGTTTTTAGTGATTTTGTTTTTTAGCCAAATCAACCAATTCTTCCCCTGCACTCTGTTCATAGACCCGCTATTTTAGTATCATTATGTAATTTTGAGTCTGAACTTCATGGATGGCTTCCCAGTGCTGCTGTCCTCTTCATTGGTAGATGCTCTCCTTTTTCTTAATAGAGTCTATATGTTTACTATATTATTTATACCCAGATGAAAATTTTGATAGCTACTTAGGACAGTTTCACATCTAAAAGATGGACACCTCAATGAAAAAAGTAATCATTCTCTGGCAACTAAATGGGATTGTTTTTATAATACAAAAAAATGTGAAAAAATGTATTTGCCTTCCCTGAATGAACTGAAAGTATTTTAGTAAAAAAACAAAAACAAAACCAATAAAACCACTGCTTTCTCATGCTATAAGAACAACATAACGACTTCTTGATTTGTTATATAAACAATTTATGATTTTTCCAAAAAAATCACATGCTGTTATAGCCATGTGAACGCTTTCAAATATATACCTTAATATATAGCCATTATAAATATAGCTTAATACATATCCATAAATAAATATATTATTGATAAGTGATTAATAAGATATAAGTATGTCAAATGTAAAATATGTAATAGGAAGTTTTCCTTACTAAATAAATGTGGATGTGGCTGTAAACCTTATATAAATTACACGAGTCTGTGTGTGAAAGCCACACCTATAGTTTTTATTTACTGCACCTTTAACATATATATTCAAATTTGATTAACATTAAATTCTATGGGCTTGAAAAAGCACACTGCAAACTATATGGATTTAGAATAACCTAACTCACCTGCTATCAAATGGCTTAAGGTAGCATCATATTGTTTCATAATTAATCATGTGTTCCTTTGTTTTTATATTCAAACTAGAGGCCTGGTGCACAAATTTGTGCACTAGTGGGGTCCCTCGGCCTGCCCTGTAGGATCAGGCTGAAACCGGCTCTCCGACATCCCCTGAGGGGTCCTGGATTGTGAGAGGGTGCAGGCCAAGCCGAGGGACCCCATCAGTGCACAATCGAGGCCGGGGGTTGATGTGGGAGGTTGGCCAGCCAGGGCAGGACTGCAGGAGGGCTCCAGGGCATGTCCAGCCCATCTTGCTCAGTCCCGATCGGCTGGACCCCAGCAGCAAGCTAAGCTATGGGTTGGAGCGTCTGCCCTCTAGTGGTCAGTGCACATCAGAGCGAGCAGTTGAGGGGCCTTAGCATATTATTAGCATATTATATTTGATTGGTTGATTGGTTGAACGGATGACTGGACACTTAGCATATTAGGCTTTTATTATATAGGACATAAATAAAATTATGTACCTTATTCTTGTAATCACTTTGGAAAGCTGACTTGGAGATGGATTTTATTCTTTTTCTGCAGTATTTCCATTTGTCCGTAATAAACGGAAAATGCCTGACAGGTACATCCAGTTATATTTCTTTAATTAAATTTTTAAAAAATATATTTTTATTGGTTTCAGAGAGGAAGGGAGAGAGAGATAGAAACATCAATGATAAGAGAGAATCATTGATCTGCTGCCTCCTGCACATTACCCACTGGGGATCGAGCTAGCAACCCAGGCATGTGCCCTGATTGGGAATTGAACCATGACCTCCTGGTTCGATGCTCAACCACTGAGCCACGCCAGCTGGCCTAATTAAATCTTTTACTTACAATATTTGCTAGTTTTATTTATGTGATTTTATTATAAAGTAGATTTAAACTCCTCACCTTTAAGATGTTATTAATTACTTACTGCATTTTGCATTTTGTCACATTATAACTGTAATAAAATAACATTCTTTCAGTTTATGTGGTTGCTCTGCTATGTGCCCCTTTTTTTGGTGAATGTTGATATTGATTTAACACAGTTAACTGGTATAATATATCTAAGTGAAAAGCTATCTTAAAGCCATCCATTCCAACCAAGTTTAGTCACTCCTTTAAAAATGCTAGTTACTGCTAGTTACCATAGGATTCTGGTTAACTGTTGTTTATACCTAGTAGTTGGGAACAGGATCTTATGCAATGTAGAGGAATATGTTTTTAGCTGTGATTTCAAAGGATTCATGGGAAAAGTACAAAATGAACTTTACTTCTGTGAAGCAGGAAGTTGCACTCCCCCTTACCCAATCTCTTTAGATGAAAGTGAAGGAAAACAGGATTTCACTAGTGTCTTACCTAGAGGTGGAATTTTAAATACAAATGCTCCTCAACTTCTGATGGTGTTACATACTGATAAACCCACTGTAAATTGAAAATATCGTAAGTTGAAAATGCATTTAATACATACCTTACCGAACATCATAGCTTAGCCTAGCCTACCTTAAATGTGCTCAGAACACTTACATGAGCATGCAGTTGGGCAAAATAATCTAACACAAAGCCTATTTTATAATCAGGTGTTGAATATCTCATGTAATTTACTATGCATATCGCTTTCACACCATTGCAAAGTAAAAAAAAATGATAACTTGAACCATCATAAGATGGGGACAATCTGTATTTTACGTCACATATTTGGACATTCATTTTTTAAAAATAATTTATACACACACACACACACACACACACACACACACACACGTGACCCGGTGCACAAAGTTTGTGCACATTAAAAGGGAGTTAATTAGAGCAAATATTTTAATATTGCTTTTTGCCCTTTCTCTATAAAAGAAGTGTCAGAGATGTAAGAAAATGAGTAAAATGTATATGAAAATCTTCCTCCTGTCAGAGTCTCAGGCGTGCCATGGGAACCAGAGTCAAGTCCCCACCCACCCACGTGCGCCTTGAAATTGCACAAGACCCAGACCTGACTGGCCCCACCCCCATTGGGCTAGATCCAGACCTGGCCAGCCCCACCCCTGTCAAGCCCTGCCGGGGTGGGGGGCGTGACCTCAGGTCGCCTGGCCTGGCACCGGGGCGGGAGGCACAGCCTCAGGTTCCCTGGCCGGGTGCCAGGGTGGGGGTCATGGCCTGAGGTCCCCTATCAAGCCCCGCTGGCTAGGGGGTGTGACCTCAGGTAGCACATCCTGAGGTCCCCCAGCCTGGCGTTGGGGCAGGGGGCATGGCCTGAGGTCCCCCACCAAGCCCTGCCAGGCGGGGGGTGCAGCCTGAGGTCCCCCAGCCTGGTGCCAGGGTGGGGAGTGCAACCTGAGGTTCCCTGTCAAACCCCACGAGGCAGGGGGTGCAGCCTCAGGTTTCCTGCCCGACCCAGCGCCACGCAGCCTCAAGTCCCTGCTGATTGCTCATTAAGGCTCATTACTGGAACTCAGCCTCCGCTGTGGGTGCAGCCATCTTGTGTTATGGGATCCCCGCCTCTGCTGTGGGCACAGCCATCTTGTGTTACGGAATCCCTGTCTTCACTGTGGGCACAGCCATCTTGTTAAGGTGTGAAGGTCAATTTGCATATTCCCTCTTTATTAGATAGGATTTTCACTGATCTCAGAGAGGAAGGAAGAGATAGAAACATCAATGATGATAGAAAATCATTGATCAGCTGCCTCCTGCACGCCCCCGCACTGGGAATCGAGCCTGCAACCCGGGCATGTGCCAATGACCAGAATCGAACCTGGGACCCTTCAGTCCGCAGGCTGACACTCTATCCACCAAGCCAAACTGGCCAGGGCTGGACATTCTTTAAATGTCCAAAATACTTTTTAAAATTCTGAAAATCGTATATGTACACACACACACACACACACACACACACACACACACAGCTATTGTTATCTGTAAATAAGTTAAATATTATGCCTATTTGAGTGTTTTGAGGTTTTAGACTATGGGAAAGATTAAAATGCCAAGCTCATTACTCTCCCAATGATTTTTAAATTAATTTATTTTTTTATTTTTTATTAGTTTTATTGCTTAAAGTATTACAAAGGGTATTACATATGTTTCCTTCCCCCCCCCCCACCCTTGACAATCCCCTGGCCTCCCCTATCCCCCAGTGTCTTATGTCCATTGGTTATGCTTATATGCATGCATATAAGTCCTTCTCTCCCATTGATTTTTAAAGCCCTTTCCTCTTTGTTCAAAAACTTAGGTATGAATGAGTATAGGATTCTCTCCAATAGAACTTTGCTTCATGGGCCTGGTTAACCAAAGCTTCAATTCCTCTCTGTCTTTGGTCGAGAGAATTCACAGATGGCCTGAGTAAGAGGACATTTGTCAAATACAAATAATGATGCCAAAGTGAGGGTAGAGAGAGGAGCTTCAAGTACCTATAATTTCTATCATCATGTTCCCCAAAGTGACTCCAAATAAATACACAGTCAAGAAAAGAAAATGCTTTCTATAGAAAGGCTGCTTTGAGACTAGATCTCCTAGCCCGCCCCTCTTCCCAGTTCCAACCACATTGACACTCCTCAGCTCCTCCTCTAATGAAATTATTGAGGTCCCTATTATGTGTTACTCATAACTGCAATGAGAGATCTCCTAACTTCTTATAATTGCCAGGAGACATCTTTCCTATTCAGAACAAGAATGTTCAATGTCTAACATTTGTTCTGGGGTCGATATAAGTTCCTGTAAATCACTGCAAGTGATGTTGACACCTAAGAGAATTGCAATTTCTACTTGGGCTGTGGGCAAATCCTTTTTTTTTTTCCTTTTTTAAAAAAGAGTGATCTGTTTACAGGGTAAAAATCAATCAACCAAAGGCCTTTCTCACATTCCCTACCTCCATGCTCCAATTTATCTCTCCAAAAGCAGCTACTGTTATCATTTTCTTATATATACTTCTACTTTATGCAGGCATAAGCCTATATATAATGTATATACAGGATAGGGCAAAAGTAGATTTAAAGTTGTGGGTACATGAAACACAGTTTATTCTTGTGTTATTAATTATTGTATTATTTTCCACATGAAAAACTGTAAACCTGCTTTTGCCCCATCCTATATAATAGAAACCATTATGCATTTTTCTTTTTTCCTTTAACAAAACACCCTAAAGCAGGGGTGGGCAAACTTTTTGACTCGAGGGCCACAATGGGTCCTTAAACTGGACCGGAGGGCCGGAACAAAAGCATGGATGGAGTGTTTGTGTGAACTAATACATGCTAACACTGCTGCTGGTGAAGGAGCGGAGGGGAGAGCAAGAGAACCCTCTGCTCTTTCGGCTCCGCGGGCCGGATAGAACAGCCGAACGGGCCGGATCTGGCCCGAGGGCCTTAGTTTGCCCACGGCTGCCCTAAAGGTAGATCTTTGCAGTGTACCATTATATGATGGTACACTGCAAATATGGATATACCTTATTATATTTATTTACCCATTTCTATTAATAGATTCTGAGGTTATCGTCTATCTTTTGTGCAGGCAAATTTTTCCATATAGTTTTCACTGACTATATGGTTTCCTGTGTTCCTGTTCATTTAAGAAAACTGTAGCCTTTCCTTCCCTAGTGATCACTCACTATCATAATTAAAATGGGCTCTGATCCGGAAGCTGTCATATTGATAATAGCAGCTAAAATGTATTGAGGACTCTCTATGCCAGACACTCTATTAAATAACTCACATGAATTATTATTATCATCCCCAACTTACCAAATAGAAAACTATGATTAAGTGACTTGATCACAATCACATAACTAGTAACAGGAGAGCTGGAATTCATGTGTTTCTAAAATCCAAAATTCATGCTCTTACCCACTATATTGTATTGCCTCTCAAATCTTAAGTGGGACACTGTAATATTAGAGAATAGCCAAGAAAGGGTGGTCATGATGGTAAAAAATTTTGAAACCAAAGCCACCTATATATACATATAAAAGGCCAGCCAGTATGACACATACTGACCACAGGGGGTTGTGGGGGAGCAGACGCTCAACGCAGGAGCTGCTGAGTGACAGCAACTTTGCAGAATGTTCTCTTGCACTCCGGGACCCCTAGGGGGATGTCATACTGCCGGTTTTGGCCAGATCCCCGCAGGCCAGGCTGGGGACCTCACCTGTGAGAAGGACCCCGCTCACTCACAGATGCCCCGGTGCTGCCCCAGGTGCCGCTGGCCAGGGAGGGACCTTGGGAGGTTGGCTCCAGGGCATGTCCGCGTATCTCTCACCCAGTCCCGCCCTGCCAGCCACCATCCGGAACTGCCTGCGTTAGTCCCTGCACCAGAAGGACTAATTAATTTCCTTTCAATGTGCACAAATCCATGCACCAGGACACTAATGTGAAGAATAAAGAAAAATAAGGGCTGTTTAGCCTTGTGAAGAGTGAATTAAGACAATTGATGGTAACTGTTTCCAAATATTTAAAGGGTTGCCATGTAAAGTGGAAGTAGGCTTATTCTTTGTAGTTCCAAAGGACAGAGCTATACCTAGCAGGTAGAACCTTCACAGAGTAAATCAGCTAAAGGACCTTTCTAACAGTCCATGAAAGAATTGGAGCCATGGCCGGTTTGGCTCAGTGGATAGAGCATCGGCCTGCGGACTGAAGGGTCCCAGGTTCGATTCCGGTCAAGGGCATGTACCTTGGTTGTGGGCACATCCCCAGTGAGGGGTGTGCAGGGGGCAGCCAATCGATGTTTCTCTCTCATCGATGTTTCTAACTCTCTATCCCGCTCCATTCCTCTCTGTAAAAAAAATAAAATATATATATTTTAAAAAGAATTGGAGTATTTAAGGAGCAGTTTAAAACTAACCATTTGTCAGGGATATGGATGAGGGCCATTCCTGCCTTGAACAGGAAGTTGGACTAGATCAGTGTTTTCACACCTCTGGGCACATCAGCATCATCTGGGGTAGATTCCCAGGACCCAGCCCAGACCTATTGAACCAGAATCTCCTAGTGATATGAGACTATTGATAGGGTTAGAAATTAGAAGTCTGTTAAGATGGGTTCCTGAAATTTACTAAAGAAGTGCAGATGGCCAATTAACATGAAAAATTGTTCAAGAATAAATGCAAATATGCAGATTAAAGTCAGATGAGATACTTTTGATCTGTGTTCTCTAGGTTGACCATTGTGCCCTAGAGGTCTTATCTAAATCTCTAGACAAGCCTCCTAAAGTCCTCAAATATGGAGGGCAACTCTTGTGTCATGAAAACCACTGTTTTTGTTGATATGAGTATATGCACATATCTGGTGAGGAATGTCTATAGCTGAGAAAAGCAATAAATAAATTTGTCTCAGAGGTTTCACATTAGGTAAGACTGTTGTGGCCAGCTTTTTTACATATTTACAAGTATATTAATCTCCCAAGTTTTATAATTGATTTAGGGGGCTAAGATCACATTATTTTAATTGCTGTTTTAATCAAAGCAAAAAAAGTTTCTTGAGTGAATACAGTAATTTATTCTTTTTTTCACTTCATTAATTCATTCTGCTATTCAGCTACTGTATATGTGCCCAGGCATGTGGATAAAGCAGTGAATAGGACTCATGATCCCTGCTCTCATGAAACTCAGTCCTCACTGGAGTGAAAGAATAGGACTAATATGATCTGCTTTATAGGTCAATCTTATTTAAAAAATAAACTTTTGCCTTTTATGTTATGTAGTTGTGTTTGAAGCATGTGATTTGACTCTGTATTGTGTTTAAATCCAAATACCAACAATGTTCTGTAGTAATTCTGAGACTTTAAGTATAAATAGACTCATGCTTCACTAATTTGTTATTGATATTAGCCTGCTTTAATCTTCAAGCTGATAGATGAAGCCAACTTCATTTGTAATATATACATATTTTATACCTATTAAGCTTTTTAAAAATGTATTTTAAATTACAGTTGACATAACATATATCAGTTTCAGGTGTACAACATAGTGATTACACACTTATACACCTTACGAAGTGATCACCCTGACAAATTTAGTTCCCACATGACACCATACATAGTTATTACAATATTATTGACTATATTCCCTATGCTATACTTTACATCCTCATGACTATTTTATAACTACCAATTTGTATCTCTTAATACCTTCGCCTTTTTAATCCTTACCCCCAATCCCTTCCACCTGGCAACAGTCTGTTTATACTCTGTATCTATTAGTTTCTGTTTTGTTTGTTCATTTATTTTGTTTTTTAGATTCCATAATTAGTGAAATCATTATACCTATAATCTTTCAATAATTATCTTTCAGAACCAACAAGCCAAAATAGCACAATTGTACCTCCCATTTGTTGGGCTGCTTTTGGAAAATATACAGCGATTAGCAGGTCGAGATACCTTGTATTCTTGTGCAGCCATGCCTAATTCTGTAAGTAGTAATGTGTTTCTATTGACGTGTTATTTTCTTTTATTAACTACATTTGGAATTGGGATCATATGCTATATGGTTCACTTTTTACTCCATTTTTACATTTATACTTCTTCCTAGAGCAATGTTTCTCCAACTTTAATGTGCATATGAATCACCTGGGGAATTTGTTAAAACAGACTCTAATTCAGCAGCCTGGATGGAGTTTGAGATTATGTGTTTCTCACAAGCGTTTGGCTGCTTCTGGTCCAAGGACCATACTAAGTAACAAGGTCCAAGAGAACACCAAGAATCCCTTGTACCCAGTGTTTGCTGTTGTTCTATGCCTTCATATAGTTACTCAATTTGAAAACGAAACAAAAGATTTTTCACTTCCAAAATATTAGGCACCAGGGACTAAACTGTCTTCGTTGGCTTCTCCCCTCCCTTAAGAGCCTCCTTTCAGTACTTCTTGAAGAGTTGCTTTTAGCTCATCACAATTGGTCTTGCCTTTTTCTCCCCTTAGAATCTTATAGTTGAAAGGAACTTTGGGGGTGATCAGTCTCCCACATGGCCAAACACCTTTTGCCTTTATAATAATAAAAACTTCCTTCTCACATTAGACCTAAAAGGTTTTCTGTCCACTTGTCCTAGTTTTGTCTTCTAGAGATAGTACATAGAACAATCTATTCCTACAACTACATGATACCTCTTACACATGTGCCTTCTAATTTTTTCTCCAGATCGGTTATCTCCACTATAGTCTGCCCAGTGGGACTATTAACTCCTACTTTACCCCCCACTCCATGTTCTGTAAGGCCCAAGATCACCTTTACATTTTCGGTAGTCCTGTCACATTACTGAGTGGCAGGTTAAACTGTGACCTTTACAGTTTCCTTTGGAAATTCCCCTATCTCGATTTGTCAAGCCAGCACTAGGTTCCCCAGAAAGCTACTTCTAAGCCTTCTAAGGCTTGATTACCTGTAGCTCCCGATTATATCACCCACCTGAATGTCAGGCTGGTCTTTCTTTACAGACACAGTAGCTCATACTTCTGCTTACTCCACATTTGACAGTGATATTTGGAAATATTTTTCTTACCTGTGTTTCTTTTTGCAGCTCAAGTTCACGTAGGGCTTCTGGTCACACCCCTCCTAGCATTGCTCCTGGTTCCAAGCAAGGAGAATTGAACCAGACTGCACCAATTGCAGCTTTTACCAGCCATCTAGAGTTATGTACCTTAGCCAGAGGTCATAGTTACTACAATATCCTAGTACCCATTTTTTAAAGATTTGTCTCCTAAATACCGATATTGATACTGGACTTTCCCAGTGAGCTTTGTTTAAAATCAGGGCATCATTTTAGTCTATTAATTTGATTTCTTACCCTAGTGTACAAATTTGTTTAAGTGATAGAGGTATCACATTATGTTACAGGCATCCAGGGATGAATTTGCATATGGCTTCACTTCACCTACAAATAGAGGGAGTCTGAGCACTGACAAAGATACTGGTAATTAAGTCCTTTAAAGATTATGCATTGCATGGCTGTTTAGAAATGTACTCTGTCCTTCTGTGTTTTTTGAAATATTTTATAATAAAAACTATGCATAGTGTGATCTCTACTAAAGTTTAATTAAAATCTGACCTCCATTGCAGATACATTTCTTTGCTTAGATTTCCTCGTCTAAGCTTGTCAAAAATGTATCTTAGTATACTAAGAAATTAGAGGATAACGAGAAAAACACTGGCCTCCAATCCTCTTATCTGTCTTTAGTCTTGGACAAGACACCTCCCCTTTCTGGGCCCAAATTTCTTTATCTATAAAAGCACCTCTCAAATTGTGTGGCTTTTTTTGATTATTTTCAAGGAATTTCTTGTGATTTTATACATAGTAAAGTGTTTCAAGAAATAAAAAAAAGCTAACCCTTTATTTGGCTTCTTATGTGTTTTGATATAATATATGAACTTCATAGTTTTAGATGACGAAGATCTAATCCCTAAAAGTATATTTACTTAAATTAACCCAGTACTTAATTTATAATATATTTTTGGCAGTCCCTCCTGTTGCTAATAAGGACTTGGCTTTTATTTTCTAGCTTATGGGTCTTTTCAAAATGGACATGGACTTAAGAGAGAAGACTCAAGAGGTTCCCTGATCCCAGAAGGAGCAACAGGATTTCCAGATCAGGGCAGCACTGGCGAAAATGTAAGAACCTAAATATGTAAGATAACCTTAATGATACCTTCGGCTACAATAATCTTTCTTTTTGTGTAAATAAGAGGCTCTCTACTTTCCTGTAGTCTGTCCTGGATTTGTAAAAAAAAAAATCCCATAATTTTTGGATATTTTAGCACTTGCTTCCTATCCTGGCAGCTGCTACTTGGATATCTTAAACTGTGTATAGGGGCTGAGACACTTATCTTTAAGACTTCTAATTCAGAATACCCCCTTGAACCTGTAGCACACTGTACTGTACCTGTTCTAGAGAGGAAAGGTTCAAGTTTAAAATATCTAATGTACCTGTCACTTAAAACAAATCACTTCCTAGCAGGGTTAATTCAGCCTTTATTTTTTTTAAATTTTCCTTATTGATTAAGGTATTACATATGTGTCCTTATCCCACCCCCTTTGCCCCCTCACCCCCATGGTGTCTGTGTGCATTGGTTATGCTTATATGCATGCATACAAGTCCTTTGGTTGATCTCTTCCCCTTTCATTATTTTATAGTAGAGTGATTATATTAATTTGAGAGAAAAAATGGATCTCCAAATTAGGATCTCAGCATCTGGTATCAGAATATATTCTTCAACTCTTCCATCTCATATTTTCAAGCCTAACATTAAAGTTTATGAGATATGTCTGCCTTGAGTTAGAGAAACGTCATTTTAGACCAGTAAAACCTTGCCATGCTGCTATGTAAAATCATAGAATCATATAAAAAACAGAAAGGTCCATGAAAATAATAAATTTCAACTTTCATTTTACAAATGAAAACTGAGATTGTGATTTAGGACAGTCACACAATTCTGGCAGGGCCAGACCTGGAACCAGATTTTCTAATTCCAGCACTCTTAGTGCGCATCAGAATCTCCTGGGGTGCTTAATAAAATAGATGGCCGGGCCTCAGCCCCAGAGTTTCTCGTTTAGTTGGTTTGGGGTGGGGCCTGCTAATTTGTATTTCTACTAAGTTCCCAAGCGATGCTGATGCTGCTGGTTGGGAACCACCCCTTGAGAACTACCGGAGGATACTTCCTTGAGGATTTGGATAAATAGTAATTTATGTACAAAGGTTTCTGTTTCACACCATTTAGAATTATGACAACAGACACTATCATAGGTAAGGCAAATAAAGGACAAAGGTTAAATGACTTGCTAGTGGTCACACAGCTAGCAATCTTTCAGAACCTAGATGTTTTACTCCAACTGAAAGTTCTTTCTTAGTAAATCTTATTTTATGAAATGTATATCCCCAGCGCAGTTTAACTCAATTGAAAGCATTGATTTTTAACAAGGGTAAATTATTTAGTTATTCATATAAATCCTCAGAAAGGTCAAATCTTGTCATGCTTAACAACTGATACTTCAACAAAATTAATTAAATAATAGGAACATCACTTCTTTGTAGAAGCTCTAGTTTTGAAGTATTGCTGGATCCTCCTTATTTAACTATCTATAATATGATTAGCCTTTTTTAAATATATTTTATTGATTTTTTACAGAGAGGAAGGGAGATAGATAGAGAGTTAGAAACATCGATGAGAGAGAAACATCGATCAGCTGCCTCCTGCACATCTCCTACTGGGGATGTGCCCGCAACCCAGGTACATGCCCTTGACCGGAATCGAACCTGGGACCTTTCAGTCTGCAGGCCGACGCTCTATCCACTGAGCCAAACTGGTTTCGGCTGATTAGCCTTTTTAAAGATAGATTTTCTGACCTATAATTTGCAGTTTGGATTTTAATAGACTTCAAGGAGAGATTAAAATTAAAAAGTGTAAAATGTTTCTTATACTTTCATGTACCTTAGTTAAGTTCCTCCTCAATGTAAAAGCTATTTTTTTGAGAATAGCCATATATAATTATTTAACATTTTTACTACTAAAACACGGGACCTATGGGAATTAAACATTCACAGTATTCATGGCTATCTCTTGGTGAAGACCCCAAGGTAATTTCCAGTGATATTACTAGGTACAGTGGTAACAGAGTCAGCCCATTTACCCTCCAAGTGTGATATAAATTGGATTTATGGCCCGGCCAATGTGGTTCAGTTGCTTGGGTGTCATCCCATGCACCAAGAGGTCACTGCTTTGATTCCTGGTCAGGGCACATACCTGGGTTGTGGGCTTGATCCCTAGTAAGGGATTGCAGGAGGCAACTAATCGATGTTTCTCTCTCATTTGTGTTTCTATCTCTCTCTCCCTCTCCCTTTCTCTCTCTCTCAAAAATCAATAAAAACATATTTTTAAAAATTTGGATTTATGCTTAGAATTTTCCCAAATAGGACGAATGATAAAAATAGTTTTTGAATTAAAGGATATGGGAAACTATAGTACCAATATTGTTAACAAAATTGCTGTCTTTATATTATAGACCCGGCAGAATTCTGCGAGGAGCAGCGTATCATCCCAGTATAACCGACTGGATCAGTATGAAATCAGAAGCCTCTTGATGTGCTATCTGTATATAGTAAAAATGATTTCTGAAGGTGAGTTACCAGCATACTAAGCCTGGACTCTACTACACATTTACCCTCACAGGCTCAGTTTCATACAGTGTTTGACCATCGCCTAGAGCACATGCTCATTAGAAACAGATCTTTAAAGACTCTGACCTTTTAAATGTTCCTGTATTTTAACTTAAAATAGGTTCATTTTAGTCATATAATTTGATTCTTTGAAACAATTTTTTTATTTTAAAATTTAATTTCTAAAATGAGGCAATAGTATTGGAAGTGCTAAACTTTTATTTTCTTTATTAAGGTATTACATATGTGTCGTTATTGCCCCATTGCCCCCCCCACACACACACATGCCCTCACCCCCCTGTTGTCTGTGTCCATTGGTTAGGCTTATATGCATGCATACAAGTCCTTTGGTGGAAGAAAGGGGGAGATCAGCTAAACTTTTTTTCATGCAGAGCATATAATGCATTAAATGACCAATATAAACAGAGAAACATAATAACCAGAGTCATATTTAATACTTTAACTTTTATTTGACCCAGGATTTGGAAAACAAAAAGCAAACAAAAAGATAGGAAGGATTCTTTGAGGGTAAGGAATGCCATTGTTACATAGTACAACTCTATGGTTTTGTATATTTCCAGGCTCTTTTTCACACTTTTTTTTCTCCTTGCTATATAATTATATTATTTATTAGTATTATCATTTCCTTTCTATATTATATGATAGAATATAACCAAAGGATTTTGATAAACTTCATGTCTTCTGGACGTGGAAGTAAAATCAGGTTATCTTATTTCCAAATACCACATTTATTCATACAGTTTTCTTCCTTTTCTGAATATTTTTGCTCAAAAAAAAAATGCAGGAATGAAGAACTTAAAAGCACCTGGGTTCTGATTATCATAGTCATTATCTTTAATTTATATTCTATTTTCAGTATCTATATAACTTGCTTTAAATCTATTTTAACAATGCAGGATAAATAGTAATAAAAACAAAATAAGTTGATATTAAAACAAATCAATAATAAATGCTAAGGTACATTAATAAAACAGTAGATAAAAACAGATAAATAGCATCTTTAAAGAACTTAAAGTAAAAGTCAAAACATATGCATATATGCATAGCCCATGGACACAGACAATAGTTGGGGGAGGTCTTTGGGTGCAGCAGGGGCTTGGTGGAGGGGGGCAAAGTGGGGGAAATGGGGGGGTATCTGCAATACTGTTAACACTTAAAAAAGAAAACTATTACCAAGAAAAGAATATTTTAAAAGTATGTTTAGGCTTTACATCAGTGATTCCCAAAGTGGGAGCTACCGCCCCCTGGTGGGCGCTGCAGCGATCCAGGGGGGTGGTGATGGCCACAGGTGCATTTGTTTTAACTTTTTTTGTATTACCTTTCTATTCTGAGCTCAATAAATAGTTTCATAATTTCAAACTTCAATGTTTCTAATTTACACCTTTCTTTACTATATTTTACGAAAAAGGTAGAAACATTAATACATATATCTTTCTGTTTAATTGCTATTAAAATTTAAAAAAATTAATTTCCAGGGGGCGCTGAGTAATATTTTTTCTGGAAAGGGGGCGGTAGGCCAAATAAGTTTGGGAACCACTGCTTTACATAGTACTTTATTAAAACAAAGAATATATTGAGGCTATGTGATGGGCCTCCATGTTTTGTAAAACAAATAAATAAAGGGAGATAATTTTCAAGCTGGTGGATTTTTGTTTCAGTAGATGGTGGATCAGTTGACAACTACAGCTATAACTGTTTTTTCTTCCCACAAGATGAAAAGTAGGGAAGAGTAGATAGTAACTGCTAATGTGTACGGGGTTTCTTCATAGGGTGATGAAGATATTCTAAAGCTGTGGTGATGGTTTTACAACTCTTCAAATATACTATAAAGTGTTATACTGTATACTGTTTAAATGGGTGATTTTTAAGGCACAATAACTTTCTCAGTAAATCTGATTAAAAAAAAAAAGACCCAACAGATACATGAAGAAAACAACAACAAAAAACAAACACATGAAAAAAAAAATGTTAACCACCACCACAGCTCAGGAAAGTAAAATTGGGTTGGGGGTGGCAGATTGAAGAAAGGAGGCGTGAGATGCATTGCTGACTAGTTCTCCCTTCTTGCACTCCAATACTTGTGCATATGCACATGATGCATGCACATGTGCACACACGTGCGCGCACACAGACACACACACACACACACCCTCACACATACCCTACATATACTGTGGCATACGCGCATGGCGCGTGCATGCACACACACACCCCCTCCATATACTGTGGCATACGCACATGGCACATGCGTGCACACACACACACCCTCCATATACTGTGGCATATGCACATGGCACATGCATGCACAACACACATACACACCATATACTGTGGCATACGTGCATGGCACACGGATGCATACACACACACATACCATAAACTGTAATACCAGTGACAAAGTCCTGGCTGCTTTTTTAATGTCATGGGTAAAACCATAACTTCTTTGTTTCTTGAGAACTTCATAAGTTGTTCTTATCTTGTAAATGTTGACCTTACTTGCTAAACATCTGATCTTTGTTAATTAGATTGTTCTTTCTTCGGCTTTTGCTTTTTGATTTTTAAAAGCACATTTTTAATAAGTAGTGTACAGTTAGTGTCACAGCTCCTTTTTAGCTTTTATACATGTAAAGTCATGCTATATGATATCTATAAAGTCACATTCATTGTATTCTGAAAAATATCAGCTTCTGGGTCCTTGTCAATAGATGTATTCTAGTTATTTGTCTCGTCCGGTAAATATTTGTAGTCACTCTATATGTGTTTAAATGTTGAACTCACTCAGGTCTTCTCTTGGCTTTCTTTTATATTGGTTCATAAACAGTAGCTACTTAATTTCAACAAGAAAAGAATTCCCTTCAGGTCTTCTCTTGGCTTTCTTTTTTATTAGTTCATCAACAGTAGCAACTAAATTTCAACAGAAAGATACTTTATATGAAAGTAGAGGGAGCTATAGTTTATTAACTGGCAACAAGTAAATGTTTCAAAGTCTAAGACGTTTTCCAAATTGTTTTAAGTCTTACTGCCTTGTTTACTACATCCTTAGAAATGGAGTCAGAGTTAGGGGTTATCAGTTAGTTACATAGTCTGAATTCACTGGAAGACTGTCCTCTTGTGAAAGAAAAACAGTTTCCTTAAGAGAGAGGATGGGGGAGCGTTACTTCCTTCTTTCAGTATGCACCTTGGCTTTTCTCTTTATCCTAGACCCCACAATGGAACTCTGGTCATCACCTTGAAGCCTGTCAGTACCATACCCTGTTGCAACTGTAAATTCATTAGTATTCTTTTTCGAAGTTGATTGTTGAATGGAAGGTATCTGGTAACTGCTGCTTCTCTCCGAATACCCAATGTTGTAACGAGGAATACCAATTGATGATCTTTTCCTACTTGAAGTATAGTCAAGAGGAAATACGTTTGCAGAGATTGTTTGCTTTTTCTCTGAATAAGAGTGATGTGTGCGTCTATTATCAGGCATGTTTTCCTCTGAAGTTTCAGAGACTGCTTCAATTACTGGGCTTTGTTCTGTACCAAAATTGGAAAAGATCCAAGGGAAGTCCATCTGAGGAGAGGCCCTCTGTGTGGAGGCCTTTTGTGTAAATAAATCTAGCTTTTTTGACTGGCCAGGCTTCTCTTCAGAAAGGTTAGAGCCAACTTGAAATTCATGCTCCCTTTGACTACTCTGTGTATATAATAAGGGAAAAAGTGTAGGTGTCTTCTGGGTGGAAGTACCTTCTGTGGTAGACTTACTGGTATTAGAAGCTATCTTGTCATAAGATGTCTCTGCCAGGTCAAAGAGGTCTGGACTCTGAGTTAGAATTGCTAACTCTTGACTGTGTTGCTGTTCCTTTTTCCCTCTAGATTTAATCTGTGCAGTATTTGGCCGCTCTTTCAATCTCATAGGCAGAAGCAGCTGATCATCTGTAGGATCCCTGACTGTAAAAACGGACCCAGCCTTTTGAGCACAAGGAATGAACTCATCACTACTATCAGAAGAACTAAGCTTTTGCTTAGTCGCTCTAAGTTTTTCAGAAAGCATTTTATTTTCTTCTCTTAGCTTATTCCTTTCTGCAGTGATCTCAGCAATAAACTTAAGGTTTCGTTGTTGGATATCGTAAAATTCTTGCTGTAGTGTACTCTTATATGTTTCATTCACTGAACAGCGGTCACATGTTTTTGAGCGCAACTGTTCTCGCAAGGCTTGAATGGTCCCATTGAGAACTTTTTGTTGCTCAGTCAACTCTTTAATTCTGGCTGTGGAGCCTGTCCACCTTCCATCTCCCAATCGCTCTTTCCTCAAATTGGTTAATTTGGTCTGTAAACGGTGTAGCTCTTTGTCATGGAGCTCTTTTAGTGTTAGCCAGGCTTTTTTAAACTCGTCACTCGACACGTCACATACACTTAACTCTAATTTCTCAGATTCTGAAAGTCTCTTATCATCTTTCCTGTATTCTCCACCAAATTTCCCTGCCTGCATTATGTCTCACCGATTTGGGATTTGGAAACGGCTGAGACTGGCCTGTGGCTTTATGCCGCCGCCGCCGCGGCCGCCGCCGCCGCCTCCGCCTCGGCCGCTGACTAGAAGATGGTTTAAGAGTTTCTGACAGGCCACAGCAGGGATAAGCCCTTCACCCTTTTTACAGACCTTAATCGAAGCTGCCTCAGGGCACGGTGTGGATGCTGGGTGGCTCAGGGGTGGGAAGAAGGTCCCACCAGCTTTTTGACAGGAAAAGCCGGTGCGCGGCAAGCTGAAAATGGCGCCGTAGCAAAGGGAAAATGGCGCCTTCAGTCAACCGGAAATCCAGTGACTTCTGGGAGCCCACATTCTCTGAGGGAAACGCATCCAAAGGCAGGGGGGGGTGCGGTAACCGGAAGTCACTTATACCTTAATTTTAAAAGGCACCACGAATCTAATTGGACTCAATTCTAGCATTTTTATTCTAGATGATCAGTATTTTATAATCATTAGGAACTACCAATACTCTTGGTCTTTAAAAAATTGGAAGTGAAGTCAAAACCCCCACAGGACCCCCCCCCACCATATGACCAACATTGCCTGGCCCTCCATTGTTGTCTGCAGGGGGCTCTAGCTGGGCTTGCAATTCGGACATTTGCCTACTTTTGCGATACCTACAAGATGTTTACATTTTAGAAGAGGATCTGTTGCCATATCTGAGTCGGATGAGAAAAGGGTTGGAAAGTTAAGTGGCAGCAGTTTTCTTTGATTAAAAATAATATCCATAAGTAGGTGTGTTGAAAGTAGAGAAATAGGTAAAAAAGGATAAGTACATGTAATAGATTTTAAGGGACTTTTATATCTGAAATACTACATTTGTGTGTATTGACAGGACTTCACAGTTTATAACCCAAAGGCAAAGAAGAGAAAAAATTATCTCTCTCTAAAGTTTGTTAGACTTTTTGGTTCAGAGAGCCCTTTAAGTAGCAGACAGAGGTACTAGACACCCCCACCGTTCAGCAAAATGCACATAAATGCACCATCTTGCATAAAATTTTAGGATGTTCATTAAAAACCCCAGGTCTGCTTCCTTCCTTTGTTTTCAGGGATGATATGAAGATTGGGATGAGCTATCCAAAAGAAGATTTATAAAATAAAAATGTTGAAATTAAAATACATATTTGGAATTAATTCAAAAGAATACAGTGTGTGTATTGTGCACAACTAGCCATGCGTTGATGGTTGTTTAAGCTCAATTATTGGTACTTTGAGGTTCACCGTGTTATTTGCTTTATTTCCAGATCTAATGCTTTATTTATTCCATTTTCAGATACTCTCTTAACTTACTGGAATAAAGTATCTCCTCAGGAGCTCATAAACATTCTCATACTTTTAGAGTAAGTTAACATTTTCATATATATCCCCTTATTTGGGGAGCTTAATTTTTATACATAATAAAATGTTAACTTTTTTCTTGGTTTCAACATCTTATTTGCTAATAATGTAGAAAATTTTGATAATATAGATGCTGACATTCAGGTTCTTCACATATAGAGGAAAAACATGGTGATACTTGTGATATTATAGAAAAGCCTAGCCAATAATAGACAATTTTTATAGCCTGGCAGGAGTCTTTTTGTGTTCTGGAAAACTAGAAGTGGCATCAACTGTACTAAATCATTCAGAGCAAATGCTGGCTTAATAGAGCAGCTTAACTTATTGGAATTTATAATTTGTACTCTAAGGTAGAGCTGAGTAATTTCACCCACTGCAGAAATGTACAGATACATAAATAGATGATAGATTAATAGATTAATATAGATATCTCCATTCCAAGGCACTTGGGAAAATCTAATCTTTTTTTTTCTAGATAGAAGTGGAAAGTTGTTATATACAGGGTGAGGTAAAAGTAGTTACAGTAGTGATTACTTGAAACAGTTTATTCTTGTATCATTACTTATTAATAATTGTATTATTTTCCATATGAACAACTGTAAACCTACTTTTTCCCACCCTCTATGGTATGCTGAGGTATTTTAATATTATTTAAGAAAACTAAAATAAAAATTAGAATGAAATCTAGCAAACTTTTGAATAAATAGTACAGATATATATATATATATATATATATATATATATATATATATATATAAAATATGTACATGTTTACCAAAACACAAAGAGGATAATTCATAAATATTTATTAAAGTATTTCAAAATTTTGCAGAAAATGGCAGCAATCAAAACAGTACTTAAGATTAAAAAGAAAATAAACTACGCTAATTATATTGATATCTTTGCTAATGAAAATATATGATGTTGGGGATTTACTTTAAAAACTATGGGAGGTAGGTAGATAGGAAGGATGGAAGGACAACAGAGGACCTATTCAGGGTAGAGATTAAACAAAAATGGCTATGAATTGATTATTGTTGAGGCTGGCAGGTGCTGGGTATGTGGGAGGTTAGTATGCTATCCTCCCTAATTCTGTATGTGTTAGAGATTTTTAGTCATAGAAAGTATTTTAATGTCATTATAAAAAAGCATAGCAATTACCCCAACTTTTAGGGCTTATGAAACTTTCTTTAGGTATTAACTATACTAGAGACTTTTGCTATGATATATTATAGAAAACAAAGGATGATTAACATTGATAGGTTCTTTTATGTTGTTAAAATTATACATGAAGACATGGGCCTTTTTGATATCAATGTAATTTTAGCAAATAAATGTAGAGAAATATAATATGGCAAGCCCCCAATTAGTTATGTGTATATTTCTATCAAAACATACATTACAATATGAGTTAAGTAGTCATTCTTTGTAGCACATGAATTTTCAAATATTACTTGTTAAATTGCAGATAATTACTTTACTAACATGCTACTGTTTTTCTTTCTAGAGTATGTTTGTTTCACTTTAGATACATGGGAAAAAGAAACATAGCAAGGTAATTCCCATAGCATGGCAATTTCCACTTTTTTTTTTGTTTCTTCCAACAGAGGGCAGTCTTGATCATGCCATATAAAAAGTACATTATTCATTTTGAATTCTCTTGAAACCTATATAATTTCTATTAGCCAATGTTACCCCAGTAAATTCAATACAAATTTTTAAAAGGACAACCCATGATTTATGTATATCTCAACTCAAACTTTAAATTAAACTAATGTGAGCTGATACATTTAAGTTTTCCAAAGGAAAATGGTTAGCCCTATGTGCAGGGTTTCTGTCCCAATCCTGAAACAGATGCTGTCTTTTCTAAAGGATGTGTGAGGAAGGGCTAGATCCAAGAGAAGGCAGGAAATCATAAACTGAGGACAGTTGTAAGATTTGTATTTTTATCTACAAACTATCAGTACTCACCTAAGTTGCTAAGGTAAACAGAAATTCTCTACAGTGATTGGGATAACATTATAAATGAGCATTTTTTTTCTTTTTGCTGTTCAAGTCTTAGTGAAATAAATAATTTTAAAATATTTCAGAGACCCTAAGGAAAATATTACTTGCTTATTTCAATGAGATAAATTGTTGGGGTAGAGTTTGTAGTCATTAAAGCAACACAACTAGAGTTCATTTTTTAAATGTTAAATTCCATTGCACTTCCAAAAACTGAAGAGGCTGTTTGGATAGGGTTTATAATTGCTGAGTCTCTGGAACATTCTAGTAATAGATAATTCAGGTGACATTTTTCACTGTCTTTCCCCATAACTTGAAACTGGCATGGTAACTACCACCATGTGCCTTAACCTCTAACATTCTGATGACTCTCCCCCTATGTTTCCTAGAGAATAGACACACTATTTTTCTTATTTTGTTCCTCTATGACCCAGTTGTAATTTTTAATAAAACCTTAATATTAAAGAAGAAAATTACAAATTCTTGCAATAGGCATGTTTAAAGAGTAAAAATTTCTGGTCCAAGATTAACTCAAGTTTAGAAACATTTGATTGACACTCCTTCTTCATTCAGGAATCCCCTCCCCCATTTCAACTTTTGAGCAGCCCTCTTACTGACTTTGCTGACTTGCCCTTCCTCATCTCCTGAGAAAAGACTGAATCTTATTAGAGTGTTGTCCACTTTACACTGATATTTTTGATGAGAAAGAGGGAAGTAAATAACTCCCTAAATTCCTTAATTATATTCTTATAGTATCAGCTCTTTTAAATATATATTAAAACTTCATACAATTTCCAGTGATGTCTCATTTAAGCCAAGTAATAGTTGAAAGAATATTGATCATAGTATTGTGTTTATGTGGAAATCTAATTTTTTTTAGTTAAAAAACATCTAACATTGAGATATAGTATTAGAGTACTCCAATTCCTAACTTTAAATTTTATTTTAGGATACAGGATGCCTGGCTGTCAAAACATTTTGGAGTAGACCGAAAATCTCAAACCATGCCAGCTCTTCGAAACAGATCAGGAGTAATGCAGGCCCGGCTTCAGCATCTTAGTAGCCTGGAAAGTTCATTTACACTTAATCACAGTAAGTGAAAATGTGTGTGGGGTCCCCATTTGAAACAGATATGTAATACTATTTTACTTTAAAGAAGTCCTGGTTTAAATAACCAATATGATTGAAAATGATTTCACAGACATAGATCTATTTGCATATCTGTGTATTTATATATCATCATTTCATAATATATGACTATAATAAAATATGCATAAATTTTTCAGCAATTTTAGGTAATGGTATTGTTTTTCTTAATTCATTATTAAATCAGTTTTTCTTACTGAAGTGTTTTTATTTACATTGAATATCCTTCATTACTACTGTTAAACCTTTTTTTAAAGAATAGTTTATTAATTTTTAGAGAGGAAGGGAGAGAGGGAGAGAGAAAGAAACATCCATGTGAGAGAGTGCACATTGTTCAGCCACCTCCTGCATGGCCCCTACTGGGGATTGAGCCCACAATTCAGGCATGTGCCCTTGACTGTGAGTCAAACCAGCAACCTCCGGATGCAAAGCAGGACACCCAACCAACTGAGCCACACTGGCCAGGGCTCTACTGTTAAACTTTAACGCAAATATTAGCATAATAGTATAACATAATAGTGTATGCAATATTTATTTAGAGTTATTGTTCAAAGATTTTAAGGGATTACACATGCTGAGCTGAATGCAGAGATTAAAGAACTGTAAATACTTTTTGACAAAAGTGTTTCACACAGGTTGAAGTATTGATAAGGCGAGTAGGACAAGGAGAGAAATCTTGCCCAGCTGGGAAAGCTAGAGGGTTATATAATTGGAAGCTATCCCTTGAAAAGCAAATATTAATAAAAAGTCAAAGAGTGAGAAAACTTGCATTTCCATACAGTCATCTGGAGGATGCAGAGAAGGAAGCCAGCAAAAGTGGCCTGTATTAAGGACTAATAATAAAACGAATGTCTTGAGCAGGTGGGTCCTGACGCAACAGACTCAAGACATTTTAAAAAATGCGGCTTACAGCCTGCATGGCCTAAAATGCCTCCCACATTATTTCCTAGTTATATTGCCATAGTTCATCACTAAAATCTTGTCTCCAAAGGAGTGGGCTCCTAATTATGTGTGCAGAGCTGTTGATACACAGCTCTAAGTAAAAATTGGTAGACTTGATTAACCAAGACTATATTTGATTTAGGAACAAACACAGTGAAACTCATTAGGTCTGCAAGTATCGAGAGCCTCCTCTCTTCTTGCTTGTCTCTCTAAGTTTTTTGGAGGGGAAATCATTCAAAACTATTATGTGAATCTCTGTTCAGCAGTTTTAATTTACTTTTTGTTTAATCCTAGGTTCTACAACAACTGAAGCAGACATTTTCCATCAGGCCCTTCTAGAAGGCAATACTGCTACTGAAGTTTCTTTAACAGTGCTAGATACCATATCATTTTTTACCCAGTGCTTCAAGGTAAAAATGAAGAGTTAAAATTCAGCTGGCATCATTGCAAAGAAAACATTATAACAAAACATAACCAGTCATAGGAATAAAAGCCCCGATGAGCACTCAGGAAACTTTGATGATAGACTGAGTTTGGCTACTGTGTGACCTTGGGAATTCACCAAGACTCACCTACCACACCCAATTGTTTTATTTTCCTGGTTAAAAATAGATGTCTTTCATACTTTTATTAAAATATTCAGTAGTTTTAGCCCAAATCATGACTGAATTGGTTTTCTCAAATGCCTGTTGTCATGAGGTGTCTCTTTAGGTTAGATGATGTCCAGGCAGCCTGGCTGGCTTCCCTGGTCAGGCGCTTAGTGTTTTTTCTCAGATGTTTGCCTCAGTACAAATCATTATTACTATGATTAAAAAGAATAAGGCCAAAGCAATGAACTTTCAGGGTTGTTAAAGGAGTAAATTGGGCTAATAGATGTGTTTAAAGAATAAAAACTACATAGCTGTAATATAATATCGGTGGGAGAACTCAAAAGTGAAAAATTGTGCTCACTTTCACCTGAGTTATACAGATAATTTTTTTCTTTTCTCCCCCCTCTGTGCTTTTCAAGAGGCTCAAGGGAAAATCGAATTAGATACTAATAAGAAATAGGCATAAGTATCCCTTTATGAAATATTAAGTTCTCATTAAAATGCAAACCAAATTCATTGTGCCAATAACTAAGGATATTTGGTCTCGAGGCTTGCATTGTATTCCTTCCTCCTAGTCATATGTGTCTCATTTATTAACAAACATACCTCTTGGTAGATGTCAGGGACTACCCTAAGTGCTTTATGAATATTAAATCGGTTTTTTTATTGTGGGGCTGGGGGAAATGGGGATGACTGCAAATGGGTACCAGGGAGGTTTGGGGGTGATGGAAATGTTCTAAAATTGGATTGTGATGGTTGTACAACTCTGTAAATTTACTAAAAATAATTGAACCATATACTTAAAAATGGTAAATTTTATGGTATATAAATTATACCCCAATAAACTAAAAAAATACAAATATGAACTCACTTTTAGTCTTCATATGGCTTTTTTATATAGATACTATTATTATTCCCATTTAAAAACGAGTAAACTGAGGCTCACAGGGAATTTAATGTCATATAGCTGGTCAGTGGCAGACTCAGGATTCACATCTAGGCAGGTTATCACAAAGGTCTAAGCTTCTAACCATATATCATGTTTGGAAATAAACTAAGGAAAGAGCCAGAAAAAATCTAACACCCTGCATGGATTCTGGCTGTTGATGTTACCATTAGATTTGTCAAAACTTTGAATATTATTTTGTCGGTTTTTTGTTGTTGTTTTTGGCCAAGTTGTAACCTGCTAGTTTTTTGAGGGATAGGAGAATAGGGCTGGAGAAGTTAACCAATGCTTTTTTTTTTTAAGTTTCACAAACCAATAGTTATTTCTCTACAATTTATTGTTTCATTTATGTCTCTTTACATGGAGCATTTAAACAATTTATATGGTCTGTTCAATTGTGACACCTGTTATTACCTCTACTCATAGAGGGTTTAATTTTTCACCAACGACTAAACATATCTTATACTAAACATACTTAAAAATTAAATTAGATAATAGACTTTTAAAATATGATTGATATTTTCCTTAATTCTTACATTACTTAGTATTCCTCAGAGAAATACACTTGTATCCATTTATTTTAAATTTACTGGTTTCTTACTTGAAAAGTAATATGGCTAGGTTAATAGAAACTACTCTTCCCATCCTAGTTCTGTATTTGGTGTGTTACATTGGAAAAATATTTTTTCATCTTATGCATAAAATGATGGAAGCAAGTATAGATGTAGTTTATGTAGTATTTTGAGATTTCCAAGTTGAAAGATGGCACAGATGTTTTAAACATTTTGTTTTCCTGGAATTTTCAGACATGGATTGATAAACAGGTATTGGTAAGTCAGGTCTCTCATTCTAAGCAGGGGTAACATAAACTGTTTCTGCCAAAATTATGTTTATTTTCATGTTTTTTTAGAGTCAACTTTTAAATAATGATGGCCACAACCCATTAATGAAAAAAGTATTTGATATTCATCTTGCTTTTCTTAAAAATGGACAATCTGAGGTGTCGCTGAAACATGTATTTGCTTCATTGCGAGCTTTCATCAGTAAGGTATGGACAAAAGCTTTATGGCTAGCTGCTAGTGGGCTTGCTTCATGGCAAGAAAAAAAGAGAGGAAAGAGGATTATTGTTATGACATCTACAAACCTCAGACACTGAACCCATTAAGTCAGTACAGTAAAACCTCCATATAACAGACTAATTCAGGCGAGGGGGTTTCTGTTAAAGCTGAAAGTCTGTCATGTAATAAAGTAGGTTTTCTGAATGCATATGTTAAAAATTTGATAAATTAGTTCACTTGTTTTTACTTAAGTAGACAAATCTGTGTAATTAAAATTAAGTATGTATGAAAAGTTTTAATTTCACAGAAAAGTTTTCTATATGTATTACTGTAATTTTAAATTTATACTGAATAGGTCTAGTAAATGCATGCATTCACCAGTCACCTTGAGTAAACATGGCTGGGGCATGGCTTAGGGAAAGTGGGAACATCTGCCGGCAATACTGCTGCAGAAAGCCACGCCATTCTACAACAGAACCATTTACCATGCGCCAAGTGGTGTGATCACATGCTGATCACTCACTGAACATTGTTTACGAGCAGTGTGACTCCTGGATTTAAATACATAGACCAGGGGTCCTCAAACTTTTTAAACAGGGGGCCAGTTCACTGTCCCTCAGACCGTTGGAGGGCCGGACTATAGTTTTAAAAAAAAAACTATGAACAAATTCCTATGCACACTGCACATATCTTATTTTGAAGTAAAAAAACAAAACGGGAACAAATACAATATTTGTATTTGCATGTGGCCCGCGGGCCGTAGTTTGAGGACCCCTGACAGACTATAGTTGTAAATATGTTATATTTATTTATGTCGGTATATTACTAGTTTTTTTTCCAATGTATGGCCTACTCACTAAAATTTGTTAAAAATAACAGTGGATTGCCCTGGCCAGTGTGTTCAATGGTTAGAGCATCTGCCCTCGGGCTGAAGGGTTGCAGGTTTGATTCCTGGTCAAGGGCACATACCTGGGTTGCCATTTTTTTAAAATATATTTTATTGATTTTTTTACAGAGAGGAAGGGAGAGAGATAGAGAGCTAGAAACATCGATGAGAGAGAAACATCGATCAGCCACCTCCTGCACATCTCCCACTGGGGAGGTGCCGGCAACCCAGGCACATGCCCTTGACTGGAATCGAACCCGGGACCCTTCAGTCCGCAAGCCGACGCTCTATCCACTGAGCCAAACCGGTTTCGGCATGGGTTGCCATTTTGATCCCTGGCCTGGTCTGGGTGTGTATGGGAGGCAATCAATTGATGTGTCTCTCTCACATCTATGTTTCTCTCTCTCTCTCTCTCTCTCTCTCTCTCTAAAAATCAATGGAAAAAATATCCTCTGGTGAGGGTTAACAAAAAACAAAACAAAACAAAAAACAACAGTGAATTAATGACAAAAAATAGCCTGTTAATATAATTATAAGGAAATCTGCCGGGGTCCAACCCCAGCAGGTCCAGGGGTCCCCAAAGGTGTGGATGGAGTCGGCGAAGAAGGAATGACACAGAGACAGCGTTCAGTTGATCAGCAGCCTAGCCAGGATCTCTAGCCAGGATCTCCAGCCAAGTTCTGGTCTGGATCTCCAGCAAAGTTCTGGTTAGGATCTCCAGCCAGGTTCTGTGTCTATGTTCTCTTGCTAGGTTCTCCAGGTTCTCCAGCCAGGTTCTGTAGCCATGTTCCCTCGCTAGGTTCTCCAGCCAGGTTCTGTCCAGGTTCTCCAGCCAGGTTCAGTCACCAGGTTCTAGTCAGGTTCTCTTGCCAATTTCTGTAGTCAGGTTCAGTCCAGGATCTTTTGCCATGTTCTCTCGCTAGGTTCTGTCTCTAGGTTCTGAGGCCAGTTTCTGTCCAGGATCTTTTGCCATGTTCTCTCCAGCGAAGTTCTTCTGTCTCTAGAGAACGTTCTGTGTAGGTTCTGTGCCTAGGTTCTGTCTCTCCTGGTTCTGTATTCTAAGTTCTGTGTCTTGTCTTATTACATCTGTATTTATACCAGTTGATTCAATCCTATCAATCTCTATTACAATGGTTAGGGCGTTTCTTATCTCCATTCCAGGGAGTAAAGATTATGTAGCTTAAGCATGATTGTTCATAGTTAAAGTGATTAATTACCCACCTGGCACTAGTTAAGAGGTTTTATTCCCTCCCTAACTTCAGGGGAAAATCCCTACCTGGGGAAACAAACTTTCTCAGAGACCTTGGTTAAAACACATAGTGCCAAGAAGGTGAGCAAACATATTAAGAACAGTATGCCATATATGCCAGGTCCCTTGAAACAGCAAGCATGGACCGGCTCCCAGCAGAAATCTTGGCTAAAAGCATTTTTAAATTAACAGGGTGTTAATATCCTTTTTAAAAAAATCCTCACCTGAGGATATTTTTCCCATTGACTTTTTAGAGAGGGTGGAAGGGAGCAAGGAGGGAGGGAGAGAGAGACTCAGTATGGGGTCAAATGAATGAGCCCTTCCTTTCAATGCTAATGGCATCTGTTGGCTATAAATTTTCAGGCTTTACCTCATTTTTAAAGAAACCTCAGGCTAGACTTTTAGGAATAAATATGACTGAAACAGATAGCAAAGATTTATTTCTGGTCTGCTTCTGATAGCTTTTAAATGTAATAAAAAGCATCATAAACCAAAATGGAGTTAAAATTATGGAAAGGCACAGTTCAGGCCTTCCTCTCTGGTATGTGTAACTTTAACAAGATAAAGAAATTCAATTAATTGATTTGTATAATAGGATAACTAAGCATGGAAAGCTTTTTTGTCATCACTACTTACTGCATTTAATTGATATAGAGATTAGGTGGATTTGAAGGTTTTTTAAAATTGCTATTTAATACAATTTGTGAATAAAGAAATAAATGGAAAACTGCGTTCACTATAAGCATCTTATAAGAAACTGAGGGAAAGAGATTAAAAAATAGTTTATTTGCCCTAACCCAGTGGTTCTCAACCTTCCTAATGCCACGACCCTTTAATACAGTTCCTCATGTTGTGGTGACCCCCCAACCATAAAATTATTTTCGTTGCTACTTCATAACTGTAATTTTGCTACTGTTATGAACCGTAATGTAAATATCTGATATGCAGGATGTACTTTCATTGTTACAAATTGAACATAATTAAAGCATAGTGATTAATCACAAAAACAATATGTAATTATATATGTGTTTTCCGATGGTCTTAGGTGACCCCTGTGAAAGGGTCGTTCAACCCCCAAAGGGGTCACGATGCACAGGTTGGTGACCCACAGGTTGACAACTGCTGCTCTAGGGAGAAGGACATGCATATGCAAAGGCCCAGAGTTGGGAAAGAGCTTGAAATTCTGGAGACTGAAAGGTCCAGTTTAGCTGGAGCATAGTGAACTAGGAAGATCATCAGCATGAGTGTAGTTGAAGCCATGGGAATGATTTAATTTCTCCTAGAGTGTATATAGAGGAAGAACCAAAAAATAGGTCAAAATTAGTACATTGGAGAAAAACAACATGGAAGGGGTTAGAAGAGAAATGTGTAGAAGAGATGAAAGGAAGCAGTCACAGAAGTAGGAAGAAAGAAGGCTATTGTGGAAGCCAAAAGAGAAAACAGTGTCAACATTATTACGAGATACAGAGTGTCCTAATAAGGGGGAAGGGAAGCCCATTGGAATTGACAGTTATGAAGTCACCATTGATTCTGGCCATTTGCCCACTCAGAAGTGACGTGGGTAGAAGATTTTATATAGTAAATTAACTACATTACAGCTATGCCCTCCCATACACCTTTATTTTCATTTTCATACTAGAATATCTTGTCCAGCAAGGTTTGTTTTCATCTGGTGAACCTGTTGATGAGATTTCCGGGCAGCCAATCAGAAAACATTTATTAAACATTCATATCTGCATAGCATTGCACTTGGTCTTAATGTGATAAAAAGAAGGTTGATTCCTACAACATGGTTTTAAATTCAAGATTCCCAAGAAGTTATTTTGAAAATGTTGGCCCTCTAGCTTCATATTCCCTGAAAAACATCCATCGTGTACCCTGCAGCAGCTTCCTCCTTGCTTGCCTAGACATGTAAGCATTAGAGATTATAAAAAGCCTATGTTATATGTATATTTTATCTTCCACAAAGCAGACTGACTACATTCTCAAAGTAACAGCCACTTGACTGTTTAGACCAGTGATGGCGAACCTATGACACACGTGTCAGAGGTGACACGCGAACTCAATTTTTTGGTTGATTTTTCTTTGTTAAATGGCATTTAAATATATAAAATAAATATCAAAAATATAAGTCTTTGTTTTACTATGGTTGCAAATATAAAAAAAAATTCTATATGTGACACGGCACCAGAGTTAAGTTAGGGTTTTTCAAAATGCTGACACGCCGAGCTCAAAGGGTTCGTCATCACTAGTTTAGACAGCCACTTTTGTACTCTCTATGCCAATATATATCTTTTTAAAGTATAGTTGACATACAATATTATATTATTTTCAGCATAGTGATTTGACACATTCCTTAGATGTGATCACCACAATAAGTCTCTTAACCATCTGTCACCAAAGTTGTTATGATAATGTTGACTAATTTCCCCATGCAAAAATATATCTTATGTTTTTTTAATTGATTTTAGAGAGAGAGGAAGGGAGAGGGATAGAGAGAAACATCAATGAGAATCACCAATTAGCTGCCGCCTGCACGCCACCTACTGGCGATGGAGCCTGCAACCCTGGCATGTGCCTGACTGGGGACCTCTTGGTTCATGTGTTGACACTCAACCCCTGAGCAACACTGGCCAGGCACAAAATTTATCTTAATTAACACTGTTCATGAGTAAAGGACACATATATGTTTGTGCATCTACACTTCATCTATACCCCGTTTTGTTAAAAGGTCAACTTTACTTGCTCAATAGATTCCCACTATAATTTTCTCAGCATTTGGAAGTTCATAACTTAAAGAACTGTTTAAGTATAAAGCAGAAGAGCAAGTAATGCAGATTGTCCTTCCCATTTTTAAGGGTCAGATCGAAACCCATCAATCATTCATCATTTCAGTCATTCATTAATTTAATGCATATTATCAAGAACCTACATAACATTTTTTTTCCAGATCATGATGAGCTCTTCTCAATCTGTACCATGTATTGTTAGCACCTCACATTTTTGTAGTGACTTGTGTACTGACTTGAGTTGTTTTGTCATTGACACATGCTGGCCTTTGTGTGTTTAACTAGTTCATGTTTTCCAGAGCAGAGCCCTAATCTTAAGTTCGTTATGTATCTTCAAGACAGCTAGCATAGATTTAAGTGGGAATATAGTTGGCATTTAATAGTTGATTGATTTTTGTGATTGGGTTTTCAGATACTTATTTATGTTTTGTTCTTTAGTTTCCCTCAGCCTTTTTCAAAGGAAGGGTAAACATGTGTGCTGCATTTTGCTATGAGGTTTTAAAGTGCTGCACCTCGAAGATTAGCTCAACCAGGAATGAAGCATCTGCACTTCTGTATCTTCTGATGAGAAACAACTTTGAATATACCAAAAGGAAAACCTTTCTGAGAACACATCTGCAGGTCAGTGAAAATCAAAGCTCCTCTTCTTCAGTTCAGTCTTTAGCCTCTAGATCAGTGGTTCCCGGTGTGGGGCACCACTCCCCAGGGGAGCAATTTGTTTTTTAATGGGGGGCAATTTGAGAATGAGTTATTAACAGTGAATTTTTTGCTTTTCTTATGGTTCTAGGGGCCTCATATCCAGTATAGAAATATATATTGTGACATATTTACACATTTCAGTTCTCTATTATATGTTTTGAAACTTTATCTGCTAATTTTTCATATTACTTTATATTTTTTTAACAATTTCTTAGTGATTTCTTCCTCAGTACTTCAACTATCCTTTCCTTCTTTTATTTTTCTCTTTCATGGATGCCATGTTCTTTGGCAGCTTGTTTAGACCAAGTTAATGGCCTTTTAGGCTTCCTCCATGTGAATAGGAATTCACTTTTTGAATAATAAAAATTATATGTCATGGGGGGGCATCAGGATTTTAGAGATGCTTAGGTGGGGTGTGGCCAGAAAAAGGTTGGGAACCACTGCCCTAGATCAAGATCTAGAGCTACCCAGTCCAATACAATAGCTGTTAGCCACAAGTGGCCATTTAGCACTTGAAATGTAACTAATCTGAATTGATATGTGCCCTAAATTTGGCTTTTGAAGACTAAATACCAAAAAGAGTAAAATGTCTCAATTGTTTTGTATTTACAATATGTCGAAATGGTATTTTGGATATATTGGGTTAAGTAAACTATTTAAATTCACCTGTGTCTTTTTACTTTTTTAATTGATTTTTTTTAGAGAGAGAGAGAGACAGGGAGAGGGAGGGAGAGATCAAAACATCCATGAGAGAGATACATGGATTGTCTGCCTCCTGCATGCCCCCTACTGGGGATGCGCCCACAACCCAGGCATGTGCCCTGATGGGGAATCAAACCTGCGACCTCTTGGTGCATGGAATGACGCTCAACCAGCTGAGCCACACCAGCCAGGCTCTTTTTACTTTTTAATGCAGCTACTAGACAATTTAAAATTACATGCATGGGTCACATCATATTTCTATTGGAAAGTGCTATTCTAGAGCATAGGTGTTATGAGCTAGACTCTAGTTCAGGTTCCAGGACCAACACACATTGTATGACCTTGAGAAACTTCCTTAGTGTGTCCGTGCCTCAGTTTCTTAATATGTAAAATAGTGGTAAATATTTGTGCCTGCCTCATACGATTGTTGTGAGGATTAAATGAGATGCTTAAATAACAAACAAAACACTCATTAAATATTCTGTAGTAGGTAATAATACAGTTTGTGTGTTTCACTTTTCAGTATGACCAGTAAGTGAAACATGAGAGAAGTCTCAAGGTGTAGTGAAAAGAATGAACTTTGGAATTAGACCTACCTGGGCTTAATCGTAGCTCAGCTACTTACTATGTAACCCTAGACAGGTGTATCAATCTATCTTAACTATTTGCCTTATCTGTAAAGTGAGGCCAAATATATTTCACCTTGCAGGGCTGTCATGAGGGATAAAAATAAAGTGTGTGTAGTGCCAGGCACAATGACTGGCATGTAATAGACACTCAGTACATGGTAGTTGTTATTCAACATCTCCATATTTTTTCTGCTTATTTAATGAAACTGCTTTGAACTAAAACACAGTTAGGACTTCTTAGCTTAGTAGACCTCTTTGTAGTATGAGAAACCTTTGGTTATATTTATATCTTCACTGCCATAGTGTGTCCCATTGCAGTTGTTTTTTGGAAATGGGTTATAAATGGGGAAACAGCCTATCAGGTTTTTAGAAATGTTATCAGTAACGTGGAAATCTGATGGAAGTGTATTCTTTCTGTAAAAATCTACTAAATACTAGTAGTTACTTTTGGATACTAGGGGCAGGGTTATATAATAAGGGCCTTTATAATTCACCTTTATATGAGGTATCATTTGAATACCATCTTTCCCCAAAACATTTCTGCAATTAGTATGCCAGTATGCCTGAAATTCCCCATTAGGGTATGTTCTTCTGGGTCAAACCATTATTTCTCTCAAGTCCATTATTCAAATGTAAATGAATTAGTAAGTATGAAGACTTGCAACCATGTTTGGCACATAGTAAGTGCTCAAAAAAGAGTTACCTAGTATTATGATTATGATCTCTTTAATCCTCAGAACATTTCATAACCTTATTACAATTAAGGAAAGTGAGGAATGGAAGGGTTAAATAGATTTTCTAAAGCCCCACAGGGAATAATTGATAAAGTCAAGATTTGCATCTGAAGCAGTTTGATAGAGCCTGCAATCATAGCTCCTGCTTCCCAAGACCAGAGGTAAAGCATCCAGCCATTAACACCTTACCATGAATCATTTAGGCATTCCTCAAAGGGATCCTGAGAGATTATAAAGCACCATCAAAGGCATTACATGTAGGGCTGTCTTAACTAGGTTGGTGCTAGTCAGAAACAAAGAAGGGGGGGGAAAGAAAAAAGAAACAAAAGAAAAGAAACAAAGAAGGGAGCTGAGTTGCTGGAATTAGAAGTTCAGGACACTAAAATAGACCAGTGAAAAGGAATGAGAAACCATAGAAGAAAATGTCATTTATTCCCAACTTTGCCATAGCTGCTACCTAGCAAGCATGTTCAAAATGGAGACCTGACCCACCGTAGTTTCAGTTCACTATTATGAAACAGTTTTGGATCTAGCTGTACCATGAGCTTAGAAAAAAATTTCACATCTAACCAAGAAAAGTCCCAATAATATTTGAAATTGGGGCCTTTAAAGTTGCTATTTCCATAAAAGAATTTAAATTTCTCATGTCTGAAGAAAGTAGATTATGGTGGAACTGTGTAGAATCTTTAAAAGAACATTTCATATGAATGCTTATGGGCTTATACAATGATGAAAATAAATAGCATTTGTTAAAAAGACAATTGAAAAACAATATTTGCTTTTTCCCACAGATAATAATTGCTGTAAGTCAGCTGATAGCTGATGTAGCACTAAGCGGAGGATCAAGATTTCAGGAGTCTTTATTCATTATCAATAATTTTGCTAACAGTGACAGACCTATGAAGGTATGTTCTCACTTCAAGTAATAAATTAGAAGCACCTTCACTGTCAGAAAAGTTTACACTCCTAGACTTAAACTGTTATTGCGTCCATGACTTACTTTGTTGTTGTTGTTGTTAATCGTCACCTGAAGATATTTTTTTCATTGATTTCCAGAGAGAGTGGAAGGGAGGGGGAGAGATGAGAGAGAGAAACATCAATGTGAGAGAGACACATAGATTGGTTGTCTTCTGCCTATGCCCCGACTGTGGGCCTAGGATTGAGCCTGCAACAGGGGCATGTGACCTTGATCAGAATTGAACCTGTGACCCTTCAGTTGGGTCAACGCTCTAACCACTGAGCAAACTGGCTAGGGCAGGTTCACGACTTTAGTAAAATAGTGTATAGTCCTAGCCAGTTTGGCTCACTGGATAGAGCATTGACCTGTGGGCTGAAGGGTCCCGGGTTCAATTCCGGTCAAGGGCACATGCCTAGATTGCAGGCTCAGTCCCCAGTAGGGGGCATGCAGGAGGCAGCCAATCAATGATTCTCTCTCATCATTGATGCTTCTATCTCTCTCTCCCTCTCCCTTCCTCTCTGAAATCAATAAAAATATATTTTAAAAAAATAGAGTATAGAGAATGCAAGCTTCATGATTCCAGGCTTTGTCTTGTACACCACTGTATCTCTAGCACTTAGAAAACTGCCTGGTACATAGCAAATAATGTTAGTTGAATGAATGGATGATTGACTATACTGTGTATGCACAGTTGTTATGGCTAGTAGGATTGGAATTTTTTTCTGAGCTTGATTTCTAAACTTGCTCTGAATATAAATGGATCCTTTCTTTCTTAACAGTTGTTAACTATTTCCCATATTGATTAATTAAGCACTGAGTTTGAAATTTCACAAAATCTCACTTCTTAGAGCAGTTAACAGCCGCCTGATCCATTGTTAACAGATGAGGAACGGCACAGAAGAGATTTATTATCTGATGAGTTTTAAGAATCATCTGTTAACTGTGGCTTGCCATAGATAATTTTTTTCCTTTTTTAAATTGAATGTATTGGGGTGGCATTGGTTAATAAAATTATACAAGTTTCAGGTATATAATTCTACAGCATAACTGTATATTGTATTGTGTGTTTATCACCCCAAGTCAAGTCTCTTTTCATCACCATTTATCTCCCATTTTCCATTTTCTACCTCTCCCACAGCCCCCTTCCCCCTGGCAGTCACTGTAATGTTGTCTATGTACATGAGTCTTTCCTTTTTTTTCTTTGTTTAATCCCTTCACCCTTCTCACCCAGCCCCCAAACCCCTCCCCTCTGACAGCTGTCAGTCTGTTCTCTGTATCCATGAGTCTGTCTCTACTCTGTTAGTTTATTTTATTCATTAGATTTCACATATAAGGGAAATCATATGGCACTTGTATTTGTCTGACTGGCTTATTTCACTTAGCATAATATTCTCCAGGATCATCCATGCTGTTGCAAAAGGTAAGCTTTCTTTCTTTTTTTATGACTGAATGGTATTCCATTGTGTAAAAGTACAACAGCTTTTTTATCCACTCATCTACCGATGGCCACTTGGGCTGCTTCCAAATCTTGGCTGTTGTAAATAATGCTGCTATGAGCATAAGGGTGCATATATTCTTTCAAATTAGTTTGTCAGGTTTGCCATAGATACTTATTGGCACTCCCAAAGACCCTGAACTCCATTCCTCTTTCTTACCTATTTGCTTAAAACCTATACCATTGTCAAAATTCATTTGTTGCACAGAAAGCAGGTTCTGATCTTCAGTACTATATGTGTACAAGGAAAGAGAAATCCTTTGCCAATAAAGAAATTTTCCTCCCAGAGGAATCATCTCCATTCTTGGGAAAGGTCATCTTCCAACATAATTGGACAATATTGTTTAAAATCTGAAAAAAATAAAGCTCACAGTCACAGTGTCCTTGATGTTTGGGACATGTAGATCTATGTAGCAAAAAATATTCCCACAGGAACATTGCTTAGACTGAAGAAAAGGAAAAAAAAAAACCAACAAAACAAAACACTGTCAGGCTGGGAAAGTTTGCTTTCCAGCCAGTTCTACTGGTTCCCCAGGAGATAAGTATATGAACACAGAAATGGCTTCTGTCATTTAGGATCTTTTACTCATACTCTAAGAGTTGTTACCATCCTTAATTCCATGTTATATAAAAGTTAGAAGAGCAACTTTTTCACAGTCATAGGGGTGTGTTTTGGCTTTCCTTGATAGGAAATTTTTTGCATTGACTCATTTCTTAAATGACTTAGTTTTATTAGTCAGTCACTTAGTTTATTGGTCATTCACTACCAATAAACCCTGTTAGAACAGGGAGTGCCTTGCTCCAGTAAATGGAATCTCTCTTAATGAATAAGAAGGTACTTTATGTATATAAGTATTACTTTAAAGGGATAAAGAAGGCACTTTTAAAAACTATTTCCTCCACTTTGGGTTATATTCACACTGGAAAGCTCCCTAACCCCTATATCTTTAATCATACAGATAATTGTGATTACTTCAGTGGGGTTAAGAGAAAGTGATAGGACTATTTTAATGGCCATAATAAAGAGGAAACTGTAACTTACTGGTTTGGGGGATCATAACAACACTTTGAGAGAGGTTAATTATCTCTTTAAACTCTTTAGAGTTCTCTATGATTCATAAGCTCTAATTTGTATAAGTGGACACTTTGTAGTATTTTTTCCCCTTAGTATATGCATGTAGTAGTTGGTGGATGGGATGGGTATGCTTGTCAGTATGGAAGAGTGGGCTAAGGTCACTAGCTCTGGAGCCAAACTACCTGGGTGTAAATCTTGTCTCTACCACTTACCAACTATAATATTTTAACCAAGCTACTTAACTGCTTTGTGCCTCAGTTTTATGTTGGTAAATGAGTTATGATAGTCCTTAGCTCACAGGATTGTTGTAAGAATGCCTAGACCACTGCCTAATACAAAGTATACTGTCAATTTTTAGTTATTGTCCTACCAAGCAAAATAGAGACAGACTCATAGATAGAGAGCAGGCAGACAACTCTGGGGTGTGTGGAGGTGTTAGGGGTGGTGGTGGAGGGTTGAACAAAAAAGAAAAAAAGAGAACTCATGGATGTGGATAATAGTGTGATGATTGCGGGGGAGGGGATTGGTGGAGGTGGAAGAGGGCATAGAGCAGATAAATGGTGATGAAAAAAATAAAATAAGGGAGAAGACAACAAAAAATTTTTAGTTACTGTTGTAATTAAAACTACACAATAAAGTGATTGTAGATTACTCTTATGGCTGTAGAATTCAGTGGAGGAGCTAGGGTTCAAGGCTTGGTAGCATGACTTCAGTGTCCATGCTTTTAGGTATTGTGAATATACTGCCATCAAGTTTAGAGCCTTTGAAGCCTGAGCTAGTTGGATATTTTAAAAAGAATTAATTTAAAGTTCTTTAGACATGTCCCATGTCAAGAACCAAATACCCAGAACTGTAACAAGGATTAAAAAATTGTATGTTGCCCTGACTGGTATGGTTCAGTTGGTTGAAGTGCACCAAAATGTTGTGGGTTCAATTCCCAGTCAGGGCACATATCCAGGTTGTGTGTTTGATCCCCGGTCAGGATGCCTGCAGGAGGCAATTGATCGATGTTTCACTCTCACATCAATGTTTCTTTCTCCCCCTCCCTCTCTCTCTTCTCCTTCCCCTCTCCCTCCCTCTCCCTTCTCCCTTCTCTAAAATCAATTTTTAAAAAAAGTCATATGTTATTCCTAGGATTGAATGCTGAGGTTTAGAGCACATCAATAATATTAATGAACATGTGTTTTTTGTTTTTAAATTAGGCAACTGCTTTTCCCACAGAAGTCAAAGATTTGACCAAGAGGATTCGTACCGTTCTTATGGCCACTGCTCAAATGAAAGAGCATGAAAAAGACCCTGAAATGCTAATTGATCTCCAGTATAGCTTAGCCAAGTCCTATGCAAGCACCCCAGAGCTCAGGAAAACCTGGCTTGATAGCATGGCCAAGATTCATGTAAAAAATGGAGATTTTTCAGAGGTAACTACTTAAGGCTTTGTTTTAAACACAGCCTTGCCAAATCCCTGGAGCACATTCTAACAGCTCTTTCTTTGTCATCCTTTTTTCAGGCAGCAATGTGTTATGTCCATGTAGCAGCTTTGGTTGCAGAGTTTCTTCATCGAAAAAGTAAGATATTTCTGTTATTAGAGATAGGGAGAATTTCAGTTAGTGCAATAGTTTTTATCCTTGTAGCTTGCAGCTGTGAATGTGATATAATTGAGCTCTGAAAAAATGTTCACCTTTAGCCTCATTCAGTGTTTAACAGCAGTTGTTCTTTAAAAAAACAAAACTGGATTGTTCATTTTGCCTTCTGCTTTCATTAAGAGTTAAATAGCCTGATATTCAGTGTTTATTTTCCAACACTGTCTCCCTGGAAGTCTGCCACAGATTAAATTCTTCGTAAGGCTCATGAGAAGCTCTGGATAATACCATTCACGTATTTCCCCCTCATCTGCCTCAAGTTCACCAACAACTGCCCACAGATTTAATCTCCACAGCCGCTTTAATGCAACAATACCTTGGTATTAAAGGGTAGTCAGCACATCATCAACATGGCCAAATAAGACATTCCTTGTTTGTCCTCCCCCCACAACAATTTGGCATCCATCCAGAGACAAAATTGCCTTTGTGGGAGCTCTGGGACCTAGTGCCTTATGCCAAGGAACCTGGGAGGAATGTTACCAACCTCTGCATTAGGTAATAGGCAGACAGATCTCAGTCCTGGTTGTGGATCCTGCAATGGCTCATGCACTGGCTCCAGCCCTTCCCAGTCTAGGAGCCCCTGGAGAATACTATCTTATGTAATCACCCATAGACAAGAGAGCCTTGGTGGAAATGTAGGAGTCCAGTGGAGAAATTCCAGCATGCCACTAGAGTATACACACACACACACGTTTAAATGCATTGGAGAGGGTAAAGTTTTACTTTACTCATGTCACCCCTTCCCCAAGGTGGCACAGCTCAGTGCCAAGAGAGACATCTTGTCTGTGATTTCTTTCACGGGAAAAGAGAGAGCATGAGAATGGATACCTGGCTTCCCCAGCTGTACAGGATGCTGCCAAAGAGGCCCATTGCTCTTTTGCCCCATCCAGAGTGCTGAGTTGTGAGCTTCAGGACTGGGGGTGGGGGCAGGAAGAAGTTGGAAAAGTGGCAAATAGGACTCTCAGAAGGCATTAAAGAGACATGGTTCATATACTAGCTCAAGAAGCCCACCGACAAGCTGCTAGGGACATTTAGCCTTTGGTTCCCTCCAACTGGCCCATAAGCACCCTCCAGTGCTCCATGTGCTTCAACCACACCTCTCCTATTCTATAGCCAACTTCTTATGCATACTCCTGATGGCAGCAAGAGCAAGCTTTAGCAGACAGCTAGTGAGCACAAGCAAAAAGTAGGCCAGAATCTGTGGGCCAGGGAGAGACCACAAACTTGAACTTTATCACCACTCTTGGGAAAGCAAAAATGGAGGCTGTTTGCACCTGGCCCAGTGTGTTGCATGATGGAGAGAAGGCATACAAACTTAAGAATTCTGCCACAAGAGGGAACAAGAAGTATGGAGAAGATGTATCCATTAAAAAATTTGTGCAACCCTCAGAATCCCTAGCAAGGCAGGTGGAAAGCATTTCTCTCCCAAAGTCAGTCAGTGAAGACAGTTGGAAGTGACTGCTATTTCAAATGTGAAGACAGCAATGCCAGACAGCATGGTTGGAGCTGGAGAGCATTATGCTAGATGAAATAAGCCAGTCAGAAAAGATAAATATCACATGATCTCACTCATTTGTGGATTGTAATGAACAACATAAACCGATGAACAAAAACAGATCCAGAGACAGAGAAGCATTGATCAGATGCTCAAACCTCAGAGGGAAGGTAAAGGAGGATGGGGGTGAGGGGGAGAGATCAACCAGAGGACTTGTATGCATGCATATAGGCCTAACCAATGGACACAGACACCAGGGGGTGAGGGTGAGGGCAGGATTTGGGGAGTCGGGGGGGGGGGCAATGACGGGATAAGGACACATTTGTAATACCTTAATCAATAAAGGGGAAAAAATGAAGGAAACATGACATTACCAATAACCTTCCAGTAATCAAACTCAAACACTTGGAGAGCTGTAATTTACCTAATAAAGAATTCAAAATAGCTGTTTAAGGAAGTGCATTGAGTTACAATAAAATAGAAAGAAAATTCAATGAAATCAGGAAAAAAATACATGAACAAAATGAGGTTAAACAAAGAGATAGAAATCATTAAAAAGAACCAAACAAACTCTTGAGCTGAAGAATACAATGAAGTGAAAAATGAAATAGAGAGCATTACCAGCAGGATTAAACAGAAGAAATAATCTGTGAATTAAAGGGGAGGACCTTTCAAATTATCCAGTCAGAGGAGAGAAAAGAATGAAGAAAGTTTCAACATAAGAAACACCCAAGCCTTCCAGTGGTCGGCAAACCGCGGCTCGCGAGCCACATGCGGCTCTGTGGCCCCTTGCGTGTGGCTCGTCCACAAAATACCACATGCGGGTGCGCACGTACAGTGCGATTGAAACTTCGTGGCCCATGCGCAGAAGTCGGTATTTTGTGGAAGAGCCACACTCAGGGGGCCAAAGAGCCGCATGTGGCTCGCGAGCTGCAGTTTGCCGACCACTGCTAACCAGTTTGGCTCAGTAGATAGAGCATCGGCCTGCGGTCCCAGGTTTGATTCCGGTCAAGGGCATGTACCTTGGTTGCGGGCACATCCCCAGTAGGGGGTGTGTGCAGGAGGCAGCTAATCAGTGTTTCTAACACTGTACCCCTCTCCCTTTATATAAAAAAATCAATAAAATATATTTTAAAAAAAGAAACACCCAAGCCTGTAAAAATTTGTATGAGTTTTTTTAGTCAAACAGATGACAATTGCTAGGAAGCCAAACCTCAGTGGATTGGGAAAATGCTCCCCCAAAATGACAGTTTTGTACCTTATTATACATTACAATCAAAAGAGGAGGAGGAGGAAGTGAAATCCATTAGTGACAGATTAGGGAGGCTGGAGAAAGCAAAGCAGTGGTGTGGGGGGACCTCTGGGCTTGGATAAAAAGTAAAATGACAGACATATATTTTGCCTAGTTGGTTACAGGATAGATAACAGTCAAAAATTAACACGATAACAATAATAATGAGGGGATTTATGGTCTCTGCTCTGGTAGTGGTATGTCTGGAGATGTCCAGAAAATGGAAAGTTAGCTTGACATTCCAAAGGCCTGTTATCACAGATGCAAAAGACAGTAGACAGGCTCAGGTTCAGTTAAGGTCAAGATTGACTTTTTTCAAGGAAGATTCTAGCCTGGGACATGATTACCTGCCATAAACTGCTTTTAGTTTAAAAAGTTTTAATTTCAGACCATCTTTTGTGGTTACTTGAGGTCTCTGAGTTTGTAAGGCCGCCACACAGACCTCCCCTGAGCTTGTCAGGTTTACTATGTGGCCCCCTTTTCATCCACAGAACTTAAAAGTGAACCCCCATAAGGCTATCAGTGGATTTCTCAGCAGAAACCTTAGCTAGGAGTGGGGTGGTATATGTAAAGTGCTAAAAGAAGAAAAAATGCCAACCAAGAATATTCTATCCAGCAAAGCTGTCCAGAATTGAAGGACAAATACTTTCCTTAGGCAAACAAAAGCTGAAGGAATTCATCACCACTAGACCTGCCTTACAGGAAATGCCAAAGAAAGTTCTTCAAGCTGAAATAAAAGGATGCTAATTAGTAATATGGAAACATGTGAAAAGGATCTGTGTGAATGGATAAAGATGTGGCAATAGAATATACAATAGAATATTATTCAGCCATGAAAAAAGAAAGAAATCCTGTCATTTGTGACAACAAAGATGGACTCCCAAGGGCATTATATTAAGTCAGACAGCAAAAGACAAGAACTATATGATCTCACTTATATGTGGAATCTAAAAAAGCTAAACTTGCATAAAAACAGAGTACAATGGTTTTTATATAAGTTTGGCTTTTATTGATGTTGTTCAAAGGGTACAGACTTGCTACTTACAAGATGAATAAGTTCTGGAGATTTAATATAGCATAATGATTATAATTAACAAAATATACTTGAAAGTTGCTAAGAGAGTAGATCCTAAATGTTCCCCCGCCCCAAAAATGGTAATTTTGTGTGCTGATTAGCGTTATTGTGTTAATTTTCAGTGTGTGTGTGTGTGTGTGTGTGTGTGTGTGTGTGTCAAATCAACACATGTACTTTAAATTTATACAGTGTTATATATCAGAAAAATAATTGGCAATGGACATTGCAAAGAAATCTCTCACTATCTATCATATGGCCAAGCTACTTTTAAGGCAGTTGAATGAGTAATCTTAGATCAAAATGAAACCATATTGTGGGTGTGATATCACTCTGGTTTTGGCTATGAAAAATACAACCATGTTTTGTTTTGTTTTTTAATTACAGAATTTCTACCAGTAACTATGTATCTTTCATTTTACATCTAAGGCTCAGAGTCTGATTGCCTCTATAATTACCACTCATGTGGAGAAATTTTTTCTAAAAAGAGTCTTCCCAAACTTAGTATCATGATTAAAATGTAGATTCATTTTACTTATATTTTAAGTTAACACTTTCTGTTTGATACTGAAATTTTTTCATTCCTCACCTGAGGATTTTTTTCCATTGATTTTTAGAGAGAGTGGAAGAGAGGGAAAGACAGAGAGAAATATCGATATGAGAGAAACACATTGACTGGTTGCCTCCTACATGAGCCCGAACCAGGGCCTGGGCTGAGGAGGAAGCTGCAACCGAGGTACGTGCCCTTGACCGAAATTGAACCCAGGACCCTTCAGTCTGCAGGCAGATGCTCTATCCACTGAGCCAAATTGGCTAAGGCTTTGATACTGAAATTATTTTGAACAATGCATTTGCTTGCAATTGGTATACTCTAGTTTTCTCCTTTTGGTGCACATGTGAAATTACAGTAAAAATAAATATTGAACTTGAACACTGCAATTCCAAATAAACTAACAGATATGAGAACCCTAAACACAGTACTGAATAAATTTTAAGTGTATCTTTCAGAGAAATTAGGTTTATATTATCTCATCTTTTAAATTAGTCGACATGTGAAATAAGAGTTT